AAATCTACTAGGACTATTGGTAACCCTATTCATCATGCTTCACTTTAATTTAATTTAATCCTTGTTGGCTTAATGAAATAAGAAACTACATGTATACCTAGATATTAATTGTGGTGTAACCTACTGACTATTATTTGTGTTGTTTTAACTAGATTGTACCTTTTTTAAAAAATACTGTCAAAGAAAACTTGTTCTCTACTTGTAATTTAAAGATTAGTTATATAGATATACACTATACCTGGTATGTAAAATGTTAACAAAATGTATAATTGATGTCAGAAGTTTATGTGTAAAATTCTAAGCTCTTAATTAATGATTATTTCTTAGGTCTTAGGGTCACTTTTTTATGCTTTATATTAATACAAGAAGTCATCATTTTTTGTTGGTCAAAATATTTATATGCTAGTTTTTTGCAAATTGTTCAGATTTGGAAGTTGACCAATTTGTTGACTAAATATTTATATTGTAAATGCTTTGTTAGAAATTTGTGACACAAGTTTATAATGTAAACAAATACACTTACTAGAACACCCAAACCCCACCAAACTTTGAATATTGACAATCTACAAACTTATGATATTTAGTTAAAAGCAAGTTGTGTTTAGAATAAAATTGTATCATGATCATTTATGTTTTCAACTGTTGGATTTGATACATGTACCTGTACTTTACATTTGAAATGAAATTATACAACTTGATGATAATCTACACATCTTACATCTTTGCTTTAATCTTGATTAGAATTAGAATCTGTATTATTTAATAAATATTCTACATTGTAGATTTATTATTACCTATCAACTCTCCAGACAGTCAGTCTCCTATATTTAACTTACTTTAACTTGAGCAGTGTTAGCTTTACAAATCATCAGAATTTAACAGGTTTTGTAAAAAAATTATTACCTATCAATATTTCAGGACAGATTGTCTGCTAGACTGATTTGAGTTAGGTGAGCTTTGAAAATCATCATAATTTAATAGGTTTTGTAAAATAATTATTATCTATTAATATTTCCAGAAGATTGTCTGCTGGACTGATTTGAGTAAGGCTAGCTTTTGTAAAATAATTATTATCTTACCAATATTTCTAGACAGATTGTCTGCTGGACTGATTTGAGTAAGAATAGCTTTTCAAATTATCAGAATCTAACAGGTTTTGTAAAATCATTGTTATCCATCAATATTCCTAATTGTCTGTTAGACTCATGTAAGACTAGCTTTTACAATTTATCAAACTTAAAACATCTTTTATGAAATTGTTATTAACTACATGTATCAGTATTTCTGAACATATTGTGTGCTGGTAAGATTTGAGTAAGATTAGCTTTACCAAACACTCTTTCTCATTCTGAACTGCTTGAGATTGATTCTTAGACAAAATTGTTAAAGTTGATAAATGTATATACTATAATATATAATATACCACTCCAGTAAATGTTGTAAATGTAACATGAAAAAATGATTTATATTTGACCTGTTACCATTTATTGAAATTTAATCATTTGTGTAAAAAATGTATAACTTCCAGTCACATGAAAATATACTGTAAATTCAAAAACAATTCATTATTAATGTCTGCTTATCAATTTATTTTAAAGTTTAAAATGTTATTGATGATGAAATTGGATAATTCTAAAGATTAGATAAAGGTTGTTAGATGTCCAGATAGACACTACAGTATGCTAGATTAACTCTTTAAGCATTAATTTTTATCAGACGGTAAACTTACAATCCTAATTTAGTGAAAAGTGGAAAGTTTGCTGCCCTGTCCACTGTCCAGTCTAGATATTCTACTATTTAAGCATATTTAATCCTCTGCTTGATAGTAAGTTTTCTGAAGTAATTATTTACCATTCATTATTTACATGTATCAGGCAGTATGAAACGTTCTACAACTTTGCTGACTTGAGTAATATTAATTAGCTGTAGTCTTGATTAGAATTAGAATCTGTATTATTTAATAAACATTCTACATTGTAGATTTATTATTGCCTATCAACTCTCCAGACAGTCTGTCTCCTATATTTAACTTACTTTAACTTGAGCAGTGTTAGCTTTACAAATCATCAGAATTTAACAGGTTTTGTAAAATAAAATTATTACCTATCAATATTTCTAGACAGATTGTCTGCTGGACTGATTTGAGTAAGGCTAGCTTTGAAAATCATCAGAATTTAACAGGTTTTATTCAATAATTATTATCTATTAATACTTCTAGACAGAGTGTCTGCTGGACTGATTTAAGTAAGGCTAGCTTTCCAAATAATCAAAATTGAACATGTATTATTAAAAAATATTATCTATCAATATTTCTAGACAGATTGTCTGCTGGACTGATTTGAGTATAGTTTATAAATTAATAAGTATCTATCAATATCCTCAGACATATTGGTTATCAATCAGACTGATTTTGAAAGGTTAAAATTGTTTTGAAGTTTATTTTTGGTTTCAAAGTAAATATATTGTTTACTGACTTATAATCTAGCATTCAATTACCTGTATGTTTTGATCTTTCTAATTAAAATTTAATAATATTGTGCATTTGTGCAATTTAAATGGTTGTAACTGTTGGATTTTTAATCAGTACGGAGACACAGAAAACTGGAATTATTGTATACCTTTATACCATGGTACAAAAATGTTTGACTAAATAAGCTGATGTAACAGAATTGCTCTTACACACATGTACATGTAAGGTATTTCAGCGGTTTCTTTTATATAATTGAGCTTACTTGAGGATATTACATGTATTAAAGAAATATTTTCTTTAAGAATTTTTTTGAGGTTAGACTGAAAATATTGATGTATGGCTTTAAAAAGGTGCATTAAGAGTCAATTTGTATTCTACAACATATTATGTACTGAACCGGTAAAGGCTTCATTAAGAGATTTTCAGAAACTTTGAAGTTTTAGCTTTATAATACAGATAATGGATTATGTTAATCCCTAAGATAATCTGTGTTAATCTTCACCCCTAACTGCTTGATCAACAAGTTTATTAAGGGGAAATCTGTTTGTTTTAGAGTTAGGCCTGTGATAATAACAATAGCTTTACAAAAGGATGCATTCTAATGAAACAACATCTTCAAGGTACATATTTGAAGTTTAATATGTTTCTAGTAGGTAGTTGGAGAGGTTTCTATGTGGCTTAAACAATAATCTGGCTTAAAACTATACCCTGCAGTGATAATCTTTCTGTGTTTGTTCATTATAGGTAATAGAGAGTCCCTCCTTCAACCCCCCTTGAAGGTCATTACCGCATCCCATGATGAGAATGGCTTTAATATTTTCACCTTTCTAGAAAATACTTCATCCCTCTAATAAATAAAACTTCCACCTTTTAAAAATTTTATGTATAAAATGATATGAGACACAATTACCACGGAAGTAAAAATTAATATAAATGTAGATTTATGAAAGGATGTGAATTTTTTCCTTTATTTTTGCTGTTATAATTTTAATAAATGAAATATGGTTATAACTCAGTTTACAAAAATTGTACTATATACAGTATTATACTCACTGAAAATAACAATATGGAAAATCTGACATTTGTCTTTGGTATTAAATTATATTCATATTAATTCTATTTTTATTTAGAATAAATTCTGTACTACATGGGTACACATAGAAAATAAGTCATGGCTCATAGTCAATGTAGGATATGATATAGTACAAATATTTCATAAAACTATATTTTATTATGTGTAATGAAATAATTGTGTACTATATATCATGACAATGGCATATAGATTTACATAATTTGAATTGATAATAGTTACATTTGAGATGACTATACTGAGTATTTTATCACTGAACAAACAATGACGGTTTTGTATTTTATGACCCATCGAGTTGGCAAATTAAAGAAATGTTGCCAATAACAAATCATGCTTTGTTAGTATTCATGTATTGAAATTATTCTTTTACATATCTATGTTTAGATAAATTTGATATCTAATCTGTGAATTGGATCGGAAGGAGTAGGTTTGGGTTATAACAAATTTCTTGATTGTATGGTTGTTATTATTTGGAAAAAGCCAGATGCTTTATTGATTTACCAGGAAATTGAAATACTAATTATGAGGAAATGTGTTTAATTTATATGTCCTTGTTTACTTGAACAATATAAGAGTGTTAGTTTTACATAAGTATGTTGACGATGTTATGAGGAGTTTTAACTTCTTTTTTGGAAATGGGAATTTCTATAGTGTCCAGAAGGTATGCAAGTCTGTTAATTTTATTTGGACATCAACTGTTGTATTGTTTGTTTGGTTATATCTAAAATATAGAAATCATATGTTATGTTCAAAAGAATACTTTTATGTAGAAAATATTAGATTAATGGTTTTGTTGGTAGAAGCATTTCCATTAATTAAGGAGACAGTTAACTGCTGTATTGAATTTTGGGTATATATATATATATATATAGATAAATCATATGTTATGTTCAAAGAATTGTTTTATATAGAAAATATAAATTGCGATGTTGGTAGAAGCATTTTCGAGGATGAAAGTAAAAAATTTGTTCTTCTAATTGATTATCAACCTTGGTAATTGATTGTTTGAATTATCATTTTGATTAATTGATTGATTAATTAGCTAACACTAAAAGTAATATTGTTGACACAAGCATCAAATGTCTATCTTTATATAGTTTTCTGAGATCTGGTTTCTCATTTTCAATCTCAGATACTTGCATATTCACATTATTTGACAAAATGACTGTTTGTTATAAAAGAAGAACCAGGGTAAGCTATAAAAAAAATATTGCAATATCAATAACTACATTCCTGAATTTATTCTATTAGTAATTGCAGGAGGTCTGCACTACATGTAAACAAACATGTAGACAAGATAGACATTGCAGGCAATAAACAACAAATATCAAATTATGTGAATGGATCTGATGGCTAGCCGTAAGTTTTGCCATAGACAAGATTGACATGTAAATTTCATAACATTTTGTAATGTTTTGTAAATTTCCTTTATATTTTTAGAGAGAGAAAGAGCGTTCAGATAACAATCATGTACAGAGATGGCGTAAAACAGCATCATTTAGAAGAAATAAGGCATTGAAATATCCAAGTCATTCACATGAGGTTTGTCTTATTTTATCATTGAAAACCATTTAATTAATGCAATAACACATGTAAACTGAACCCGAATACCGTAGTAGCCAGTATATGAAATATGAACTGTACTACAATGTGGATGACAAAGCTTAAAATATATTTTAATGTAGGCTATTTTAAGCTTAATGTTTGTCACATTATAGTTTTATATATATAGTTGAATGATTTTATAAAGATCAACTATCATAAAGACAATATGTCCAGAACTATTGATAAATAATAATTATTTTATAAAACCTGTTCAAATTTGACCATTTGTGAAGCTAACTTTACTCAAATCATTCCAGCAGACACTCTGTCTAGAAATATTGATAGATAATAATTATTTAATAATACATGTTAAATTTTGATGATTTGGAAAGCTAGCCGTACTCAAATTAGTCTAGCAGACACTCTGTCTAGAAATATTGATAGATAATAATTATTTAATAATGCGTGTTAGATTTTGATTATTTGGAAAGCTAGCCTTACTCAAATCAGTCCAGCAGACAATCTTCTGGAAATATTAATAGATAATAATTATTTTACAAAACCTATTAAATTATGATGATTTTCAAAGCTAACCTAACTCAAATCAGTCTAGCAGACAATCTGTCTGGAAATATTGATAGGTAATAATTTTTTTACAAAACCTGTTAAATTCTGATGATTTGTAAAGCTAACACTGCTCAAGTTAAAGTAAGTTAAATATAGGAGACAGACTGTCTGGAGAGTTGATAGGTAATAATAAATCTACAATGTAGAATATTTATTAAATAATACAGATTCTAATTCTAATCAAGACTACAGCTAATTAATATTACTCAAGTCAGCAAAGTTGTAGGAAGTTTCAGACTGTTTGATAAATCAGAACTTTTAATAATTATTTGATAATACCTTAGTTGATTAATATTAAGCTAAAGTTTAAAGATTCCATTAAATCACCTATACAAGTCTGGACCAACTTCACCCCCCCCCCCAAAAAAAAATGAACAAATTTTAGACAGTTGGATTGTTGATAATCATGAAAATGAATTATTATTATGAAGACAGTCTAAAAATAATCCATATTCTGTGTTTAACATTTAGAGAAAAAAAATCTATTAAAAAGATAATTTAATCTGCAAAAACTGTTTTAAAGCATAATGTAAGTTACCACAGTTTTGCTTTAAGTCCAAGTGAAGGTGTGATAAAAGCAAACATGGCTTATTTTAGCTTCTGATGAAGCACTTCAATGAATAACATTTGTTATGATACTTTGAAAGTAAATTAGGGCTTCAAAGTCATTATATAATAAATTTCAATTTCTTTGATAATTAAAACATAAAATGGGAAAAACAATTAAAGTCTCTATTTAATAGATAGAATAAACATTGGATCTTTCGTTCAGCTAGTGTATATTTTGGTCACTTATAGTTTTAATGTGAAATGAGTGATACTTGTGGATTAAAAGTAAATTTTTATCTTAAGATCATGAAAGTGTATCAACCTTGTACAAACTTAGGGGGGGGGGGGATTTATTCCTTAATGTGAAATGAATTATACTTGTAAGAATGAGATGAAAATGAGTGATGCTTCCAAATAAATGGAATTTAGATTCCAAAGGCTTTTAATTTGCCATTTGTAAATGACTGTGTTTTTTCTGCAATACACTGTGACATTTCATTTTGAATTGATATAAAATTCTTTTAATGCCAATATTATTATTACCTACTAGTTGTAAATTATGTCAAACATTTAATTAGCCGATGACCCAACACCTTAATTAGTTTCTCTACCTGTTTGACCAATGAGACTGGGTGTTACCAGGTAAACTAATTAGTAGCAATGTTATTGTAGGCTAGTCTTTAATCTGTCAAAACACCTTCCCTTTTAATGGCCTTCCTCCTATTGGTCTACCTCAACCCCTAGGTATCAAGCTCTTTGATTGAACTGTGAAAAACTCTCAAAGGTTCTTCATCATTTCTTAACTAGGCTTTATTCTATTCTATTCTTGTGTCAGCTTCAAGGAGAGTAGGTTTCTCCACAGCTAGTATAAAAGCCAAGTGAACAGTTTGAGGTGACAGAACATTTCTGACATCGGTCAAGCTAACATCTCAACTTTAATATATCAGTTTTAATATTTCATTCAACATCTTATCAAAATGGTTATTAGCAGTGAGCTCGAATTGAACATGACTGTGTCATGTGACTATTTTGAATGCTACGAACAAACTTATCGTAAACGAAAACATACCAGAAGCAAATCTGGACAAATGAGCAAAAAAATTCGAGGAAGACCCCCATGTGTTATTTTGGATTATAGCATCTGTCTTGATGTAAGTATTATAATATGTAATAATAATATTATAGGAGATAGTGGAAAAAATCAGTGATTGCATTAATATAATAATTATGATACAAAGTTTAATTTTAAATAAACTACTAATTGATTAAATATTGATCTTATAATAAGATTATGAAAAATTGTTGACTTAAAAAAAATTACTGTCTCTAAAGATAATCTTATTAAAGAAATGTGGTATCTGTTATAAGCTTGTGTATTAATTCCATAATCTAAGATAAGATTTATTAGTTGACTAAATTAATACTGTAATTAAACACATTATGGTAAAGAAGTATTAGCCTAGAAACTAGGATTAATATTCCAAACATACAGTGTACATGTTAATAGTAATACAATGACAAGCATATATAGACAGGACGTACATCAGTAATGGATATATTTCTAAGTGCTGCAACTACATTGTGAATAATTTTCTAATAATGGAGTATTTCTACTCGGTGTTTGTTTAATTCTTTTAAACTGGAATAACATTAGATTAGATACATTAGTTAAATATTGAATGATTTTGTGTTCAAATATTTAAATCATGATATGCATAAGAGCATTTAATCATGATGTTTTCACTCTAACAAAAAGTCAAGTAGCAGATTTTCCATCAAATATATCACTAATACAAACGGTAAGGAAACTTTAGTTGGTATTTAATTCATATTTAATTAACCATCTGAATCATCAAACAGTAAGTAAACATTAGTTGGTAGTTATATATAATTCATATTTAATTAGCCGTCTGAATCTATATCGCTAATTTACAAAAAGTTTTAATACTTTTCGGTTTGTTGTTAATTTAATTAGCCACCTGCAAGGATAGTTTATTATAATTACTGGCTCAAATAACTATTGTAACATTATTTTACAAGATTTTCTATTCTAACCCCATAAAACTAAACCTTAATGAATAAGCAGCAAATAAATTAAACCCTCCCCCACATAGGGCCTCAATAATTAAACAATTACTTCAAAGATTTCCAAATTATTTTATGGCCTATAATGTCTCGGTTAGAGGCCTTGGCTTAAAGATTGGTTACACTAAGTAGTTTACTCGGGTTGGCTTCTATTGTATGTATATATTTGTAGGAGTAAAACTATAGACTAGCCTCACACCAGGGGTAATCAAGGTTTAGTAGCATGCTACACCTCATCACCCTATTGTATAGTTGATTACAAACAATAGATTTAATCCCTTTTATCTCAATCCATCCTATTGTCTATAAAATTGAAAAGTAACAATCAGAAAGATTCTGATGTTTGATATCTTTATCTTGAGTCAAAGATTATCATGAAAGTGTTGATCCATGGAAATTAAATTTTACACATCTACTGCTAAATGTTGATCTTCACAGCTAATATTTTTACACATTCGATTCAGAATGAGTTTTTATGATTTGGTCGTCAGGGTTTATCTCAGAGGTTGATTCTTTATCTTCTTTTCGCTCTGTTTTTGGATAATTATCACATGGGGATTAAGAAACTAATTATTTTTGATTACATTTTAAATTATTTTAATTGTTTATTTCACTTTTCAGTCTTTGATTGTTGGTGACGGTGATACAACACATAAATTACTCCCAGCTAACAGTGTTAATAGTATTGTACAACATGTTAATAAAATAGACGAAGATGACGATTCAGGTAGAATTGCTGGTTGGGCCGTTAACTTTGAAAAGCTTCTTCAAGATGAAGCAGGACTTGCTGTTTTCACTGTAAGTATAGCAAAAAATCATATTCAATACAAAGATACTTTTTTATAAAATTAATTTGTGTGCAACCTGTCCATTCATGTATTTAAGCTTAATAGTTCGAAAATACTTCAGGTCAAATTTAGATGTTTTTAATATTTAATTTCAGGAGTTTTTAAAGAAAGAATTCAGCGAAGAAAACATCATTTTCTGGACTGCTTGTAAAGATTATAAGAACATAACTGATGAGCAGGAGAGAAATATTAAAGCTAAAGAAATCTATAATCGTCATTTGAGTACTCGAGCTACTGATCCAGTTAATGTTGATAGTGCTGCTAGATTACATGCTGATAAATTTATAGATACACCTAATGCTATCATGTTTGATCTGGCTCAACAACAGGTAAAAAACCAAATATTTTCTGACTTTTTAAATTAGATGTTATAAGTAAGAAAGAAATTATTGAAGAAAAGTGTTTCAAAATTGGATTTGATCAAAAATTAATAAAATTTGAAGACAGATAATCCCAGTTTATAAAATTTAAATGATTTAATTTTTTGTTCTTTTTTTCTCCAGATTTTCAGACTGATGAAAACTGATAGTTATGCCCGATTCTTGAAATCTGAACTGTACAAGACTTATCTGTTACGTGAAATTGAAGGTCAGCCTTTAGATTTACCAGTCATAGAATCAGAAGTAGAAAAGAAACCTGCAGGTGATAAGAAAAAAAAGGGTAAAGAAAATGAAGAAAAGACAAGACGCAGATCTTTGTTACCATGGAAACAAAGTAAATCAAAAAACCCTAAGTCAGCCTCCGATTCTGAATTAAAGAGATTAGGTAAAGTTAAAGGTTCTAAAGAAGATATATCTAAACCTATTAAAGAAAGAAAAGAAGAACATACAAAGAAACTACCAGGACCTGGCATTGACCTTAGTACCATGAGAAAAGAAGTTTTCAGTTCTAAAGAGGTGAGAAACGGAAATAGTTTTCAAAAGATTTTACTATGAAGATATCTGACTTAATAGTTTCTGTATTCATGATTTCTGAAGTAGAACTTTTAGCCCTGTGTTGGATCAAAAAATATGAGATCTAATTGATTTGCTTGTTCTATATTTAAGCCTGTTGCGGAAAAGAAAGCTGAACAAAATGAAGGACAGTTTAAATTTTGTCGAGTCATCATGCCAGATGGTTCTACAACTGTGGTATGCGCTAAACCTGGTCAAACTACTAGATCTGTATTGGGTAAACTATGTGAAAAACGTAGTTTGTCTATTGCCTCTGTTGATGTCTTCTTACTCGGCTGTGATAAGGTATTTATTTTAAAAATGATATGATTTAGCAATTCAACTCAACAAAGCAAGATGTTCCCCAAATAAATTAAGAAGTCAGAAAATTGAATTACAAATTCAGAAATCATAAAAGTGATTAATAAATTTAAATTTTGACAATATGTTAATTTTATTTTTCAGCCCCTTGATCTGAGTGAAGATATTTCATTGTTGGGATCTAAAGAAGTCATTATTGAACGACGTGTTTTGTTTCGTATGGATTTACCCAATAAGAAATCTATTGGTGTTAAAGCAAAACCAAATCGCACTATCCGAGATGTCTTCAAACCCATTCTAAATAAATATGGTTATCGTGTTGACCAGGTCGGAGTTCAGTTGGTGAGTGTAATATTTTTAGGTACTTATATTTTTAAAGACAATATTAAACCATTAATTATTTAAATTTATTAAACCGTTAATTACTGAGTTTATTAAACCATTAATTATTTTAGTTTATTACGCCATTTATTATTTGAGTTCATTTTATACCATTAAGTATTTTGAGTTTAGACAATTGTTTTATTTTTGTATTCTTATTATATTTCAGTCTGGTGGTAGTGATTTCTTAGATTTAGAAGTGCTGGTATCAGAAGTTGACAATCAGAGAATTATTATTATATCTAAAGAGGATTTAAATGGTAAGTTGATGTTTTATGATTGACCCTCAAATGGGAAGACCTAACTTTTGAAATCCTTCTATTCTAATGCTTCTGATCCCAAAAATAAAAGAAATAATTTCATTAATTGATCTATCTATCTTTGCTTGTCTTGTTTGTTGTAAGAATGAGTTGATTGTGGTAGTAAAGGGAGATAGTTTAATAAGTTAAGAATATAGTGTTTGAGTGTTATGTGTAAGTTTGTGGTATAGTTGGCTAAGCTTGGTTGTAATGTCTGCTTTTCTTTACAATGCTTACTATAAGGATATTATGGTAATATTATTTGTTATTGCCAAAAAGGTAAGAAGTGCTGAATAATTTTTCATTAAGTGCATCATCATTGCTCATCATCATTGCCTTGCCCAATTTATTAAACCATTACTAACACATAACATTTTATAATAAGTTATTAATAACCATAAATTGCTCTACTAATTATGCTAATATATTACTAATTAGCATCCTGATTTTATTTGTAGTATTTAATTTGTACTAACTACTAATTAATTGCTCTAGCTCACACAATTCTCTACTAACTTATTCCAGTAATTTGGATCACAATTAAATTAAAAGAATTATTGTTTATATCAAAACTTCAATCTGTTTTATTACTAAAATTTTTTGTTGCACTGTTTTTATCTAACAAAGAATTTGATTTAAAAACCATTAATTACAAGTTTGCTTTATTCAAAAAGAAACACGGAAATGCAGTTATTATTTTTAAAAAATATATGTAAATTTTTAAAAAAAAAAGCAAACTTGTACTGCATGTTGTTCTTCCCTTTAATATATTATATCCCTGCATGTTTCTGTTTGTCTAACAGAATGGGGTGGCAATGACCAGCGAGTTATGTTGACTGCTAAGCCTCCTCTGGCCTCTGCTAAATTCAAAACCAAAGCTAGTGTACACACATCAGCCTCTCTTGAAGAAATTACAAATGGCATCTTTGAGGATTTGATGAAAGGGAAATCAGAGAATATTCATAAATTTGATGATTTGGGTGTTTTAGAGTTTGATAATGGCAAGGTAAGCTGTAGTGTAGTTGTTTAGAGATGGTGATATATATTTTATTGTCTTACGGTTGGTTTGCTGGATGAAGATATTTGGTTAATGGCAGTGTTAAATTGTAGTTGATTTGTATCTTACTGCTAGTTCATGTTTTGTTGGTTTAAGATTATTAGACAATACAAATTCCTTGATGTCATTGTATTCCATGACAAAACCTTAAATATTCCTTTCTATTTTTTCAGCTGTTCAGAAATCCAGAAGGAAATCGCTCATCAAACTTATTAGGCCTACTGAGAAAAGAATCCTGGGGAAAAGAACGGAACAAGCCGAAGGTCAGGAACAAGGTGACTTTTGCACATCCAAAGATTGAAAACTCGAAGAAAACTTCTGACCAAGAAGGTAAGAATCTATAAATTAATTAAACATATTTAAACTTCTAGAAAATTGAACAAATGTAACATCCTGTGATAAGTAACATAAATAATTAAATATTTTCTGACAAACTCGTTTCTTTTTATTTCCAGACGAGAAACTATTCGAGCTACTACGCAAAGCCCAGAGCCATAGGCTAGATGATCAAAGAGGTTTGACGACCAGCTCTGTTGAGATGCCAGAATTCCTACGAAGAGATGAGTGGCAGAACTCCCAAACTGCAGCTCATCAAAGAATTCCGTCACTCAGCGATGTCTTCGATGAGATTCACTTCAATCCAAACTCATCTAACCCAGAACGAGATAAGCCGAATAAAGAAGACACTCCTGAATTTGGGTTTGGGGCAGAGGCACGAAAAATCAAAAAATTTCAAACTTTCGGCACCAGTGATAAAATTGAGTTCTCTAATCATAGTTTTAGTGATGATGATATACAACCGGATCTTGAGTCAACTGAGGATTATTTCAATACGAAACCTGTGATAGTGGACTGTAAAGCAATGATCCTGAGTGATATTCAAAAGGAAATTGATAGTACTAATCAATCCCCACTCTCGGGAAATTATAACTTCTATCCGAAAACAGAATCAAGAACCACAGCTCCCTTTGCTTCCCCTGAACAATACTCTCCAAATCAAAATGATTTAGACAGAACTTTAGTTCAGTCACCCAATCCAGCATTTGTTACACCAACTAATAATGATATTACTTCAAATGGTGATCTTTCAAGTGAGGCTATAGCAGATTTTACTCCGCCAACTCCAGTTAATACCGTTTCCAAACTTCAACATTCAGAATCATCAGGTTTTAAAATAGTGACCAAAGACTCTCCACATTTGGGAAATAAAGGTGCTTTAAAAGACAAATCAAATATATTTATTCAAACACCTCCCTCTTATCAATCACTAGTTAAATCGGGCAAAATAAACCTAACACCAAAGAACATTAAATTAACACAGCCTAAACTTTTCTGTTCTCCATCTGATGTAGATAGTGAAAACCCAGTTGTAACTTTTGTGTAACGTGCCATTATGTGATGAATTTTATCTTGTGAAATAACCACTGTTGTGCAACAGGTAAAACCATTTGTTTTTTGTTAAATATTTTATTAAGTTTTAATTTTTCCAGGTAAGGTTGTTAAAATGAATTTCATTGGTTGTAATTCAACGACTTTGTTAAACTATATTTTATCTAGTTAGTACATGCATGTAAAGATTTTGTTGTTATGGTTATAAAATTCTGCTAATACAGTTGTGTTCTATGTACAATTTTGTAGTTTTTAAATTTATTTCTGTGCAATTAGTGTAGTTTTAGGTTGTGTACATCCTTTCAGTTTTATTCTGTATATTATATAAAATATATCATGTGAAATTAACATGGTTGTGTACAATATTAGCAGTAACAAGTAGAGATTTTTTGAATAATTTTTATTTGCTTTTAATTTAACAGAACATTTCTAGTAATCGATTTCTTTATTGTATTAAAAGAATGTATTTGTATATGTGCAATTGTTTTAAAGGTGCTTTAAGAGGCTATGACTGTAAGTGTGTGAATTTGTAATTAAATGCTTTGAATTGTAGTATCCAAAGAATTGTAGTAAATTGTATAAAATCCTTCATATTGTAATAAATACGATCTGAGAAAAAAAAACCCAGAGATTATCTTTAGTATTATTTTCTGTGATCCATTGACATTTATGTCAGATCAAGCGGGGGGGTAACATAATTAAACCAACATTATATGATTATTTTGAGGTGCTAAACTTGACTATACCATCCCCACCACTAAAAAATTATATTGACTGCTATACTTCATGGTAAACCTATTACAACAATTAGGCCTCCGGAATATTACTTGGATTCCTCCAAGTCTGTCCCTGCAGCCTTTCATACATAGTCGACTCAGCATTATCTATGCAGAACACATCATACAATAATCAGGAGGCGGGGTCCACAACCCCCTTGGCTTGTCCAGAGCCTATTTTGTTTTTCTCCTACATTCATTGAAATTACGTGGAACAAAGTGCAAAACATTGCTGCCGTTTTGGCTTCATTCCATTTTAATCGGATACATGTACATGCACTTAAATGGGTAGTATCACCCAGATTTCACACCAAACTTGACATTGTCTCCACACCAGACTTCCCTCATAATGTGAAGGAGAATGCATGAACTAAAGTGTATAGTTCCCCCCCCCCCCCCAATATCTAGAAAACAACCCCTCAAACACCTGATCACCACACACATTTGGAATATACGCAAAAAACTGGTCTAGAAAAACTTGGGTCTCATAAATTCACAGCTTGGGTGGCGATTTCCCCACTTCAGCCACCAGACGAGTACGCCTAATAGTAATAGTGTTATTCTTAGCCAAAATGAGAGAAAAGAAAACTGGGTAAAGATCATCAACTTGACACAAACTAGATCATATCGGGACTAATATTGTTCAATTTTGTTTCAATAAATCATTTTTTGGGGGTCATTAGAAGTTGGAGGACCTGGAGAAAACCCACAAGGATGGACGGGCGACCCTACTCCTTGTCATGTACAAGCAGGGAATGAAAACCATGACAAACCTTATGATTTCACATGCATGCATTAAACCACTAGACATATCCCCCAGTCAAAATGACAGAAATTTTGTTACAATATTATGTTAGTCTTTACAAGTTGAGGGATATACTTTCTAAAAAGCATCTCAGATTTTAGACCAGTGGTTCTCAACCTTTTTTTGCCGACGGTACACCTTGAAACACATGAAAAAATAGCGGCACACCTTGCAAAATATATCTGAAAAATATTTGAATTTTGCAAAATATAAACATGGCAAGTCATAAATGATATCAAAGGGTCTCTGTGGTGTAAAAATAGAGTTATGTCCCTTGGGTCACCAAACGTTTTTTTTTTTTTTTTTTGCGGGGGTTGGTACAGTTAGGCATTCCCATTCCCTATAGTCCAAGGTTTGGTAAAGAATCGATGATTTGTGTTCAGTGGAAGAAGCAAATATTACAATACAAGAAACAATTTTTCGAACTTTTTATATTGATCTAAAAAGTTTGTTCTCCCTAATTCGCTGCTACTGAACCATATACATGCACAGTCAAACATGCATCAAGCATTGTGTCGGCATAAATTTATATTATTCTAGCAACTTTGACAATAGACTTAGGTCATGGTAAAGGACATTTTATTGACACTGTATTTAAAGGAGCTAAATCGCTAATACTTGGGACCTAGAAATTGACCCAAATGGGTCGCAACACATATAATAATGTAATCTGATTGTATATAAACTGATTTACATTCAATTGTTTCCGTTTTGACTCTTAGTTTCAAATCAGTTATGTCCAGCGAAATAAGGCATGTGTCTCAACCCTATAGCAATTTCTAGCGTCTGGTTATGCCCGTCTATTCAGCAGGCTCTCCAGTTGAATATGTCTAGCCTCGTTCTTTCTGGTCACTTGTTGTAAATGACGCTAAAACGCACTATGGTACACGATTCGTGTACCAATGGTAAAATATTTATTTTGTCTTAAATATTGGATATCAGAAGCCTGCCTTTTCCTGGTAAGATCACAACATCAATGTTGATTTGAATTGACAAATATTTCGCATTTTCAACGTGTAAGACTTTGGATGATATTGAGTTAGAGACTTAGCTACTTTAATCAGTATGGATCAATATGTTTGAGCTTGGGGGGGGGGGGGGCAGTACCTGAACCGGCGTTTTCCAGTTTGTACACTAAACACCTTGAGTAATTAACATGACATCCATTCCAATCAACCATTTAAGTCAACCAGCCTTGGATGTATTGCGGAACTAGGAATCTCCCCACTAACGCTAGACACCTATACCCGCATGCTTGCTTATGTATTGTAAAAGGCTAAACGATGTCACGAGGAAACAAATATTTCATCTACTTTCAGCAGCCTATAGTGAAGATAAAACTATATCCTCTAAAAATGAAAAATTGTCTTGGTCAGCAGCAATCAGCAACGAACGGACTTGCGAATCACGACGAAGCCCACTCACGAGCGTCAAAGTAGTGAGTCCTCCCTCAGAAAATTTTGAAAAATAGACTGCCGGAAATGCTGTCTTACAGTATTCCCAGGCACCGATCGTCGAGATAAATAAATCTGACCAGATACCGTCCGTCGCCTGATCACTAGTTTATCCGACTAGAGAACAAAATGTCAAACGAACGGACTTGCGAACCTCAACGAATTCCCCTTGTGAGCGCCAAAGTAGCGAGTCCATTGGGGACCTCGCCAAGAAAAATTTGAAAAATAGACTGTCGGAAATGCTCTACAACATGCAAGTTTATGACTGAGTGGGGATGTGGGATTTATTCACCGTAAAAGGTATTGATTACCGAAACGTATTACAAATACTTTTTTTTTATTTTCTAAAATTATTGGAGGGGGGGGGGGGGGAGCAAACAGAGGGCAGACCAGATTAATGGGGGAGGGGGGGGGGAATATGTCTATACACGTAAATTAAAATCTACAGCCAATGATATAATATAACCGATTTGTGTTCAACAATGACCAGTTTAGACCAAAAACGAAACTAAAATTAGTAATTAGTAATTCTTCAAAACAAAAATTTAATTTTCAGAGTTTGTCTTATATCTGATTGAAATAGTGGATCATATCAACCTGATTCAACACGTTATGGTGACCGTAATCAAAGAGGTTAGCTAATTTGAGTATATTAGAAATAAGTACACAATTATACAAGATTAAAACAACATCATTTTCATATACATTCCGAAAATAATATAATTCGACATAATTTAAAATATTTCATTGATTCCTTAATTCTATAAATTTAGAGGTGGCAACTTTCTATTTTTGCCTGTGTATGGGCGTTTTGTTTGTTTATTTATTGTAGGAGTCTTCGCTTTATATTAACTACGTGTTAAAGTTTGGGCAGGTTTTAATAAATTGGGCAGCGGGGTAGCGTTGACATTCTTAATAACTTTGAGATTTACATAAATCTTTTTTTTATCTATTGATGTTACTGATTTTATCTTTGGAAGCGAGAACCGCTTATCTCCAGTAAATACTGTATTATCTGTTGGTGGAAGATGCTTCGGTGGCAGTGTTTGATTTTTCGATATTTTAATGGAAGTATCTTTAGCTTTCATAGCACTGGCTCTAGTAGGTCTAGGCATCGTCACCTTTTTGGGGAAACTTGGCATTGGTTGTGATTGGTGCGTGGTACCTTCCGAGCTGGAAATTATTGGTTTCAGCTTTTTGTTTTTAAATTGTTGGTATTGGATTGGCAAGTTTGGAACAGCTCCTAAAGGAGGCAACTTGGGATATTTTCCTAAACTATCTTCGTAGCAGAAAGCTTCTTTCACAGTGGAAGCATCTTTAATGGTGTATTTCACGGTGAAAGATGGGTCTTGTGGGACCGGGCTGCTATCATCCATCGTCTCGATGTCCTCGACATGATTATCAGTATTACCTCTTTGAAGTTTTTGAATATCGGTCGTATTGCGGATACCTTCACTTGGAATTGAATTTACAGTTTCTGAAACTATGCTGGACACACCCCGAGTTGTGTTGGAGATGGTGTTGTTTGATAGCAGTGGACTTTCCCTTGAGTCTGAGATCTTTAAAGGCTTACATGTTTTATATGCATCTATACCGTTGTATGTGTCCAATAGATCTTTCTGATCTATTCCTTTGTTGCTACTGACCACAAACTTGTGCTTTGTATCCATAACAACTAAGCTCTTCATCGGTTTACATGTAGTATATTCATCCATATTGACACATGGCGAATATGTGTCCATGTTCTCATCTATTTTGTTCCTGGTGTTTCTAGTGCTGACCTGTTTGTTGAATCCGGACAATGATTTCTGATTTTTATTTATCAAATCGTTTTCTCCATTCTGGCGATTTTCACTCTCAAGCATTTGATCTTCAAGACTGGCGCATGAGATGGGTAGAAGTCTTTCATCTACCATAGCTTGAACAACGGGATCAACAACAGTTGGACTTAAATCTTTCACTCTTTTACCAAACCGATATCTAACCTTCTTCCCGCCATCAATAGGCGGTGCTCTCTCAATGTATTCCTTCTTGCCTTTACTTCTTGTACATTCGTAAAGTTTCTTGTAGAAATCAACCTCTTCATCGGCCCTCTCAACACTACATTGTAGAATCAAAATACGATTCATACAATCATCGTTTTCATAATGTAGCTTGTCAATATGTCTGAAATAAAAGATAGGCTACATCAAATAATTATAGCTAAATTTTACGAAATTGGAGTAAATTATTTACTTTTATCATTAAAAATAGCAATGAAATAGTATCTCCATCAAAAATAGTACATTCGCTGAAAAAAGTAAAAATAAATCATTTACTATAATTCAAATTAAAGTAACTGTTAAGTTGATCAATTTTAAAGCGGAGATCATCATTTGTTGATTCCATCTGATTGTTGTATATCTTAACACTTTCATCGGTATCCTGTATGGATGAACCTGTAAATATAAAGAAGATAGACATTTTGGATATTATCTTGATCCTTTTGATCGGGATATTAATAAAAAAAGAATATCGTGAAAGAAATTCATTCATAAGTGACCTTCTTAGATCCAAACCAAAAGTATATAAAAACAGTCGATTACCTATACGCGTACTAAAAGATCAAAAAACAAAGGTATATAAACACAATCTAATATATCTACGTGCATTTAAATATTAAAACTGATCTACGTTATGAGAAATATCGCGTTTAACATATGATAGCTGATAATCGTCGGTGCCAAAAGGGATAGGATAGAATGTCCGGCTTATATAGATATACTGAGTTACCGTATGCCAAACGAAGTGTAAAAAGACGGCTTTTTTCATTCTTCTATCAGCTTAATATTAAAGTTCCCTGGTAGTCTTACCAACACCAGCAACAACATGAAAAGGGTATATCGAAAGTCAGCACCGATACCTAACCAAATATTATGTGCAATTGAATTGGAAATAGATCTATCTAGAAATTATTTAATGACATCGGACAAATTATCATATTTTTTATATAAGAATATTTCATATTTGTTTTATTATATGGCCACTCAAAAGCTAAAACGGACGCGTCTTTTCTTTTCCTTCTATAGTGGCTAATGGCATAGACCGTACACTATTCGTTTGTGCTCGTGGTTGATGTTTCTCACGCATGTAGTTGAAATGGATCATTAAATGCAAATGACCATGTATGTATATTGTATGTTTAAATGTAAATGCAGAACAAACCTTTAGAGTCAGTTCGAGGTTTAGATAGTATGTTCCCTCCACCGGTTTCAGGTTCAACACTACACCAAGATCCGCTCAAAGATGATGCATAAGATCCTGTTACAGATTCACGTGAATCACTTCTAGCTGATACGGGTTCATGTTTAATCCAATAAGCTTCACCAGGAATTGGTTCTGGTAAACCTACAAATGTAAGAAATACAGAGACACAGCCTAAGAAACATCTTAAGAGGCCCTTTATGTTACCAGTATTCAGCTTGTCTATAGACTTTAAATAACCGAACTCTGATTTAATTTAAACGTAGAATAATAGAGCGAGTATATAATGTTTCAAACTTACTTTATCAGCCAGCTTTTTACAAGTACGATGAGCTAGACTCGCGTCTAATACTCACCAGTAATGTCTCTAGAAGATGGGTAGAGAACATCTTCATCATCTTCACCTAGAGGTTCCATAACTTGATAACCATTTAATACACGCTTTTTAAAGTCATGTAAAAAATCAATTCTACAAAACAAAACCATAATTTCCATCTTGATTTCTTTTAGTTGTGTTACCTTGGCATTCTTTAGGAAGGAAACGTGTCTTACGTTTTGTGTTAGAATTATGTTATTGGAGACTATTAACTCCCTGTCATTTTAAACAGTTATTTATATACAAAAAATGAAAAATATTCTTACCTCGAATCCATTGAACAGATATTTAAAATTAAGACTGAAAATTCGTTAAAATGTAAAACTTTGCTACATAAAAAGTAGAAAGACGTCCTGTTAATAAATAAAATAAGAGCAGGAATGGTGGAACAATAGACATAACGTCATGGATTGCATTATTACGTCGTTTAATTATGACTTCATAATAGTTAAATTTCCCTGAAAGAGTTCTGAAAACCCCCGCTAATATTCCCAAATATCCATAGGTACACAGATTAGGGTCCAAGGGGCTTTATCGCTTTCTCCCATAGATAGATATGCAGCTTTGTAAAACACAGGGACTTATTATTGTGGCGATGACTTTTTGAGATGCTGTAGGCTACTTAAATTGGTAGAGATCCAGATGCCCCTTTAAAAAAAAATTCGGTACTTGGGGCTCTGCATTAAATCTTTTAGATAGCTATCTTGTGGGTAGAAAACAGTGTATTTTAGTTAATTGTAAATCGTCGCCTGAATCTGTTTTGTCAGCTTGGGTTGCTCAAGGTTCTATTCTTGGTCCAATTTTATTTACCCTTTATACGTCACCATTAGGTGATATTGTCAGAAAATATGGTCTCAGCTTCAATTTGCATGCCGATGATACTCAATTATATATTACATTTACACCCAATTGTCCATCTACTTTCAATTTATCAAAATTGCAACTTGAAAACTGTATTAGTGAAATTATAAAATGGATGTCAAAGAACTTTCTAAAATTGAATGATGATAAAACCGAATATTTGTTATTAGGCTCAAGGCATCAATTAAGTAAATTTGCACATGATAACCCCCCTGTTGTAATTGGTAATTGTGATATATTTCTATCTTATTCTGCTCGTAATATTGGCGCAATCTTTGATTCACTTTTAGTTGGTTTACCTTTAAAGCTTATAGATAAATTACAAAAAGTACAGAATACTGCAGCTAGACTTGTTACTTTAACTATGGGCTACCATACCGTACCTAATTTTAACTGGAAACGTTTTTTGAAACTTTCAGGAAACCTGTATTATGATAAGACAATGGTCCCTATTTCTTTTCGTCAAGATCTGATTAAACATACATTATGCAAGAGCTAAATCTGTCTATTGCAGGTCTTTCTTTAGGCCTGAAATGTTATCTAAATTATTAATTAGATATTAATTAACTTATCCAGACCATAATCAACTCTAGATGGCATCGCTAGCCTGCGATCTTAAGTGGATTGTGAGCCGATTTACTGCATAACTTTCCTTCTCGATTAAACGATTAAATAGATAATGTTTATCGTACTGACTTTAGTAATGATGACCGAGGCTAGACAGAAATTTCATTCGCTTAATTTTCGGTTCATAGTGGATCAATTTGAATGAAATTTTCAGCAAATTGCCTTTACGTTATCTAGTTTTTAACTATTATAGTGAGAACTGCCAACTCGTTATCGAATCTCCCATAATGTATCTTTAATATTTTAGAATTAAATGCTCCTTTTTTTCTGAAACCTGTCTTGGAGGCCGGAGTTAATTTCATCGAATATATGTAATTTTAGTAAATTTGTACATGAACTATTAAGGTCCCTGTTTCGTATTAGGAAAACTCGACGATCTTTTCGTCAAAATCAGATTAATTGTGTTAGAGTTATGGCCCTTGATCACTTTGAAAAATCTTGTGGATGCTCTAGAGAAAAAAGTTGTCTTGAAATTGATGCAGTGTTGAAGAGCATGTGACTAAGAATCCTATCGATTGTCAACGATTTCCGATACTTACTGCCAGAGTTATGGCCCTTCATCACTTTGAAACGTCTTGCGGGCGTTCTGGAGGCTAGAGTTAATATCCATTATACTTTAAATGTACACACAGACGTAGAACCCAGGGGCGGATCTAGGAATTTTGAAAAGGGGGGGGGGCAGGGCGCTGCAAAATGAAGGCATTGACCGCAGAGACGGGGGGGGGGGGGGGCCAAAAAAATTATCCGTCATTTCCTTGCATCTGTAGCCATTCGTAGAGCTATTTCCTAGACTGGTGTGTTTGAGTCGATGGTTTGAGTCATTTGGGATCCCTACAACGGGTTGGGAACAGACATATTTGAGTCTGAGAAAAGGCACTTTCAGCAGTAAAAAAGGGCACTGTCGAAAATTAGGGGGGGGGGCCCCCCTCGCGCCCCCCATTGAATCCGCCTCTGGAACCATATTGATTTTCAACAATTTCCGATAATTACAGTCAGAGTAATGGCTTTTGATCACTTTGAAAAATCTTGTGGACGTTCTAGAGATTAAAATTAATAGTGGCCAGAATTTTGATTAGATTTTAAAAAAAAAAAAAAAACAACCTTCAGAAAACTTATGGCAAGACGAGTAGCTGTACCTATCCCTATTTCTTTGTCCAACTGGACAAGAGGAAACCATGCTGGAAAATCCTGGGAACTTTAGATGGAACCTCAGATATTCACTTTAAGATATCTACATTTGTTTCGTTTTTAAGCAAAACATGAATTAGTAAGAGTAAAGGAGTAAGATGTCTATTCCAGCACATTCTTTAGTCAAATAATGACATGTATTATGCCAGAAAAAGACTTTTTGTTATCTAACTATTAACCATTTTCAATGGAACATAACTTCTCACTCTCCAGGCTTATAATTCTATATGCAAATGGTGGTCAAGACTACATTTCAAACACTCCTAAAATAATAATTAGTTACCTGGGAATGCTGGATTAAAATGAAGAAAACAAGCAATACAATATAAAGAATACTTTTTATTAACATTTGGTATATTTACTTACCAACATATAATAATCAATAATAATAATAACAGTCAATAACTTGTCAATACCAACTTTAATGCAACCATTATATTCTCAACACAAAAATATCTGATTCGTACAAATGTAAAATATGATAGTAATAATATTACAATTTGCTGTCAGAAGGCACAATATGTAATAAATTAGGAAACATGTCAATGTAAAATAACCTATTTTTACAATTGAAATAAAAGAAACACTTATTATATTAGAAACAAAAAGTTGAACCCTAAATCACATCCTTGGTATTCCCAGTGTTTTCATTCCATTCTACTCCACTATACCCTGGGTTAATCCATAGGGTTTTCACGATTTCAAATTATCTGCCCTGGGCTTGATTGTAGATAAGGTCTACGAACCAATCAAGAAACAGTTTACAAACCAGTCGTTTTGCCTTCAATTTTATAAGGGTAATTAGGCCAACCCCTAAACTTGTCCGATGAGAGTTACTTCCCTTTGCCAACTTCCTTTTTCAATTAACGATGCATGGGATTGGCCGATAAAAATAGTACAATCATCAAGGGCGCATAACTTGATAACATGTCTCCCTCATAGATTTACCCCAGGGGTTAGTGGAGTAGAACGGAATGAAACCACTGGGGATACCTAGGATGCCTAAATCAGTGATGAGTTAAATGCCCATTAATTCTAATAAATGCTTTTGATTTATATAAAAGTTATAAATTGTATAACATGAAATCAATGTGTCATAAATTAACGCAAAACATCTATGATATAGTGCTTTGAGCACGCTTTATAGATTCTATCTTATTACAAAAGTACATTTATTATTATTATAAAAATTAGTCCACTACTGGTTTTTTTTCATGAAATGTCAAGAACATTTAGTTCTACCTAATTCTTCTGTGCCAAGGTTAAGTGTAACATACCTTGAATAATGAACAATTGATGTCTACTATAATCAGTCCAAGTTTTTACATTGATTTAGTGCCTGCAATTATTTCATACCTATAATACCAATTATCTAAATGAGAATTTGTCAGGATTTAATGTTTTTTGCTATATTTTAGCTAAACAGTAGCAAATCACATAAATATAAGTCAGAAAGTGGAAAATGTTTTCAAGGGCATTGCCCAACAACAAATATATAATATATGTAACAACATTTTGAAGCTTGGCAAGAGTCATATCAAAATATTCTCAACACATGTAACTGTCACCTCACTCATCTGTATACAGTGTTGACAAGGTTCCTGTAACAGGGGAAATAATTCCACAAAAACTAATGTGCTACTCCAAAAAAAAAAAAACCTGGCCTGTAGAAAATTTTAACAATTTTGATGACGTTCAATAGCTTTGCCAAAAACAATGAGTTCCTCCTTACGACCAGCCGAACAACTCCAGCAAGGTTCTTTTTAAAAAAATCTCAATAACTCTGACCATTAGAGCCTTGACTAGTGGACATTATGCATATTAACAGTTTTGTAAAATTATGTTCTCTCAGAACTAATAACACATAATTTACATGTAAAAGTGTAGTAATAGTCGACAACTGTTGGGTTGGGGTTTTTTTTTAAAACAAAACCATGATTAATCAGAGGTGATGACATTGCTCCTTTTTATTATTTCATCCTAAAAGTCTCTGACCATCTTTTGAGAGATCTTTAATCCCTTGAAAATCAAATTAATGTGAAAGTTGAATCTCTAAAAGGAATACCGGTATCAGTCCAAAAAAGGTTTGATTCAGTATTTACAAAGATATGATGAATTTAAAACTCTTAAAGCTCTGCAGATGATAAAATTGGGACATGGTCCAAACATGCCAGCACTGTCTATAATCTAAGCTAAAATGTTTTGAGGTGCTTCTTTTTAATCTGATTGAATCCAAGATGGAAGATTATGTTCCGCTTTTTTATTTTGTTTTCTTAATGAAATTATAAATAAACAATTTGAGTATATTTTAAGATGGATTAAACCAAGAAAAATTAGATAGTTTCTTAAATATGCCAGTGATGATCAAGACTTAAAATAATTTTTTTTTTCTTATTCAGTAATAGTAATATATTCACCAGATACTACATACGATACCAAACGCTTCCTGTGTCGTTATTCAAAATAAAAATCCTGAGGGCCGAGTCTGCAGGTTTTATTTCGCATAACAATTGTGGAAATACGTTGCTATCTGACCTATATATTGACACAAGTTGGATTATTAACTAGTATCACTCGTTGCTTACCTTGTGCACGTGAAATTCAAAGGATGTGGATATTGGAGGTTACAATTGCATGTACCTCAATATCAACCCATAATGACATTACAGACGTTTGATACGGGAGAACAGCCACCTTAAAACATCAATAATTTCTGTGAGAGATACATGTATTGTGGAGGTGTGTACATACACATACATTGTAGCAACTGTCAATATTTAATTCTGTTATACATTTACCATAACTTCATATCTTAATTACTTGATCATATATTTTCAAAGTAACAAAAATCCATTTGTTGAGACACTAGTAGTTCTTCTTTAAGACAAGTAAAATAGCACACTGATTGAAAATTGCTAATAATAATCATAATTCACCATCAGTCAGCACTAAAACCACACCTATGTATTTAATACTCTTCTCCTTTTACATTGACTAAATTCACACTCAAATCTATTCTCTCATCATTAAAATTACAACTTCCCTACACACTATACACTTTCATTTCAAGCTGATTTAAGTAATTAATCATTTATATTTCCTGTACGTGAATGGTTTGTATAGTTTGTAAAGGTATGTCTTGAAATGGTACATGTATTCGTTGTTCAACATGTCCATTTCGCTGATGTCCATATTCAAACTTAATTCTTAACTCTCCAATTCTTGACTTAGGTAAAATATCTGGTATCCATTCTATAATAAATGGAGTGGGTTCCTTATGTTCACCAGAGGATGTGCCTAGGAAAAAAAAAGAAAGAAATGTCACAGATATTTACAGTATGTATTTAAAAATAAGGAAGGAAAGATATGGTTGAATGACTCATCAACAAAATACTACATAATATTGAGGCTAACTTATGGTAATTTAAGTTTTATTAAATGCACAATGGATAGGGGGAGAATTTAGCCCAGACAGTTACAGTTTCACCTATTCTTCTTGAAATCCCAACTGTCAAAGGATCTTTTACATGCAGTATGAATCCTAACAAATTTCGCTAAACAAGATAGATCATATAAAAAAGAAATATCAACATTTGTCTAGACTATGTCAACTTACCAACTTTGAGGAATGTTTTTCTTTCAAATGGACGAATTGGAGTTTGATTCTTTGTTTGATTTTTAATAGTGTCATCAAGAGATTCTACCTCTACTTTAGGAGCTTCATATAACTCATATGAACCATCTCGATTTTCTATAAAACTTCTTGTAATATCTAGGGATATCTGTCATTAAAAAATTGCACATTTTCCATAAACCATGAAAACATCTTTACTAATTGCAATAACTTCATTAATATAATTTCACATGTTTTTTTTTAAAAAAAAAAAAATTCTTTTAACCTTCTTCTTGTTACTTTTTAACCAAACCATTCTTAATCATTATTTTGCTTTTTATGCTAAAAAAAACTGCTTTCAATTACAATAGACTATTTGTTTTTTGAAAGTACCAATGCAACTATATTTAATTTTCCTTAAAGATGCATTATGTAAGATTTAGATAAAGAGCTGGCAGTTCTTGCTATGATAGTTCAAACTAGATAATGAAAAATGAATCTATTAAAAATTTCAGTCAAATTACTTTATTCTGAGCAAAGAAATAGCTTAAATAGTCTTGTAGCATTGATACAATAATAAACAAAGTCTTGATTTTCCATTAAATCATATTACACAGGTATTCTGTTCTATTCAATATCTCAGCCATTCAATGGTCTAGAGAGTTGATTATGGGCATAAATGTCTAATTAATAATTTATATAAATGAGCCAGAAAAAAAGACCTGCAATAGGCAGTTTTAACTCTTGCATAATGCATCTTTAAACGATAAAAAGTAAATAAATCTGCTTACTTCAGGTGTATCAAATATTTGTTTCACATGTAATATATTAGTAATATGCCATGTATATTTGGTGAAAGTTCCAAGTGGTAGGGCATCTTTTCGTACAAAGCCTGTAGTAAAATTAGGAAGACGTCTTTTTTTGTTACCGGCTGAGATTCTCTGTTGTAGACAATCAAAGAAAGTCTGCGGAGCATGAAATACTAATGGTTCGGGATTACCTGGAGTAAATTTTGAGATGAAAGAATTATATTTTATGAACAGGCATGATTACATAATATAACCTTAGATTCACCTAATTATACTACTTGTGGCAAATATATTTTATACTATAGTCTAGTTAAATTATTATTTTACTGATCATCAAAGTAATAGTTCTTCATAAAGACAAATCCCAGATTACTGGTGTACAATTTCTATTGAAATGAAATGAAATTAAATGGGGTTTAACGTTCTACTGTTCTGCTCCAAACTGGGCTAATGAAGACGGCCATACGCCATACAGTGTGCCATGAGGGAAATTTTGCCCGGCAGCGGCACTACGGCCTACTACTTATATATCGTCATGGGATCTTTTACATGCACGCCAATGAATTTCTATTGAGTACAGTAATACAAATAATTTTATCCAAAAATCCAAAGGTGGATAAAGGCAATTTACTATTCTACAACTTACCATCAAATTGATAATGCATGGTTTGATTTATTCTCTCTGTGACACTAGATAACCACTGTAAATACCCCACAGTTGCTTGCCCCTCATCTAATGGAATTTGTGCTAAACAAAATATAAAATGAAAATGAAATGAAATGGGGTTTAACGTCCTACTGTCCTGCTCCGACTGGGACAAAATATAAAATATGTGTTGTTGAGCAGTATTCTTTAATTAAACATACATTATACAAGAGCTAAATCTGCCAATTGCAGGTCTTTCTTTAGACCTGAAATGTTATCTAAATTATTAATTAGACATTAATTAACTTATCCAGACTATAATGAACTCTAGATGTCATCGCTAGCCTGCCATATTTACTGGATTAAATCAATAAATGTATAATCGAGACTATGTTTTTTATCATACCGACTTTAATAATGATGATCGAGGTTAGGCCCAAAATTCAATCGCTTAATTCTCGGTTCAGAGTGGATCAATTTGACTGAAATTTTCAGCAAATTCCCTTTAGATTATCTTGTTTTTAACTATTATAGTGAGAACTGCCAGCACTTTATCTATTCTCCCATAATGTATCTTTAAAGGTGAAAATGTATTCAAAATCTTCATTCTTGTCCATCAAAGATTCATATTAAATTTAAATATGAGTTTACATGTATAGTTCTTTAGAAAAGTTTTATGATTACCAATTAAACAGAATTAATAAATTATATATACCTGGTTTCTTTGGAGTTTGAGATGTTTTTTGGCTTTGAGATTTGGTAGGACTAGATTTTTTACTGGAGTTATGTATTTCTTGTAAGTTTAACAATGCACTGCTAGCTTGAGCTGTGAAAAACATATAAATAATCTTTATAAAACTTCTGTAACATCTAGTTATTAGGTGGGGTTGAAAGACATACTTCTTGACTAAAAATCACCTTGTGCCTGGATAAACCTGTCTACAACTCAAATGCCTGCTCAGTGACAACTTTCTACTATCAATTTATATTTTTTTTCTCTCCCAGTTAATAATATAATTTGATAGGTTACGCTTCAATTATCTTGTGCCTAAGTTTACAATAAATATCGCATTTATCTAGTCGCACAATGAAAAATTTGGAGGCAAGCTATCTCAAAGAGCCACCAACCCATATAAAGTGTTATTGTGATCAGTTCCAAAGAGCTCAATAGAGGCCATATATTCTACATTTGATTTGCATACTTAAATGAATTGGGGAAGGAGTCAAAGAAAACTTATATTCTCCTGTTAGATTGTCAACTACCATACCTGTAAATCTAGTAGAATATCTTACCTATTGAATCATCTTTTCTCTTTCTCTTGACAATAGGTTCACCTAATAAACCTTCTTCCATAACCATAACTTCTAATGTATTAGGTTCTGTAGTAGACACAGACACTTCAGATGAAGGATAAATAGTTAGCACTTGTGGATCAGTCACCATTTCTAAAGGTCCTGAAAAGCACATCATATGACATAATGATAACACTCTTACTGCTAAACATATTCATTATTCTACTCTGTATTTACTGCATCTATGGAACAAATGTGTGTATATACCTATTAAATAATTTGGTTGACTTATCGAATATCTGCATGACATTGGGAATTACTGACTCCTATTTACGAAGGGGACAATTTTTTGAGTTCCTTAAAAAAAAATACCTGGCTTGTTTCAAACTCATTCACCACTCGTACCTTGGTACAGAAATGTAGGATGTTAAACCCCATTTATTTCATCTTGGCATTAGATTACTACAAGTCAATAAATTTCTGACAATAAAAATCCCAATGCAATAAGTGTTTTGAAAAGTTTTAGACGGTTACCTGTATTATCTAAATTGATATAATAATTAAATTCTTCGGCCAGTTTATCATCACTGGCAAATGCACAAATACAAGCATAAAAGTGAACACAACGCTTTAAATTATCATCTTTCACAACCCCATGTTTGTAACTCTGAAATAATCAGAAAGTACATTTATTATTTGTAATAAAAGCAAAAGGTTCCCACTCTATTTTTCAAAGTTAAAAATATACATAGATCTTATTATTAATTATGAATTACATGCACTCTCTATTATTACTTGGAAATGGTGGCACTTTTGCTACAATTATCAAACGATTGTGTATTTTTAATATTATAAAACCTATAAAGAATTTATATTTTGTATATTATGTAAGTATACTTAATGTTAAATATTTTGTATAAATGTAGTTATTTTATTCCATGACCAAGACAACATTATCCGCAACTTACCCTAAATGCTTTACAGCTACATTGAAACTTATATTCATGGTGATCAGATTTATTTTTATTCACTTCAAAGAATGAGAAATGTAAGAATCCCATGGGTTGTTTCGAGTTAGGTTTACATTTAACAACCATAATGTTTTTTGTCACACGCTGCACTAACGGGCCTGTAGTTTCTGTGGCTAACAACCAGATAGCTTGCTTCGTTTCATTTGTTACTTGTAATGAGTTTAAAACTGAGTTTTTAAGAGTTAGAGGTTGAGCCTCCTGAGAACAGTCAATGGCTGATTTAATATGGGTACAAGCTTGATCCTGCATAGCAATAGTATTACCAGGTTTATTACAGGTATCTACGTAACATCTTGCTGCTCCTGCCAACACAGCTGCATCCACAACTGTAGCAGGATTACCATCTAGATCTTGAACTAACGGTAGCTGGACAAAGCCTCTATAATCAGGACCTCGATCTCGTAATCGTACTGAAAATACTTGAACAGTAGAACCTGTGATGATTTTTACAGCATCGGCGCTATGACCTTTTTTCCTCTCCTTTTCCTTAAACACAGCATCACATAACTTATTCTTACAGCTTACTCCTCGTGTTCCGTTAAATGTACCACATTTAGGACATTTTCGTACACCTCTCATAGTAGGTTTACCCAGGTCCCCAAACAGAGACTTCATTTTCTCTGGAGCTGCTACAGCTGCCACAGCTGTCATTTTCCTAAAATATAAAAAGATAATTTCAGACATGCATCATTCAAGTAGTGTTGTTTCTGTTCATGTCATCTACATAATCTATCATATTTTATCATCATGTCCAGAGAAAGATAATACAACTGCATCTAATTGAAACTAAGATAGGACTGGCGAAGACCAACTGATAATGACTAACTATTTTAATAGTTCAGTGAATTAGCTTGCAAGGCTCTTTAGGAGTGTGTGAATTAGCCAAATGAACACTATACTACTGGGAGTGAATCACAGAAATTTAGACCATCGAACCTGTCTCCCAGACTTGGAAAGAACTTGTAATGACTTGAGTCATTCATCCGCATGTCGAAGCATTAGCAGAGTTTGCTTCATTGAAAACAACATTGTATACTCTAACCAAGGATTCGGAGCATGTGTGATGAAATTGTATGTCTATTCAAAATTGGGAAATTTTAAGACTCACATACAGTACTATTAGTATTATTTATCAGTATGATTAGAGGCTACCCTATTTTAAGAAACAATCTTCTGGTAATTAAGGACACCTAGATACAAGCATGTACTGTAGCTAAAACATATTTTGATGTGCACCTTTTAGCTTCATTTGTAGGCTATACAGTACTATAGACCTATTCTAATATATTATTATATATAATAGGCCTAGTAGTGCAAAATTTTACTTATTAAAAATTAAACTGGCGAAGTTCAATTTGAAGAATGCCTATTCCTATTTATTGGAATGCCAGTTTCGTACTAGCCTAAATATCAACCATTTCTTGCAATATGATCTTAAAATACTGTACACTTTCTAACTTTTGAACACCGGAACTGAAGCCCATGTGTTGTGTAGATAAAGTGCGATCTGGTTATCATTCATTATTTATTGACTAAATTTATTGACATTGTCATTGAGTGATGACTGAAAATTGTGACAATGCAACTATGTAATGCTCAATTCACGATTCAAATTGAAAGGTAAAACCCACATAGACATTTTTATTATGAATGGGTTGTCTAGAATATCATTACATACGAGAAAATGTAAACTTCCACCCAGCACAACCAAAGTCGTTTCGTTTATTGAAAATGTTCAGCCATTTTGTCTTCTTCTTCAAGGCGCAATAAATTACGATCTGTGTGATTGGACAATACAAGACACATGATAAGCAAGTCTTTGTGATTGGCTCAATTATGTACAGGGAGAAGTTATTGATATTAAAGAAAAATTAATTGCATTAGCCTATTATTAATATTGGTAATTTAGAAGACACGGCGCGGGATAATATCGTTTTACGATTTGCATTACCGTTAGATATAAGTCAATTTAGTTGTTCATACGAGGCTTTAGTTATTATAAAAGAGTCAATAACAGGAGTTATCTACCATTTTGCCAATTATTAGTAATAATATTACGGTATTTATTTTTTTTGTTTTACAAATATTTAATTTTTAAGGTTGGTAGCGTGTCTCTGATGTTCAGAATGCGTTTCGCAGTATAGGCATTGCGAAAGTCTTATTAATATTCACCGATCATTGTGCGATGCCAATTTAGTTCAGTCCACTGATCTCTATTTATAGAGATCAGTGGTTCAGTCAATAACAGGAGTTATCTCCCTTGTTACACTTTGCGTTTTTTATTTATTTATTTTTGCGAAAGTCTTATTAATATTCACCGATCAGTGTGATATGCCAATTTAGTTCAGTCAATAACAGGAGTTAACTCCCATTTTGCACATTATTTGTGTTTTTTATTTATTTATTTTTATTTTATTTTTTAGAAATTTTTAGTTTTCAGTGATTTCCTATATCTCCTCACATAGGTTTGATGATACATTTACAATTAAATTTGTGATCGATAGAGCGATCAAAAGAATAAATAGGCGGACCACGAACCGGACGGTTCCGTGTGTGTCGGACGTAAGTTACGACTATATATTTAGCCATCATTTTAAATGCTGCGTGTATAGAATACGATGGAGTCCTATACTGTGGTCTTACATATAACATCCTGCCAAAAAGAATTGGTATTATAATATAACAGAGAGTTTGCGTATTTTACTCTGACACCCAGTCAACACCAATCATTTCGTAACTCACTTAGTCGTCGGGAACATGGCATACAGTCATCGACTGAAACCGTATTGGCCTAATACCCTTTTTTAGGAATCTTAATGATCATACCAATAACCAGGGAAGTAGATACTGGAAATAACATCAATCAGTGGGATTACCTGAATATGTCGAGGTATGCTGATAGAGTTAAAGGTTGACTTTTGAAGCCGGTTTTAAAAATAATTCGAAGATCACTTATCAGTTGTCGGCATATCACCCTACACAGAAAAGTTCTGATAAGGATTCGGCGTGTCTTACGATTGCTGTTGGCTGTTTCACTTTATTCTGGCTTGTTAACGCGATAGAGACTATGTGTTAGTCTCCAATTTACCTAGTCTCAGTGATGCAGGACGGAGGTCTAACAAGGACAGCTGTCTAGTCTTTCGGATGGGACTAAAAAATGAAATGAAATGAAATGGGGTTTAACGTCCTACTGTTTTGCTCCGAACTGGGCTAATGAAGACGGGCGGATGGGACGAAAAACCGAGGTCCCGTGTATACATTGGCTTGCACGCAAAAGATCCCTTGACAGTTGGAATTTGATATAAGAGTATTCTGTAGTGCCGCTGTCCGGGCAAAATATTCCTCATAGCACACTGTATGGCGTATGCCTGTCTTCATTAGTCCAGTTCGGAGCAGAACTGTCCGGGCGAAATTCCCCTCGTAGCATACTGTATGAAATATATTTTGGCACTAGAACCCGTCTTCGCCAAAGGTGGGGACAACACATGTTCCTGAAGCAGTGGGAATTAAAGCGCGATCAAGTCTTCTATTGAAGTCGCCTTGATCATTATGTACGGCGTTGAAGCTATAGATCATGCCTTCTACTCAAGATGCTTTAGTTGTGGAAACTGACCTCGAAAAGTACTGCAGCATCGGCATGGGCGTATGGGGATTCGTAACGATTGCTCAAAAGTGTATTATTTAACTCGCAAAATACGTGTGTCTGGAGCAAATAATGTAAATGGTGTGTTTGCACAAATAAAACAGCACACTAGAACTTATCATTGTGATGTCCCTCCTGGTGCAATGTCGGCCGTGCTAGATCTAAAGTCAATTTCAAAAATTTAATCTGTAAAGTATTTTCGCCCCAGTGTGCACCATTTATATCATATAACAATGTCGTAGGATATGTTCTTTCGGCTCCACCTAACATGCCATCTAGTTAACACTCGGATTTCCAATGGACAAAATAATAATTTATCCTCCCTCGATCAACGAAAACTATTTTTTTTTCACAACTTTTATCGTAAAATTTGGAGCCACGCCACTGATTTTATGTTGTATTGTTATAACTTCCCATTAAAGTTAAATGGACAAAATCTCCCAGAATTGCGTGGACTATATAATGGAATATAACATTTGTTAAATCTCAGTCAGTTTTACCTCCGAACAATTAATGAAGAAAGATGTTTATCACATACACATTCCATAAATGTACACTTTCATTTATTACCCAAATCAGAGATATTTTGCCCCTTTGACTTTCAACGGAACTAGCTAAAGTACTTAAAACGCAGTATTCGATACTGTGGTCAAGCAGTTTTCGTGGTATATCTCATCTTTTGAAAGTTTCCGATCAGTATAATGACCACGATCTGTCACTAAAATAATGATGTTCATCATACAAGCTTTAATCTGGAAAAATCCCCTGTAGATTACACAGCATGGTTCACTCGGCGCCCCGGTAATGTTCGTTTTTATTGGGATATATGATATACTGAAAGTTTTAGTAACCTCACATCGACACATGCCCCACGGGAGAGCAACACAGACGCAAATTAAGAATGTCTGTAACGTAAACCTTCGGGCTAAGAACAAATAGATGTACTTAGAATTTTTCTGAATTGTTTTCTTGGCCACAATTTCAATGATTTCATTGACATCATTTTGGGGTAAATATGTCATACATGTAGTTTTTGAAGAGTTCCTTTCTAACACAGATGGACGTCACTCTGTTCTCTATCCTCTGCTTTTCATTACACATTGCTATCTTACATAGTAAAAGCACCAATTAAACGTTGCTTTAAAAATTAATGATATATGATCTAGTTATTTTATCTTATGTACATATTATCTTAAAACAAAACAGTTTTTCTCTTTAACCGAGCATATGACTTTTGTGTTTTACGTATTCAACCCCTCCTGTTCTCACTTTTTAATGAGAGTCCTTGATGGTTGGAATTCCATGAAGCGATTGCGGAAAATGTAAGCTTGTATTCAGTAGCTCGATTAGTGCAGAAAAGTATGTTGTTAAACCCTATATTTAATTTCATGTTTTTGATAATCTACAATTTTCTGTTTCTTGCATGCCTCAGAACTACCAATGTTAAATTTGATAACGCGCTCCTTTTTTGACCCCTTCGGGTATGGTATATGTAATATATAAAAATACATAATGGCATCCGTTTGTACCTGCATAAATTTAAAAAAAAATACATTTTAAACTCCTGAAGTATGAGTCTATTAATTATGCTCTAAAATTCAAAAAATTATACTAAGAAAACAAATAACGATTCAGATCCACTTCATTAACATAAAGCCTTTGATCGCGGCTCCACCTTTGGATCTAGACTTTAGTATGCTTGATGATTTTGGTCAATATATTTTACTCTATATCGTTAATGCTTTTAGTTGTGTGATGAAGGGAATATTTATGTACCCGTATTGTAAATTACATCAAAATCTCAATGGACCGCCATCGCCATTTACGTCTTTAAACATGTGGGGATTAGCCTTTATTGGGCTAATTTCGGATCCATTGAAAACTAAGCCCTTAAAATGTTGAAAAACAACCTTTGTCAATCCACGATGCAGAAGACCTTTGTTTGAAGCCACCGCTACTCGAATGTTGATATATAAGGCTTATATGCTCTGCGAGTACACACAGTTGCACAACGAGACGTAACGGATCTGTATTAAATGACCGTCATCAAAGTTAGAGACGCCCATAAACGTTTTGTTAAAGCCAGAAATACTAATAAGCGTGTATTAAAACTTAAGATTTTAAGCCAATGACTGCCACGTTTAAAGGCATTTTGCCTCCAAGGAAGTAAAGCGTGACTGTAAATGTTCGATAATGAGGCAGTATTATTAAGGTTCTGCACAAAGAAATTCACAGATTTCGCCAAACTGGCGGGCAAACATTTGATACGATCTTTATGTCCATTTACGTCAAATGTTTGTCCAAATAGAATCCTTCAATTCGAAGAACAACACATTGTTTAAAAAAAAATAAAGATTACTGCATGAAAGTCGCTTTGGTGGGTGTACCCATTAAGAAGATTGATAGCTCATTTGTCCAAAGTCCAGCTTAGGCATGAGTCTGAGGGGCCCAGGCCCAGGGCCCCGCGGCCTAGGGGGGGGGGGGCGGTTCATGACACAAAGAGAAAAAAATCAAATTCCAGATGAAAGTTTTACGGTAATCGATCTAGCGGCTCGCGGGCGGAGACTGGGCTATCCCTCAACCTTCTGTGATGAATTTCCACTCGCTGATCGGTCTAGGCTTGGGAACTGAATAGATTTCGTATGTGATCAAATATTAGTAATCGTTCTTGTATTACAGACCGTTTAATTGTGTGTTAGGGGCCCCGCTCCGGTTAATATGGGCTTTGCATTTGTCCGAATTAATATGCAATGCCTCTAATGGGTACATAACACATATCGTTATTTCAAATCAGTTAACAACATAATAAGTGAAGAATTACTATAACAAAATCGAAAATTTTCAGCTTTCCCTTGCCGTTGAGTAACATTATTTGAACAAATCTGAATTAGCACCAATTAGAAAACATTCGTAATCCTTATGCAACTGTATTTGTTTCGAATTCGAAGAAGTCAATTTGCCCCCGCCAATACATTTCCAGGTTTAGGCGAAGAAGTAATAAAAACAAATTAACACACAGACGAAAAGGGTCTGTCTATCATATATGGAAGATATCCATTATAGCATTTAATTCAATACCGTCAAAGCGACAAATCTCCATCCTATTTGGATTTTCTTCTCAATATAATTGACTCAAAACAGAAATGTGGTATGAAACTATGCGATGAACGGGTCGATCTTAGGTTTCTTTTATTAGGGCCGATGGTGGTATATTTTATTCATGGAAATCATTTAAGCCAGAGCGAAGAAGATTGTTAACATTATTCCCACACTACCAATTCAAATTGTCGCTTACCATCTCGATGATACAAGATAAGAAAGTGTCCAATGTAACAACATTCATTTTAATGCGAGGTCAAAAATGTAAACTGTTCTACGAATGAGCGGCCAGAGGGGCATGACATTAGTGACAGATTAAAAAAAGGAAATCTTATTTCTGATGTTTGTTATTACTAGTTTGCTCTGAAATCACCCCCACCCCCCTTAAGTCCACGTCTGCACTTCATTCTGCTTCCCAGAATTGTGAAGATCTAACGTCATAGCTATCAAGACCTTTTGTTATTGTACTATTCTAAATATACACACCCAGATTCATGTTTTTATAAATCTTCATTTAGTGCTTTAAATTGAAGACAACACACTTGTTTGTTGTTAACTGTTGGGTCGAACTTGTGCTTTGTGAGACGAATGTAACTGCGTTTATTTCTGAAACTCAGTAACAACGCATTGTTTGTTACTTTTAAGTATAAGCAGTTGCAAAAGTTACAGAAAGTATGTACATCAGTGTTTGTGAACAGAATATAATATCTTAAATTGAATACAAGTTTTGTTTACTTATTCCAACGATACCACAGTCTGAACATGGATCAATGTAGATATTCAAAACTATGATACTGTGGAAGAGATATAAGAAATGGGCGTAACTTCACCCAAATTGAATGAATAAATGTGCGATTTTCAACTTGAGACTATACACAGATATACATGACAAAATAAACCCATCTGATTCCAAATATTATCATTCTAAAATGGATGAGTGAACGTACTAGGTTGTATTATCAGGCGAAGAACTAACTCTTATAGAGATTAATATTTAAGTGCACCTGGCATCCATAGCGAACGGAAACGATGTGGTGATGGGAGGATGTATTGAGGATCAAACAATGAATATATTGATGTAGTAAGGGTAGAATGTTTAGCTATTACGTCATCGTATTAAGTAGACATGTAATACTTAACGGGAGGTTATAAAGACAAGCTAAGTATATAAACATACATCGTGGGAAATGGTGGGCGAACCTCATTATTAGCCTTACTCGCTAGCTCATGGTAGGTATATAAAGATTCACACACTCCACGTCGTGTTTTCCAACTCTTAAGGCACAGGGAAAATTTACTCCCTCTGACTATTGAGCCAGGTTGCAAAATTGAATGAATGATTGATATGAGTGAAATGGGGTTTTACATACATAATCTTTTGCACCAATGTATTTAATGAAGACACTTAGCAAAATAATAGAAGCCTGATACACAAACCTAACACAAGTGACCCTAACTTAGGCAGTATTATTCAGCACACGTGGACAGTGCCGGATTAAGGCTCTGCTGGCCCTAAGGCACATTTTGATAGGTGGCCTGGAAATACAGATATGTTGGGCTCATTGACGTATGGTCTGGATAAAAACTTAATAATTAACCCCGCTGGTTACCTTCTGCAGGTTAAAAATAAAAACGTGGATGTAACTACATCAAGCCTAATTTGAAATCAGTCAGGGGGGAAACTTTAGCCATATCCGCAAAGTAACCGACCGTAGTTGGTTTTTGACGAACTTCGAATACGGCTGACTCAAATTTGAATGCGTTTTGTTGGAACCAAAAGGCGAAATATCGTAAGTAAATAATGTAGTCTATACGGAAATTAAACATATTTAAACACACCATTTACTTATCATATAATTATAGTCTAGGGGCTAAACGTCGAAGAAACCAACGTACCTCGATTCGCCGACAGCAAAAGGAAAAAAACTATGTTCGGAGATTACGAATGACATTTTTGACAGATTCTGTGTTCAAAACTAGACTATAAATGGGTTCAAAGTTACATTGATTCCACTTCTAAATAGCACAAGTTTTCTTGATACACATCCGGGACTTTGAAAATCCGATGGAGGGCCTCTGAGGGCTCCATCACGGCTACTAGTAGATGTAGTCGTCGATCCGACCATGCTCGCATCGCTTATAACGCAACTGAGATTTTTTGTGGGGGCCCCCTGATGTCGACAGCCCCGGGGCATGGGTCCCACCATGCCCCGTTGCTAATCCGGCCCTGCTTGCTTGTAGAAATGTGCGATAAAAACATTTCGATGTCCAGATGGTATAATAAGGTACGTTACTGTTTATTGTGGTATTGGCAACTGTTTAAAAATCGAGACCTATTCACAAATCATGGTAGTACCGGACATTGGGCAGGTGTGACGCGCATACGTTTCGATGTGTAAAGAAAGACCGTCTCATTAATAACCCATATCTAACGATTAAACTGTGGTCTCCAAACAACACAGTAATGAATAACAACATTCTATATCTCATTAATCAAGTTCCAACGTCAAATATACAACGGTGGAAGAATGCGAACCCCATGCCATTGCGCAATCGTTTAGACTCAGACGGGGCTAACTGCGCCGTGTAGTAATTTAAGTTCCCTCTGATGTAGTCACGAACCCAAATATCGGCACGGAGAAATGCCAAACGTATGATGGAGTATGACATAGTGTTGTATCCTCCTTGTGGATTTGGTGGTCTGAAAGGGTACACACAAAAGGTCACGGTGGACAAAGGAGGTGTCAGAGAACATCCTCTGGCTAGTGTAAAGGAAATAGAACTTGAGAAACCTCTCTTTAGAACGGATCGATAAGGTTTGATATCTGGAGTCGATCAATACAAAAAACTCATTGCCTTCTTTAGCATATAACAAGAAACGAATAAGAGCCCCCGGTAAAGATTAAAGACTTGATGATAAGGTCCTATTTGGTCAACCCAAAACTACTCAATTATGAAGAAATACTGGCGTTAATAAGATAATATCGACATTGGTGTGTGGTGGCGCAGTTTAATCAGATAGAAGAAATTATCTCAGTATCTGACACCGTCAATTTGACCCAAGTACAATAAGTCTGGCTACTATTCATCTTTACATAACAAGGTGCACCATACCCATTACCAAAGATCAGCAACCGTAGCCTCAGGCAGTATTTCTGATTTAGTAATTAGGAGATAAAGTTAAAACAAGAAAGATAACTACCCTCACTTAGAGTAATCTGAAACCGAGATTCCCTAACTTCTAAACAGGGTGTCCATTCTAATTATCTAGCAATGATTTGATATGAAGTGAACCATGGTTAAAAGGGGTACAAGTTTTCAAACTTCAGAAGTCAGTTTCAAGCACCATCATCTGTTTTTCTATACGAATTTTCAAATATCTCGACATGGGTTACAGCAAGGTTCACATCTTGACTTTCGATTTTCATTAAAGCTTCCAAAAATATGGAGGTCAGTAGTGACAATTCAACAATTTGTAGTGTTATTGTTGTTTTTGAATAAGCTTTGGGTACACCATGATTTGACTTAAAAATGTCTTCAAGGTTACAAGTCAATAAAAGGTAGCTGGCCAGTTTTAAATTAAAAGATAGCAAGATCATAACATTCCTTCTAGGGTGGTCCTGTTCTTATTGAAGCATTTGAATACTTTACACAAGCCCCCCTGAAATGAATGGTAAATGCATTAGAGATCCTATTTCAGCTGCATTGTTGGCGTGACCCCTTTGTAGTTATTGTTCTTTATCCTGAGAACAATGCAACCATTGGTACTGGCTACTCATTTGCAAAATCAATCCCTTTGAAGTGGGCAGGAAACAAATTATCCAAAATAATTGCCAAGACAAAAAATACTCTGTACACACACATTAATTTTTTGTCATTAATTTTAATGAAATAAGAATTACACAAGTGTTTAAACCATTGTAATTATATAATTTGGCAGGTATACTTTATACAATATAATATATAAATTTTATATACATATTCAATGCATGTACAAACTTTGAGAAATTTAACAAAAAATTAAAAAGGAATCACAACTATGATCAAAAACATATTCATAAATTTTGGTTAATTTTGATGGTGGATAATTAATTATTCAATTTTTCATATAATTATAATATTCAACTTTTAAATTCATGTAAGTACTGGGTCATAGAAGTAAAAGAAAATTAATTTAAATTTGCTACAATAAATACCCTGAGGCTTTCCTTTATGGATAAAAAATATTATTAGTTAAATTTTAAAAGAGGGTGATGCATGTCAGTCTGTAAAATTAATAAAATTTTATTTATCCATAATGAAAAAATCCCTTTAGAAGATTGTTAATATTAGATATGTTAAATCATACCATATATAATTTGATCTATATAACAATTCCATTTTGAATAGGTTACAATAAGCAATGATTAATAATGGCACATTCATTGTTATTTTAATACATAAATAGGTCCATATACTTTAAAAATATATGTTAGGAAGAAAACTATATATTTATACCATAATACCATGATTATAATTCATATCTCGATACACATCTTTAAGTTGATAAAACTTTATTTAAAAATTTCTCTCTGGTATATAAATAGAGATTAATAGCACTTTAAGATTTTATATATTTACATATCAATACATACACCTTCATAATGTACATAGGAAAGAAAGGGAAAATAGAGAATACATTAATAGACTTTTAAGAGAGAAATAGCACAGTTTTTGTACATATAGAAGGTGATGATTGAAATATACAGCACTAAGCTTATGTCATTAAACAACATATTTGGGGGTGTTTAAATGGAGCTCTCTCGTTCTGGTGGAGACTGAATGTATTGCATAGGTTTTCTTGATCTTGGTGTTAATATTGCTTTCTGAAAAGATAAGAACATAAAAATTAATTACTTGTTATTGATATAACTACATGACTTAAAAGAAATTCAAAAGTAATAACACTACTTCATCCTATGTATCTAATTAACAGACTTGTCACAAGCCCACATGTCACTTGAAAAAATACTAATGTTCTTTTAGCAGGTAGCCATAAGGTGCAGAATGTCAACCTTGGGTTAAGTTTTAAATGGATTAATTGTGAAATGATTGACAGATATCTCACCTGACACTCTTTTGATGCCTTGATGACAGATTGTGTAATAGGAGAGACTAGAGCCACTGGTTTATTATGTTCGGGTGTGAAGACAAGAATTTTTTTAATGGGCGCATTTCTTTTCAGGAAGCTGATTTCTTTCTCTGCGACTGGCAGGGATTCTGTTACAGGTGATTTCCTTGACTCCTTTTTGGGAATATTTTCGTTCGATTCATCACTTGGACGTTTTCGTGACTTGGGTAGGGGGGACTGCCACATGTCAACAACATGAACAGCAGGACTAGTAGGCTAAAAATAGAAAACAGAATATCATAAATAACAGCGTTAATTTCAATATCATAAAAACAGCACTATAACCAAAATGAGGATTTAGATAACAAGAAAAATGAAAAGATACTAGTAGACCAATACTGAAGAAAAACTGAGATTGAACTAAAGCTAAAGTAAATATAAAATTATTCTACCAAACCAATAGTGAGTATTGAATAAATAAAATAAGCATCTATGACTGCAATCACGGTTATATAAATATTCTTACCCCTATTCTGCGAGGATTAGTACGTGGTGTGGATGGCGTACAGGGTGTAGTTGTAGTACCGCAGGAAATAATAGTTACTTTATCATTACCAGATTCCTCTATTGTGATTGGCTAAAAATGGATGATAATTTTACAAATTAAAATTTTGATCATATCATGAAATAACTGTTTAATGATTATTTGCAATCTGATCAAGGTGTATTTTATTTATTTATCCAATTGTTAATGTAAATAAAGACAACAGCCCATGCAAAGCTAACAGAAAGAAACATGCAGTCTAAACAGCTTGAACAAAACTAAACTACAAAATAATAGCAAATAATATAATTAAAATTTTGATTAATTACCTTAGTGACGGCCCATGCTAGACCACTTGTAGTGCTGCAGGGATCGTTAGAGTCATTCCGTTTATGCTTGTGTAATACTGGGAAGTGTTTCTGTAATTAAAAATAAATATTTTTAAGATTGATATTCAGATTTCAGGTATTTTCTGATTTAATAAACTACAATGTCAAGCTGATATAGTTCTTGATTAGACTTACTGCTTGAACACAAATTTACAATAATTACATTTATTTAAAATTATGCTATGTGTACCTTTAATGATTCTCCAAAAGTTTTGCTACGAGAATGCTTGTTACTTTTAGGTGTAGATGGACGGTTGGCTCTTTGGAATTGTTTTAGTAATTTCTTCTTCTTGGCAGAGTCGGGCATGGCATGTACATGGGCATAAAGTCCAGCTAAAGCCACTTGTGTGTCTGTTTCTTTGGTAAGTTGTCCTTGGCGATCATTATAACAAATGACTGTATTAATGGCGGGACCACTATTGTTCTTTTGTTTAGATTTACTGAAGTTTTCTAACTTTTCACTATTGGTTTTCATTACACTGGCAGGATCCTCCATCTGCTTCCAAAAATTTGAAACATCAATGGCTAATTCTTGTGGAATTTTGAAGAGTTGGGGCGCATTTTCAATCATGAGTGTGGTGATCTGTGTACAACATCCAGAGAGAGCATGTAACTCTAAAGCTGTCATCTATAAAACAAAAACATTTCAATCTCCATTAATCAAAGTTTACACTATGTCGTCTATGTTACAATACAAGGAAGCTGATGCACAATTGCATAACACAATTGATAAATGATTTAATCATTGCCATTTTAACTGTCTTAAATCTTAGCTTACATTAGTTACATAACATTATCTTCTCTTATTTAATGCTACAATAAATTCTCTTGGTTTATTTCAATACTCCTGAGTCATATTATGTATTAAATTTGGAAGCAAAGTATTAATGATTGATTATTTAGCAGAATTGATAGTTCTTGGTCATTTGATTAATTTAAATTAAATCCAAATGAAGAGTGAAAATTCATTGTTTTAAGCCACACTTACCTTTCTAGAACAGAGAAGATGTGGTGCGAAGATAGTTCCAAGAGAATTAGCTGTCATCATATTTTCACTAACTTTACTAACACGATGTAATAAATCCAATACACATTCTAACAATAAAGCGTTTTCTCTTGGTAACATTAAAATAAGAACTTGGATGGCTTTAACTTGTTTCTCTTTGGCTATCTGTTTTTCTTTGTCTGATCTAAGATATTTACCCATATCTGTAAAGTAATAATTTAAACACATTTAATTTCATTAGCTTAATCAAATGTAATTCAAATAAAACTCATTTTTATGAAGAATTTTGTGACACACATTTAAATTGTACACCAAGGAGGTGCTTCACTGTCAGTCCGGAATGTTTAGAATTGCCATCGAGTGATACAGAATCAAGTCTTGTCACAGGTATGCCAGTCCTGAGGTGGTGTGAGTAGAATCGTGATGGAAATAAACACAACAAACATGTTTTGGCTGTCATGGTTGGTTGAGGTATGTGTATTCACTTAATTGCCACTATTCGTTGGATTGAGAGTTCTAAGTTAATTCTGGAACGTTCAATTTTGCATTCCCTACAATTCTGGCTTATGATGTTTGATAGTCACAGTGTGCCATGTATTAAATAAGAGCAAAGCATACTGTATCTACTTACCTAAAATTTGTCTATAGCATTGAAAATGTTTCTCAGTAAGAAGAGGTTCAGGTAAATCCTGGAGATAATTCTTTAATACAACAGCGGAATCATGGGCAGAGAAAGTTCCATCATCTAATCCCAAGTTACTACTGCCCTGTATCAACCATTCTTTTAATAATTTCTGTCGATTACAGTTTCCACATTTACGAAATATTCCTTCTTTACGAATATCTGAAATAAATAACCCAATAATTAAGTCATCAATGCATAATTTATATTTAAAAACTACATTTAAAATAAAAAATAAAACATTTTAAAATTAAGAGTTATTAAAACAAACCATTTAAGCTTTTGTGGTTAATTAAATTAAATTTTGATATTTAACTTTAAGAACATCTTTTGGACTCTTCAAATACTTACTTTCTGGTCGGCTGAGGAATTCAATCAGCTGATATATTTGAGCAATATTTCCCTGTGTAATTGGAGAACCAAACAATGTCTTTTCTGAAAATATAAATAAATAAAAAAATAAGATTCAGATTTATGGTGAATTCTATATAATCAAACATGACAGGGAATTGCAAGATAAAACCCCCCAGTAATTTAATATCATTTTCAGTTGAGGTGTGATAAGGGGGGTTCAAGTTCAGAAGATTACCCTAAAGGCCATCTGAGAGGGTGTTAGTTTTCACCCCTAGGGTGTATAAAGGGGATGACACTTTTAAAAACCCTATTGTGTTCACCCCTTTTACCTATAATGAGATATAAGACTGATGCCAAAAACAGAAGGAGTACTAAAGAGGTATTTAAGAATCAACAATAGGGGGTGTCTTTTCAAGGAAGAAAAGGCGCTGAGGTATAAAAGATCATCCTCTCATGTACTGGGTATCAAGCCATTGTTGGAAAGTCTTACATAAAAGTTTCATTAACTAAAAAGAGGATAATTCCACAGAAAACAATCTACAATCAAAATAAAGGCAAATGATCAGCTCAGGTTTTCTATGGAAGTGTAAACAATGGCTTGATCAGTGTAGATAAAGACATTTGGAAAAGAGATTAAAAATGTGTGGGAAAAAACAGCATCATGTAACCAAATTATGAAGAGACTTTTAGCTGAAGTGTTGATTATATAATATTTAATTAAATTATCAATAGAACTTCTAAACCATTTTCTATTAAAAAGATTAGGAATAAATAAAATCTTAATCCTCCTGAGAAAATTTTCTATGAAATCTTTCAGGGCTGCCTAGTGTAGATGAAAAGTTACAATTTACATTCAAAGGGTATTGAAAGCTAATTTATATTCAAATACAGCCATGCAGAGGTTATATTTTTAAAAAGAAAATGGACTACAAAACAAATTTCGAAAAGAATGGCCTGTTATTTTAATGGTCAGAAAAACTCATAAATTATTAGCCTTCCTGCCAATGAATGACATTAGCCCATAAACAATTTATAAAGGACAATAAATGCTGTTGACTAAAAACTTTCCAAATGGTTTTAATATGGCCTCAAAAGGCACATGGTATAGAAAAGCAATAAAAACTGCAAGTCAAGTCAAAGCAAGCAATAAAAGTAACACTAGTCCATTCAGTACTTGGTGAAGAAGTCAATTGTTAAACAGCCATAAAACTGATAAATAGCATCATAATCAGTTGTTAATTGATATTGAGGATGGAGAGGGTTGAACAAAGTCTTAACTATGTGTTAATGAAAGACACTGGGCCAACTACTGAGTTGGTCAACCAGTGTGGTCAAAATTCAAGATGCAAGCCAATAAAAATTAAATTGCTACATTACTGAACTTAGAAGTTTTATTGGTAAAAGGCTAAAAGCAGCTTTGGTGTAAGATTATATTTTTAGGATGTTTTAAACAGAAAGTAAAGACCTTTGAGAATGTAATATTTTATATATTTTTACTTTATATTGTTGTATGCTTTGAAAGCCAACTCTCCAATTAAATGGTCATTTGTTCCCATGAAGTTCCCAGTTAAACAATTTTACTTGAGTTTGGGAAAATAATACTAAATTACACCAGTTTCTTAGTTTTCCTTTTAAAGACATCACATACAATACATTGTTTGAAAGTGAAGGGCAATTTTAAGGAATTGTCCATTTAGTTTTAATGTTCAACTATTATTGGTCTTCTGCATGAATGCATTTAGACTAAAGGTTTATTACAAATGACAGATGGTAAAAATATTCCCTGTAATAAATAAGTACAGATGAGGTGTTGAAATATATCACGACATAGGTTGGCCATTTTACAAATCTATCTATACACTGAAGTTGCTAACAAGTTAATGGGCATTTGTTAGACAATAATGTGAATTGCAATGCACTCAGATTAACTGTAAAGATCTAAGCTTTATCTGTAACCGGTGCATATATTGCATGTGGTCGCAGTCGTTTATCACTGGTGTAAATTACAGCATGACAGATGTGAAACAGAGAGACTGATGGAATGTGTATTGCAGTTTAACCGAACCTGTTAATCATTATGGTGAACCAGTAGCTCCTCATTAAGGAATACAATTGACACGTTTCCAATTGGAAAGTCAATTGACGGACCCTGAACACTTGGAATAACAGAAGAATACATGTACCTTTCTTTTTTGAAAATGGAGTAGAACAGCCTCTTTTCTTGTTATCCTGTTTCGGTTCAGTATCTCCCAAGTCTTCCAATTTACTCCCGTCTAAATCCAGTAAGAATGACAAGTGCATTAAACACAGTTCGGTATATTTATTTGGCATAACATTTCGAAGTCTGTTGATATTCTTTTCCGCCTCCGTTTGGCGACGTCGTACTATAGTGTTAGACATTACTGCAAAGAAACACAAAAGTTTATAAATAAAGGTGTTCCCCTTTCAACTTTCAGTACAGGACTTTACAGTGTAAGCCGAAATGTAAAACAGAACATGTACTCAGCAGCCTCTAATAAAACTGAACTAAATATGTTTGCCTGAAAGTAACAATACAATATATGAAGCGGCAATAACGAATTCCTAGTGAAAACAACCTTGCTCATATTGAAATGTCAGTCGTTAATCCCGTAATAAACTTGCCAGCATGAATGATCAGTTTCCCTGGGGCGTAATTAAAACAATTGCAAAGGGGGTTTCCGAAGGACCATATACCTCAGGTACCAAGACGACTAATTTTGGCCCAAGTGCTAATGAAAATAATAGGTTCCATGGGGCTGACCAACTGGCTAATTTGTGTCAACCATGGCAGTAGAGCGGATGATGAATTCAATATGCCAGGAAGGTGTATGACATTTCTATTCTGCTTCCAATTACAACTTCAACTGAGTAGGCTACCATGTTTATGACCTTCAAAATTTAAGAGGTCATTTGAAATAAAACAAAAAAACATCGGCAGACTGCTTTTAGTAAATTTGACACAAATTTGGCATCCCCGTGGAATGCAGTACTGTTATTAATATTACACTAAAAATGCAAAGACCACGTGTCTAATACTAACGTGAATAATATTTGTTGCCTACTGTACTTCCCATATCGAAGACTATCTAGAGTTGAACTGACTCGGAATACAATTTGTTTCATTTATATTAGATTGTCAATTGTTACCCAAGCAAACAGTTTGCTATGTCAAGCATACCAGAATTCATACTATTACTAACTAAGTAAAATCGCTTCGACAATAAAAGTCTTAAAAGTCAATTTTGTTGGCGCGACGTGTGTCTGGCTTCTAATTTGGCAGTTCAGTAACCACAAACTGATCTAGATTTTACGGCGACTATAAAATTGAAGCACAATACCTAATGTTATTTTACTAATTTGATGTCTGGTTGTTTCAGTTAACGATCTTCATTCAGGCTCAATGATTGATTGATTAAAAAACAACAATAGTCGATCGAAGCCTTTAGTTCAAGTTTATATAATCGCGCCGTTCAACTCTCGTCTTCGTGCAGGATGACCGTTGTTGAAGAAAAATATCAACAATCCCAAGCTAAGAAGTACAATAGTCTATTTGGCTTTAAAGGCAGAAAGTCATTCTAACGGAGAAGATTAATTGAAACTGGGTACTTCAAATGGCCATTTAGGGCACCCGTTACATCACATGAGATATGAGGCGAACTAAAATCTCGTAGCCGCGCGCCCATTCGTGATTAATTAGGCGACAAAATGCCCTTCCTCAACCAAGTAACGCAGTACCGTATTGCATGATGTCTATTGTCTATGACTTGGGGTTAATTTGTAAGTGACGATGTTGGATGTTTATTATATTTTGCATACATTTATATGCCCTGCACTGGTAAATAACTAAAAAATGTCTATATTGCCAATTTTCTAAACTTGTCTCTTGTTCTGTTCAAATAGCCATTGAATCTGAATTGAAAGCCCCCGGGCATTCGCTCTGAAGAATAGGCTCTTATCTTAACAGGCTTTAAACACATTCAGTGCGAGTCCTTTGAAAGAGTTTCGCAGTTTTCTTTGTACTGCTACCTCATCCTGCATCCCTCAATATGCTGTGAAATCGTACTTTGTTCTCCATCACAAAGAGTAAAGACACGTAAAAGTAAACATAGTCATAGTACTCATCTAGAGGTAAAATTCGCAGTTTGGGGAAAGAGATAAGCAATTACAATGACAGCCGATATGCCCAAATAAAATCAGCCGCGTACAATTCGAACGTGTATAGACTATAGTCAGATAGACTATGCTTCATCGACAGAGTGTGAATTATTAATCTGTGTATCAACAAAACAAATCTATTATATTATTAAAGAAAGCAAATCAAAACGACCCAGCCACAGTGTCATATGAATCAAACTATTTAATATTTTAAGTATCCAATTCACCCTTTCCCTCCCCTAAAGAAATGTCGACCAATAGTAATGAAAACAAATCAAAGCAACCCCTGACACAATGTAATGAGCTCAGTCAGACTATTTCATCCTTCAAGGCAAAATAAATGTCTACCTACTCTAACTACCAGTTAATGAAAGCGATCCCTTACCAATTATATAATGAATCAATCAATTTAATATTTTAAATCCAATTCAAGCCGTACTATTTTTTTTTTAATGCCCTAAATTAGTAGAAATTTATTATTATTAATTATTATTAAATTCTTACCGGGTATTAATATTGTCGGAGAAATGATGAGTATCAAAGTATTCAAAGGACGGTAGATTTGCTTAAAATTGTTGTATAGAATTAGAAATAATAATTGTCCACTTGAATTGTGAAGCACATAAATTTCTCTATAGCAAGACCATGCATCAGTATAGTATTATTACTAATAATACTATTAGTAATAATATTAATGAGGGTCGAACTCGAAGTCGATAGCCTTTAGTTAGAAAGATTTAGAAAAATAGAAATTAGAATTCCTATCCGAAAATTTGTGTATGCTGGCAGGATAAATTAAGATACTGGTTAGACTCTAAATAAGAAAACTGGGTTTAGGCCTACTTTCATACCGCGTAGGCTCGCGCAGAGTAAACGTGAATAATAACTGGGCCCAAAATATTATCCAGCTATGAAATGTGATATCCGTAATTGATTGGCTAATATAAAATATTTCATCCAATAATAGGCCTAGGCCTAATACTCGTACAATTTCCCAGGCGAGCAATCAAGCCCAAATCCGTTGTTGTCATTGACAATAAAACATCTAAAAAATAATCTTACCAAGTTCTAGTAGCATTTTATATGATCTCACTCAGTGTAAATCCGTTATGATGACGCACAAGTTAATGAGCCTATCATTCAAAAAAACTAAATTATTAGGCCGATAGGATCCAGAATGAGTCACAACTTTCACAATAAACTGACATTCATATTTTTTTTCTCATCTCAATCTACATACAAGCTTGTTGAATGTTGCTTACCGTATGTCTAACTGACTGGGCTTCTCTCTGTTTATATACTATAAAGATCCAATGGCCATTCACACTGAGGAATGAGTTGGCATTGTAGGGTATTTTAGATTCTTATTGCTATCACAACTCGAAATGGCCGCCCTGTCTAGATTTAATTCAATCCTTATGATTTCATTGGCTGCTGGCTGAAACAGCTTGCTAATGATTGGTTGACGGTAATTGCGCTTTTTGCGCATGTTTAAGCGGATGTTGTGGATACACATGGCTGACTAGTGTCCATAGTCTTTGGTATCCGTGAATCTGTCTATTGTTTATCATTTAACGCCTATTGTTATAGTGAAAATTATGTAACACCTACCACAGAGAAAGACTTAGGTACAGTCCGGCTGTATGGACTTTTGTATATATGATTAATATCTATCTAAATCAATGATAACTGGATTTCTTTTTAAGTTCGCGCAAAAATGTAAAATTGAATCGATTGTCTACTTTCATTTTATTTACATGATTGTCGCTGTTTCGTTTCTGAAATGAAATGAAATGAAATGGGGTTTAACGTCCTACTGTTCTGCTCCAATACTGGGCTAATGAAGACGGGCATACGCCATACAATGTGCTATGAGGAAAATTTTGCCCAGGCAGTGGCACTATCGCCTACTCTTAGTCTTACATCAAATTCCAACTGCCAAGGGATCTTTTATGTGCATTCCAATTTATCAATCACTGTGATACAGAAACCAAAAGTTTCGTTTCTGTATCACAGTGATTGATAAATTATATAATTCATTTTTTACTGGTGAATTGTATTATTTAGTTTAATCAGGCCAAATGAATTGTATTGTTTTCCATATATAAAGTCAACATTAAGTCTTGTGTCGGTCCAGGCTGGTGATGTCAAATTAAAATGTTTTCATTCATAAACTTTATGTTTTCTATAAATTTTATTTTGTATTATAGTTGTAGATTCTGTGGTGTTAATTTGTTATTTTAACAATTTTGATATTTTAATGCATGGTGTTATGTCTTAATAGATAAGTGGCACATAGTATACAGAGGTATTAACTTCATAATTTGTTTTGATAACAGTAAATTATGTCAAAAAGTGAACTCTGTTCACAATCTCTAAGACCCAAATCCATATTATTAAAATCAACTAATGCTGCATATTAAAGGAGCGAAATCTTTATTCTTTGGCATCTAGAAATGTACACAGTTGAGTTGCAACACATGAAATATGAATGTATATAATAAACTGATTTACATTCAATCGTTTAGACTGTTTTTACTGTAATTTCTAATCAGTTATGTTCGGTGAAATACGTGAAGAGTCCAAATTGAATGGCAATTTTTGGCGCCTGGTTATTCTAGTCTACACCGGTAGTATTCTTCTGTGAGATACGTTTAGCCTTGTTCATCAAGTCGCTTCAGTACAAATGGCACTTGAAAGCATTCTAGCATGCGATTTGTGTGTCAATTTTAAAATTTTCATTTTGTCTTAAATATTGGATATCAAAAGCCCATCTTTTCACAGTAAGATTAACAACATCAATGTTGATTTAAATTGACCAATAAGTGGTGTTTACAATATCGAAGACTACAGTGGTTGATGTTGAGTTAATGACTTGCCTCCTTTAAAGAATCAAATCCAGCTCTGTTCACAAATAAATATACAATATTCCAGACTAAAAGGCAAATGTTGACTTTCAGATCATACACATTAAAAAGTAGTCTTATGAAAAGCATATTGAGCTATCAATCCTAACAGAAGTTATAACCATTTAAAGTTCCCATTACTTTGTCTTGATTTCGAGCTGCCATCAATTTTTTCTCATCGGATTAATAAACTGTGTTTCATTTCCATCTAGAATATTTGAGTTCGAGATGGCATCTAACTATCTTACCTAGTTTTTTTTTAGAAATTACATTACTATCTCAAAAGACATTTATATTCTTGTTTTTGTTTTTTTAAATTTTATAAAAGAAATGAATATTGGCTTCATGCTTATTCTTGTTTTAGTTAGTACATAACTTTTTGTACAAAATGAATTAAAAGTAATAATAGATAGATTATTTAACATACATTTTTGTGGATACAGATTATTTTATGGGAATAAATTCCTTTATTTGCTTGGACATTTGAATCAAAAGACCACAAATTTCTTTTTGTGGAGAAGGGGGGCTTCTCATGTTCTGGTGGTCCAGATTTGTCTAGATTGGAATTGTTCCAAGAATGGAACACTTACTTTCATTTAATTAACCTGTTTCACTTTTCAAAATTAAACTATTCCATTCTTGGAATCGTTCCTGACATGCTTAAAACTGATCATGTGAACAGGGTTTTAGACTTAAGTAAAATGGATTACATCAAATGAGAATTTATTGTTGTGCTTCGGCTACTCCCACCCAATGGACCCATGTCATAGACTATGTTAGTTCTGTGGCAGTCCCATGGGTAAACTAGTCTAATTTGTCGTTTTAACTATTGGGTTTTTACTTCCTGCTATAGATGTAAAGAGAATTTTAGGGTTGAAAGAAGGGTTGTAATACATAGATAAGGATTTTATTTCCACTCTAAATATAAATTGATTATCTCGTATGTTTTAAAAAGTGTAATGAAGCTTTATACTTCTTTTGTAGATTAAAGATTCAATCTAAGTATTAAAGCTTATAGAAAAAGAAGGGATAATGCCAGATGAAGGGTTCCAGCAGGTGGATGAGAAACATGTGGCTAACGAAGTGGAACATATGCTCTGGTCCCCTAAGATTGATTTAATTGCATTGGCCAATGTACATGGAGAGGTAATGAAACATTTTACTTTCAAGACAAAGTTCAGTTTCTGTAATGCTGTTTTTATGATATTAAATAGATGACTTTTATAAAGATTGATACTGAGTTCACAGGTTACAAACATTCTGATTAATGAGGTGATAGTAGGGCACTACTTTTGAAGTTGATTTGAGTAGGTACTACTCAAAGACCTATTTCCAAGAATTCACCACAAGTGTCTTCTTGTTTTATTTCATAACCCACACTTTATGGTACATATTCTGTATGATGCAACTTTACAGGTTTTAGTTTTTTAATGTCAAGTAATAAAAAGTCAAATCATCAATCAAAACCAGTATTTATATGTTTATTTTTAGTAATAAGATACTTTTCTTTGCACATGTTTTTAAATATATTATTAGGGTCTATATATAATAACAGAAAATGTTCTCCCATGTTTTGTTTAGTTTATGTCGTAAAAAAAACCCTCCTGCATCCCCCTGAAATGACGCCATATTTGGTGCTTAATCTGGTATACATTCGGTAGTGGAACATATACACATATCACAACCCTTTATGACCACATAAAAAAGAAATAAGGCACTAAGTTCCAGAATAAACATCAATGTCATGACCTGTTGCTCAATGACAAGTGGTATCAGGAAGTCCAGAGAGAAAGGGCTATTTAGCAAGCATACCCTGCCTTTGGCACTACAAGACTAACTATGCCTCAACGAAAATATAGAATGCAGACTAGCACAAGAGTGTAAAAGAATAATAAAGTATTTAGACTTGCCAGAAATGTTCATTTTTATGAAACATAGTTGAAAGACATTTTAGGCCACGGTTAAATGGGTGCTAAATGATTAGGGCAAGATTGGCAGAGAAATGTCTGTGGCTAACACATTATACTTTCATAAAACCCTGACCAAGAGTTAGTGTGAATGCTTCTAAAATGATGGTTTTCAATTTTTTTTTACAAAAACTAAATGCAACCATTTCAAGCCAGTCTAACCATATTGGAACATTTGGACAATAGAGAGTATCTTGTGATTAATATTGAGTAATTAGGTTTAGGGAGTTAATTATATAGGAAGGAAACTAAATTATGTTGAATGTTGAATAATCCTTATTATGGAAGGAAATGGCTCTATTTGCAATCTGTCCATCTCTTCCAACTGTTGTGATGATTATGTGGCTATTTCTAATGTCCAGCTGAGTTGGTCTTAGCATGTGACTGACCACCTGGACATATCAATGAAACCGTCTTGATCATCAGGGTTACTAGTCTTATACTGACTGTCACTGACATAGAAGACTGGTCAATCTGGAAGTTCAAACTATTCATGTATTTTGCTTATTTTCAAGAAAATTATATTATTTAAGTTGACAGCATGTAGTTTGGGTCAGAATAGGGGGTAATTTATAACACTGATTGCACCAAGTTAACAACATGGCACTTTCCAGGCAGATGATTCCATTTCTTTTTCATGTCAAGAATCAAGAATTCATCCGAATGAATTTAATTATTTGGAAGTTTTAAATAGGAACAAAATAATTTCCATTGCTGGTATAATGGAAGGGAAATGAAGTGAGAGTAAAATAAACTAGAGTTCACAGCTGTAAGACCATGAAACAAGACAATTTGTTTATTCAGCTGTATCCATCATTTAGATTTTAAAATTGTGGACATTAGTACCACATAAAGTCCTATCTGTTTCCCTTTTCGCCAAACCATGTTTGATAAGATTAAAGGGAGATTTCTATGTGGCTTTTATTTTTGTATCACTAATGTTCTACGCTATCATCTGTTGCCAACTTAAAATACCCCTGATCAAACAGAGTCACTAATTTTGTTAGTATTTTCTTTGTTACATTTTTTATAAAACCCAAAGTAACCCTTAAGATTTATTTTCATAAGGGATTAGATAGAACACTCATCGTATCCTTGTGTATTTTATTTAAAGGGCCAGTATTTTGGACCAAGAGACAAATATAGACCTTCAGGCCAAATACATTAAAAAGTAGATTTATCAAAAAGCATATTGGTTCAAATGTCATTCATATCAATCAATCCAAAATAAGATATGACTATCTTAAATGCCGGTTGATTTCATCAGGTCATCATTTTCTGTCTTAGAACAACTGTCATCTATGAAGAATAAGTCATTTCTGTCCATGATGAACATCCAGTTCAAGCTATAACTAATTAAGATTTTTTTTATTTACCCATTATTGTCTAGATTAATATCTATTACTTTCAGCCATTTGTTTTGTTTAATTTTGATAATTAAAATAACTAAAATCCTTCTGGACATCTGGTGTATTTAGGATTTAATAGATGAAATACTAAATGTAAAACAATTTCCTGAAGGAGACCAGGTTTTGGCATGAAAGTTTTTTTCGTTTATTGCTTAGTTTGATCATATGCAAAGTTATGAAATGAACAAATTAAATTTGTTAGGTGTTGTAAATCACACATGGTTAAAATAACACTATTGATAAATGTGTTGATTATGTCAGTTAGTGTGTAATACTAAACACCTTAATTCACTATACAACAGCTTGATATCTATATCTAATTAATACACACTAACAATATAATACACTAATCATGTATACAATATATCAATATACAACACTTTCTTAATTACATTTTGTGTATTAACTGAAAACTTCTTATGCGAATTTGATTTATACAAATCATCTACAACTTCAAGTCAGAAATCCTCAAAAATTCTTATATTAATGCTTTTCACATCGGATCTGTGAATAAAACTATATATTCGTTATATGTTAGTATCTTAATTACAGGTAGTATTACATCGTTTGTCATGGCAGAAAGTTTGGTCTCTTCAACCATCTTCTGAGGAAGATAAAGTTGGCGGTCTGGCATGGCGTCCAGATGGTAAAGGTGGGTAGCTTAACGTTTGTATATTGGCATAAGAATGTATATGAACTCACAAACCTTTAAATAAAAAATTATACCGGTAGTTCGAAATTTGTTCAATTTAGGTACATGTACCTATACATGTGTCTATTAACATAAATATGTGTATGAAGTAACAAACCTTCAAATACAATATTATACTGGTAGTTTGAAATTTGTTCAATTTTTGTCTTATTCATATCTTTACTCAATGGAGCTTATGGAGGTCTTTAGTCACTTGGTGTAGTGATCTTATCCCTTGCCAGTTGGAATTATAAAAAAAAGAAGGGGTTAAAGATACATTATGTAAGATTTAGATAAAGAACTAGCCATTCTTGCCTAAATAGTTTGAAAGTAGATGATGTAAAATGAATAATTTGAAAATTTCATTCAAATTACTCTATTGCAAGCGAAGATATTAGCCTTTGAAGGTTTGTCAGACGTGTGCAAAAATTTTATCCACCGTACTGGTTGATCGAAGCTAAGTCACAGTCCTCCATATTTGATTAAATCAAAGTATCGCTGAACTGTGATTAATTCTATGATTTTAAAATTATCAATTTTATGGAGAATTTTGAATGTGTATTTCAGTTTTGGCGGTGGGTTATAGAAGTGGTAAAATACAGCTTGTTAATACAGAGAATGCCTCCATTCTTCATTCTACAGACTTAGAAGGAGAGATAACATCTTTAAGTTGGATAAACCAAGAATTTCCAGCTGGAAAACCCTGGACTCCTGATCCATATATGGAAGATAATTCCAAAGATCTCTTACCAAAACTTCAATCTTTGGATAAAAGGTGGGAAAATATAGTTGACAAAGAAAGTCCGTCCTCAAGATTCGATTTTTGGGGGATAGCAAAATGGATTCATTTTCTAAGTTATTTTTGACAGCTAGATGTTAAAAGAGAAGTGTGTGTATGTATTTATTCAGAAGTTTGACAGTAGGAAGATTAGTATTTGATTATCGTGAGGTTGGACAACATTTTAAGTTCTCATGACGAAGAATTACTTTTAATCTAGTTCTCACTCCACCTTTTATTGGTTTGAATCGTGTTGAAAGATTTACACCTATTGTCCAGAAAATGGACTATGTTAAGAGCAAACCAAAGTGTCAGGAAATGATTCTATTTGAGTCAACTCTCAACTTCTGAAGATTGTGCAATTGTATGTCAGGAGTGAAAGACTATTCATTGCCTGGCTAAAACTAGCAACTTGATCTGAAAGCCCTGCATTGTCATGGTTAGGTAATATTTAATCATAAGAAATAAGCTTGACTTTAAGTCAGTAATGGGCGTGTAAGATACTGCCTATGATGGAGCTATTGTTCATGGCTTGATTCCCCAGGGGCATCTTTAGCCCTAGAAGGTGAATGTCCTTTAATGTGCTTTTAACATAGTGCGTATATCAATAATAACTGCATTTAGCCTTCAGATAGATCAGATTGTAAATTTGAAACATCTTTGATCTTGGACGGTTTTATAACCTGGTAAATTAAAGATCACTCAAGAAATCATGTTCATATCCAATAGAATAGTCAATAAACTCAGCGATTTGTAAGAACAGTCTAAGCTTCTTACCATCCAACTTGATCTTATAATTTAAGGCGAGTTTTCTTCCATAAAAAGTTTTATTTGAGGGAATAATTCAGTGGAACTTTGATTTAAGGTAAATGGCCTCCTTAAAGAGATTCCATGTTATTAGGAGTTAAATTTTTGTCCATTTCCCCTCTTTAACCAATGACCTTTTATTCACTGAACATTAAGAAAGAGGCAATTCACAGTTCTTTTTCCTTTACTGTCCCTTACCTTCTATAAGAATTAGATGTTTCCTCCATAATGTGCAGCTGTGTAGAGTCATAAAGTAATTTAGTCAAATTCTTATTGTTATTACTTGGCTCTCTAGGTGACATATATATACCCCCTTGTAAACTTTTCACTTACCAGCATTTGTCTTGAAAAAACTTATGAATAAATGATTAAAATATTGAGTAATAATGGCATTTATAGAGTCACAGATGTTCAAATATTATTTAATTTAAACAACTTGCATGTTGTGACATTAGAAATGTTTTTGAACTTGATTTTGAATCCAGATATAATTTGACAAAATGGGGCACCAATAAGTGAACCTTCTAAATGGGGGAATGTCACATTACATAGGTAGTACCAGGTGTTTAAAAAATAATAGGATCTGATTTAATTATTATTTATTTATAAATATTTTTCAGTTATGGTTCCATTTCTAAAGGAAACCAGTAAGTTTATTCTTTCTTGCATATTCATGATTAACAACTTAGAAAACTGTTGTATCGGCATCTGGCTTTTGCTAATGATGTTTTTATCAGTATATTACAGATTGTTGGGGTGAAGTAGAACAGCTTTTGTATTGCATGATATAGATATATTTTGGGTAGAATTAATTGACTTCTGGCTTAGCCTGGAGTTGTTATATACAATTTCACCTTTAGAAACAGTAGTACCCAAAAAAGCCCTTCAACTCTGTGGGATATCACAGGTTTCCAGTAATAAGTAACACCTCATTAAGGGGGACAGTCCACAAGTAGGGAAATCTCACCTGGTGGTCTTCACTTTCTCATTATCTCCTTCACATTTATTCAACCATTTTCTTTATAGTTCTCTCACTCTAAATTTTCTCATTACTTTTATTTTATTCCATGAAATCTATTTTTATTTTCAACTACAATTTAAAGACAAATTCATATCTTAATACATGAGCTCCAAAAATCCCTTTATTCAAATAATGGCTTTTGTTTCTATGCCACATCACAAATAGAGTATGCTATATGCACTATAATTAAAATACTTTAACTAAGCATTATATATAATTAATATGCACATATTAAAATGCTTTTATTAATCATTATATATATTAAATATGCACATATCATTAATATTTTTGATATAGCATTAATGTTGTAAAACCATTATAACTGGGTTTATATCATTATTTTGTTTATGCAGCGAAGAAAGTGTTGAAGACAGAAAAAGACTACTAGACCAAAAAGAGTGAGTTAGATTATTTGTGTAATTAACTTTATTATAAAATCTAAAAACAAAGCCATTTCTTTGCAACAAAAGTAGTTAGAAAATAAAGTGTCCTTTGCATGTTGTTTCTCCATTATCCTTAACACATTTTTCAACAGATTAGCTAGTTATCCACTTATCCTGAAAAAACATTTTGAATATCTTAATCTTTTTTCAAAAAATAATTGAAAGTACTACTCTTCAGGACCTATAGGTTTATCCCTTTAAATCTTTATAGTTTCTGTTAAACAGATTAAAATCAGTCTGCAGATTAAGGAAGCCATTGAGATTATAACAACAGATATATAAAGTTTGTTGTTCTAGAAAACATTCTAATTGTTTTCTTTTCAAGATGGCTGCTAATAATCTGGCTATTGTTTCTCCTACCAACTTTGATTTAGTAAATATTTATTCAGTATGCCAGGAAGTAACTAGACAGTTTGTTAAGATGAAAAGAAGGATTAAAACGCAATTACAGTTGCACAAACTTTGTCAAGTTTTATTTTAAGAACCCAGTGTTACATGTCTGATTTTGTAGATAGGAATAGATTAATAAAAGTAGTCGTAAAAGAACATTTTCCGTGAAAATTATAAATAAAGGACTATTTTCTCTTTGGATGATCAAAGTGTATGATAAAACTATTCAGTTTCCATGAAAATGGTTTTCTTTTGTGAAAACTGCATTTGTCTTGTTTGTATTAGTTAATTGAATTTCTATGTTGAAGTTTGAATGTATGAAATAATACAAAATTGACTAAATCTCAATTTACGACCCAAACAAATTGTATGATGGCCGATTGTAGATTTACTATTTGTCATATATCCTAGTTATGCTGCAGATTTTATTCTTGTTACCACTATTGCCACAATTGTGTAAACATGGGGTTTGTTTGTGTTTTCAGCAATGATATCTTGCAGTATATATTAGTCTGAAAACAACTCCCATTTTCTTTTAAATTATGTATAATATTCAAAATTCACTATAAGTTCACGTAAATAGTTTGTTTGATCATTGCTCTTTGTTTATCGAGAAATTGAGTGGTCTAAGGTCTTTGATTGAGTCAAATGCATTGATTTTGATCCCATGTGTGTCTTCTCTAGGTCCTCTGGTTTCCTCCTACTGAAGACCCATATGCACAAGCGAATTATTAAAATAAAATTGTACCTTATGTTAGTCCAGAAATAACCTGGTTGTGTCTAGTGGATGTTAAACCCCATCTCTCTCCCTGCATTAATTTTACATAATCAGCAGACCTATGGAACTGTAAAGTGAATAACATTTAGTATGTGAATGATAAGTGTATTTCTTTTTTAGAGATAACTTCCACGAACATGATTTGTTAATGGGATATTTTTGTTCATTTTTTTGGCAGTAAAATAGTATCCCTATGTGGAAACATAGTCTTTAAAACTAAGGGCCTGTAGGTATTTTTTCTATGACTGTTGTTAAGCCATGTAATTATGTTTGTAATTACAGACTTTAACTTTGATAATTTATAAAGATGTAAAGAAAATATAATTGAATCATTATGCTGTATAAAAGTCTTGTAAATGGGGTTGAGAGTCCGTGGAAACTTAGTCCCTTGGGCATTAAAACTATTTGATATATATTATTTAACTCAGATAGACATCTATTTACAACTATTGACAACTTATACCTATAATTAGTATTATTACTAAGAGAATAATTATACCTTATATAATGACTTGTCATTCAACCTCATTTTTCTCAATCATTTAGTAGACAAAAACCTTAATGTCAATCCCCTAGTGAACTGGAATAAGTCAACCAATGAAAACAACAACAATGATGTAGGCATTTGTAATAGAGGAAATGAGAAGTAAAAAACTTCAGGATAGATCCAAGATAAACTTTGTTATCAAACCATGAACAATAAAAAAGATAGAGAGATATACTTGATTCCAGGATGAATGTTTGATTAATTAGACAGTTTGGTCTAATAGGTAGATTTGGAGTAGGATAAGACTTATAGGACCTATATGGATGGCTCATTGATTTCTGTAACACTAACTATGGGCCATTTAGAATGCCTATTATCATAATGCTAACTTGAAAAGTTCTTGCAAAATGGAGTGAGAAGATAAGACCACTTTTGTAATGATTTTGAAAGCAGGCCATTTTCCCATGTCACAGAACATTACTGATGTGATGCCACATAAATGTCAGGAAATGGAGTAATTATAAGAAGGAGGCATACCCTGTAAGGTTATGTCATCCATTTTACAGTCTACCATTTCCCCTCATTTTAATGTGGACAGGCATGTATGTCCACCTCTCTTAGATTAGAGTTCTTGACAGTTTCTTTTTTAAATTTTTAGTCATCTTTCATAGACATTATTCTAACGGAATTAAAAATAGCTTTCTTGAATGTCCAACCAATCTCTGTGTAGCGCTGCTTTTTTTCCATTATACCCACTAGCATTATAGGATATGTGCCGTATATTTTTACACTTTAACGTATTTTTTATACAACCACATTGAAATGTGGTCGTATATTGTCTCCATCCGCCCGTACTTCGGTCCGTCCGTCGGTCCAACATCCACAATTGCTTGTGGACACTCTAGAAGCTACAGTTACTATCCGATTGCCTTTAAATTTATACACAGTGTTTAAGGTCATGAGACAAAGAATCCTATTGATTTTCAGCTATTTGAAATATTACTGCCAGAGTTATGGCCCATGATCACTTTGAAAAATCTTGTCGAAGCTCTAGAGGCTAAATTTAATATCCGATTGACTTGAAATTTATACAGTGTTTTAGAGGCTCTAGAGGCTAAAGTTAATATCCAATTGACTTTAAATTACTGTCAGAGTTATGGCCTTTGATCACTTCAAAATATCTTGTGGAGGCTCTAGAGACTAAAGTTAATATCCGATTAACTTTAGATTTATACACAGTGTTTAAGGTCATGAGACGAAGAATCCTATTGATTTTCATTTATTTCCGATAATTACTGCCAGAGTTATGGCCCTTGATTACTTTGAAAAATGTTTTGGATGCTGTAGAGGCTAAAGTTAATATCCGATTTTAACCACAGTGTTTAAGGTTGTGAGACAAAGAATCCCAGTGATTTTGAATGATTTCCGATAATTATTACCAGAGCTATGGCCCATGATCACTTTAAAAAATCTTGTAGATGCTCTAGAGACCAAAGTTATCATCTGATTGACTTTAGATTGATACACAGAGTTTAAGGTCTTGAGATGAACTAATATATTGATTTTCAATGATTTTTGATAATTTGAACAGCTAAATCCATGATATTAAATGTTTCGTATACTAAACGTTAGCATGGGGCAGAACTAAAAGCCAAACAAATTCTAATGATTCTCTGATAATTACTTAAACATACATTATGCAAGAGCTAAATCTGTCTATTGCAGGTTTTTCTTTAGGCCTGAAATGTTATCTAAATTATTAATTAGACATTAATTAACCTATCCAGACCATAATCAACTCTAGATGGCATTGCTAGCCTGCTATCTTTAGTGGATTATGAGCCAATTTACTGCATAACTTTCCTTCACGATTTAACGATTTTATGGATAATCGAGACTATGCTGTTTATCGTACTGACTTTAGTAATGATGATCAAGGCTAGCTGGAAATTTCAACCGCTTAGATCTCGGTTCAGCAAATTGCCTTTACATTATCTAGTTTTTAACTATTATAGTGAGAACTGCCAACTCGTTATCGAATCTCCCATAATGTATCTTTAATGAGTTGTTACTTTTAATCAGATTTTAGTGTATTATAAATGTTTCATTAACGACAATAGAAAAAATATGCGACAACTCTTGTTGACTGCTCGAACGACTTAGCTGCTGTGGGCATATGTTTCATTGCCTGACAACTTATCTTTTCAAAAACATGCTTGCCCAAACAATTTAGATAATTTCACATTTACAGTGTTTTAGCAAACAATATGTAGACAGTATAGATCATTCAGAAGTTTTATTGCAGATCATTTCAAGTTACATTCATATTAAAATATGCAAACAAAACACCAATGTTTGATGTTGTCTATTATTTTAAATATGTTCATTATTATCAATAATATAGAGTAAAAGTATTGTAATAAAATACAGTTTGCCATATGGTTACCTAATAGAGCCCATTAATAACTAATAGTTCATAGCTAGTTATTGAAAAGATTAGTTATTTTTATGCACGCATGGTTCACTTTTCTTGTTAGCACAATACAGGTTGGAATAATTTATATATCTTTTTGAAATTGATATTGGTTGTCAATCTCAATGAAATAGAGAAGCCTATTGATTTCCAACGATTTTTGATAATAACTTCCCCAGAGTTATTCATGTGTTACAAAATCTTATAAGCACCATAGCGGTGTCTGCGATATCACCTCGGTGGAAGCGGACGTAAAATACAACTAACCCATCATCATAGCGGTTTCAGATATGGTTCGATCATTCTGTAATTTATACTGGCTGTCTATTCGATTGAAAGCAACAAAAAATCCAATGATTTTTAGTGATTTAAAAATAAAAATGACCATAGTTATTCCCTTTTGTTACATATTTTTGTTGTCCCTGCAAAGGGTTCAGTTGAAGTCTGTTCTTTCTGAAATGTTTTATTGGTTGTCTATCATATTGAAAGAACGGATGCTACTGATTTTCGATAATAACTTAAATAGTTATGCCTTTTTGACGTCATTCACATATCTCGTTGACACAATAGAAGCTAAAATTATCCATATACCAATTTAAAATGGATATGGATTGTCTATCTCATTAATTTAAAGAAGCCTATTGATTTTCAACGATTTTTGTTAATAATAGCTAGTTTTATTCCCTTTTGTTACAAAATTTGTTAGCACTTTGAAGAAGCTTTAATTATAAACAGATCTTTCTGAAATTTTGTATGATTGTCTATCCTGTTGAAATGAAGAACCTGATTGATTTTAAATGATCTTTGATAACAAGTTACACCCCTTTGTTATGATTGCAAGATTACAGAACTGTTTGGGAACTGAAAAAGACAATGCAAGAAAGAAGCAATGTTTATTGTAACTTTAAAATTGTCAGTTGAAACACTCTGATTTTCTTTTATCTTGTTGTAGCTCGATTAATGTTTAGTCATAGTAGAAACTCAATGGAAAGCTGTATTAAATATGGGTTAGACCCAGCATTTTCATCTAAAAAGCATGAAGAAAAGTTTTCAAAATTTAAGCAATATCTGCATTTAAAATGTATATATTTTCAGATTGAATTTATTACTTGTTGGAACCAATAAAGATCAATTACATTTGTTTGCGTATGGCATTTTTCCATGTGGTATCCTGACATTTTCTTTATTAGATGGTTCAAAGGTTGGTTCACGTTTTTTGTATATTTGTATTTTTTAGTAGATAATTCACTAATTACATTTTGGTATCTTTTAATACAGTATATGAATAAGTCTGACAGAAATTATATATCAAGTCTATAAAGGTGGTGAACCCTATTTCGACAACTTTTCTTTTGACCCATTGTAACCTATATTGAAATTTTTAGCAGGGGGAATATGATAAGATCATTGTGAAAATATAAAGATGCCTGTCCTGATATGATGGGCTAAAACCCATTGTAAACCTGTATCAATACATAATACAGTTTCTTGTTAATGGTGTTTTTTTTTCAGATCTCTTCTATTCTCTAAATGCTATTAAGTAAGCTGTGAGAGATTTACTGTATCTTTATCTAGGATATCTATGTGCTAAATATTTCAGAACATAATGTGGCATTGTATGGGGCATATTTCAAATTGATGCATGTATCTCAGAAAACAATGTCAATATTATATTTCAGATATTTTTATAATGATCTTACAAACCAGGGTTTGTTATATTAAATGCTTTATTTTTTCCATATAAGAGCTTTATGGTTTTATATTATTTGATATTTACTGGTTTATCTTGTTAAGATGTTAAGCTCTGAGACCTGCCTGCGGCTAATCAAAATAAAAACTATAATGCATTTTGTTTTATAAGTTTCCTCCCTATTGTTAAAGATGTCTAAACAATGGAATATACATCTAATCAGAGGATACATCTATTACATTGATGGTCAATTTTTTAGAAATAATGAATAAAAAACCTATTTTACATTTTTTTCAGTCTCGGCATATCTACTGTGCATCTATATCCCAGGATCTGCATTGTTTGTCTATAATCGTGGAATCAACTTTAGATAACTCAGAAGATATAGACTATTACATGCTTTCTGTAAGTTCTGCCGATATAAATAGAAAATTTTAAATGTAGGATAAATTTCTTCCAAACGTCTAAAGGAATGTAGCTTTGGAAATTGGCATGCAACACAGGTTCAAATTTTTGTTCATTATCCAATACCTTCTTCCAATGCCAAAAACAAAGAACTTTAATTTACATATGGGATCTTTTTAAGACTTGTCTCGATATAAAGGATATCGAATGATGCTAACGCAATTGAATGGAAAAAATGGCAGGTTTATTCTTGTAAAAGTTGAATTTTATATTTTAAAAAAAGCAGGCCCCCGAGTTCACAAAGCATTCTCAGACTTCAGTTAAGAATTTACTCAACTTTCAATCACTGTTTATTAGAAATATTTTTGATCCAGAAATATAGAACTATGCACATAGTTTCTTATTAATGTATTTGATACATTAAAACAAAAAAAAAGTTTTATAAAGGGCTATATTTTAGTTAAAAAAAGGTGAACAATTTTAAGTAAATTCTTAACTTAAGTCTGAGAATGCTTTGTGAACTTGGGGCCAGGTATATATTAATTGAATAAAAATCTAATTTTATGAAAAGTTAAATTTGCATTTAACTTTTTGACTATTAACTAGAAAGAAAGTGTGTTAATTTTATCTCAAGTATTTAAATTAGCTATACATTGTAAATTTTATCTCATTGCACATCAGATAAAACCAAGAATAATCATAAAGTTTGGCACAATATGGCCCACTTGCCTATTAATTGTAATGTCATTGAGATCATATTGAACTGTTAGAATGATTAATGTATAATTCTATTATTATAGTATGATACAACTCTTCTCTTATCAAGACATAAAGAAATACGCTTGATGGCTTTGAAGTATGGACAGTTGGCCACATTAATTGAAGTAAGTCAACTGAAATTAAAGAGAATTTAGTTAAGATTCAGAGAAAATTGTTAAAATGATGTATTAGACTTAAAATTACCATAATGTAAAAGATTCCATTTTGATCTCTAACACAATGATTGAGCAGTTTGAGATTTTCATGTATATAATTTTAAGAGTCAATGCTTTCTTTGTAATTTTCTATGTGGAATTATGATAAAATAGATATATTTTTTCTTCTTAAGACCTTAAAGATATGTTCCCTCAAAATTATTTTGGTCATCTAGTGAAGCCTGAAACCTATTTTTAACTAAAAGTATGATATTCATTATTTCTTGTGTGAACTAGAAAAACAAAATTATAGACCGAAAGTGATAAGTAAGTTCTCAATAAATATGAGAAGAATAAAATCCTTATATGTTTGTTCTTCGTGAAGCTATATTCTACACATATATGGTACTTTGTCTATTGCTAAAAGATGACTGTATTCATTTTAGATTTGAAATTGAATAGTGTTTCACCATTCACTCACAATATATAATGATTTTATGAACAAACATATTTTTTCAGTAGTTTTAACATGTTTTTTGCGCCCACATTTTCATGTGGATGTATATTGTCGTCGCCCCTGTCCTGTTTTGACGAAACTTGAAATATAGGTCTATCTCCCAAAGATCTCAGTTCCTTTCGATACTGCTTTGTTAACGTCAGTTCTTTATGGCTGCGAATCTTGGATCTGTGGGGGAGCGAAGGCCGCCCGTGTAAGTTACCGCACAATCTTAAAGACACTGTTGGGTGTTCGTGTAACCACTCCCAATGATTTAGTCCTCCTAGAATTAGGAGCCCCTTCACTTATGGCACGGGTTCGTACGGTTCAGAGAACTTTTATTTCGGGACTCTTAAAGCGAGAGAAGGAATGAAGGATGATCCTTTTATGGAAATTTGGCAAATTTGTAATGACGCAAACACAAAAGGCGCGCAGTACCTAAATGAATTATTAAACGATTAAAGAGACATTTGTAAATTAGATTGCGAAAAACGTAAAACATTGGCCCGGTTGTCAGATAGTAGCAAAACGAGGGTATATAAACAATTTAACCCCAAGTTTTCTGTACATCAAATGTACAGCGAAAATATTCCAGAACACGATCGTATAGCATCTACAAGGTTAAGACTCTCGTCTCATGACCTAGCTATTGAAAAAGGACGTTGGTCTAACATTCCTAAAGAAAGTCGCTTGTGTCTTTGTGGTGCAATTCAAACTGAAAAACATGTGATTTGTGAATGTCCGATATGTGACGATGTTCGTGCCGACTATCCCGAGTTAGACTTTTCCAGTTTAAATTCTGTTTTCCTTAACAACCGTGTCTATGATGTAGCTAGATGTGTCCGTCAGTGCTTGAGAAAATTCAGTTAAAAATAATCATCTTTCTATCATAACCAGACTTATCAACATATTTGAACCCCACCTAGAGTTTTTTTAATTAGTTAAATCAGTTAACATTATTACTTGTATTTGTGCTATATTCACAGCTATTATACCCATCTTGTTTCATATTTAAATTTGGTAAAAACTTTCATGATATATTTAGTATGTACATGTATCAGTTTTAATTCTCACTTTGCCCGCTGTTCACATTATTCGATATATATATACTGTATTATGATGGTAATAAACTATAACTAACTAACTAGTATGTATCAGACCACAATTATTATCCGATTTAAACAAACATTTGAATATATCACCTTTACACCCTAATGATGGCTAAGTTTGAATTTCGTGAAAATCGGACCAAAATTGCTGGACAAAATGGACACCCCTCGTACGCAAATAGCGTAAAAATATGGCATATCAAGGTTGTGGACCCTCTAGAGGCCACAATTTTTATCCGATTTTCATGACACTTGAAATACATATTTATTACCCAAAGATCTTGGTTCCTTTTAATATTTGCGTATATCAGATCATAACTTCCTGAATTATGGCCCTTGATTGTACGAAAAATTGCGTTTTTAGTTTGTGGTCACAATTTTTATCCGGTTTAATAAAAGCGTTTGAATATATCACCGTTACGCCCTAATGATGGTTGAGTTTGGATTTCGTGAAAATCTGACCAAAACTGCCGGACAAAATGGCCTCCCCTCGTACGCAAATAGTGTATATATGGTTTATCAAGGTTGTGGACCCTCTAGAGGCCACAATTTTGATCCAATTTTGATGAAACTTGAAATACATGTTTATAACCCAAAGATCTTGGTTCCTTTTGATATTTGCACATATCAGATAGATCGTAACTTCCTGATTTATTGCCCTTGATTATACGAAAAATCGCGTTTTGAGCTTGAGGTCCCTCTAGAGGTCACAATTTTTATCCAATGGAAAAAAAACGTTTGAATATTTCACCGTTGCACCCTAATGACGGCTGAGTTCGAATTTCATGAATATTGGACAAGAACTGCCGGACAAAATGGCTGCCCCTCGTACGCATATAGTGTAAATATATGGTATATCAAGGTTGTGGACCCTCTAGAAGTCACATTGTTGATCCAATTTTGATGAAACTTGAAATATATCTTTATAACCCAAAGATCTTGGTTCCTGTCGATATTCATGCATATCAGATTGTAACTTCCTGAATTATGGCCCTTGATTGTACGAAAAAGTGCTTTTTGTTTGGCTTGTTCTCAATCCATCTCTTGTAAAATGTGGGCGCATCCTGCCTGACAGCTGCTGGTTAATTTGTTTATTCTCTAGAGGTCACAATTTTTTGTCCGATTTTAAAAACCGTTTAAATATATCACTATTCCACCATAATGAAGGGGAAATTGAAACAAAATGAACGCTCTTTGTATGCAAAGTGTGTAAAAGTATGTAATACGAAGGCTGTGGACGTATCTTGCCTGGCAACCGCTGGTTCAATTAAGAAGAATGTATGTTATTAAATAGGCATGATTTATTAAGGTCATTTAGAAACTTGGGATTTCCAAGCATAAAATATCAGATAATTTTGATTGGATATCATTTGTAATTTACTTCGTGGAGTGGTGGTAAAGCATGCCTACTTGTTTCTTTATTAACTTTTATCAAATTTATAGAATGCTGATTGTTTCAGTATCTACAGACAACAATACAACAGATGTCTGAAGCTTGGGAAGATATTCTCATGGAAATGGATTCAAAGTTACTCAAGTATGCTGAAGAAAAGGTACACCTTATTCAAATTTCCTAAGATTGTTTTATTAGTAACAAGGCAACATATCAAATCAAAGTTCAGTGTTGTTTGTTTAATAAGGCAGTGAGCTTTAGCCCGAAGAAAAAAAGTTAATGGAAAGGGGCATCATTTTACTCTAATTAAAAGAGTTATTGGCCATGTTTTGTTATTTGATGAAACTATGTAACAGACTGTATTTGGATAACATCAACTAGTAAGAGCATGCCCCTCCTGTCTTTTGGGTTTCAATTATGAATCCACTCACTGTCCATTTTAGACAGTTGTTTGATGTTGAAATAAAAATAGTATGATATGCAAATTTCTTGGATAGTGTTTCCATTGAAAAATAGTGCATTTTTTAAATGCTAAAAGAAGGGTTTGTATTGAAATAATTAGGGTAAATGTAGGATCAGTTCATGATTATATACAATGTCATCCAATGTAAATTTAGACAGAATCATGATTTGCCACCAGGTGGTGCTATTCACAATTATTCTTACGTGAGACTTGTTACACCATTTGAAGTGCAATCTGTACAAGGGTCGCACAAACACAAATGCGTAACAGCTCAGATAACAATGGTTTTACATTTTACCAACCTTTATTTGTCAATTCAAACAAAATTATTAGCTGCACAGTTTGGCTAGCCAGTGACTAAATAGATATTAATAAAAGTCAAGTAAGAAAAACTTTTCTCTCATTCAAAAGTTTGGGAAATCAAATATAGAATGAAAATAGTCTTTGTAGTACATGTATAAGACATTAAGTGACATCCTGTTCCTTGTTCAGTTAGGAAAATTAAATATTATATTAATGCTTGTAGCAGCTTTAACTTTAGTTTCATTTGAATTAAATTTGCATAATTTGTTTGGGATTAATCTATATTAAAGAAGCTTACTAGTGATTTGAACACTAACATCCCCTCATTTCCTTTCAGTGAGATTGTTAAGCAAGAAGCGAATGTTAGTTTATAGACACTGCTATATAGATGTCAGCACTGACTACAATAGAAGTGACAGTACTTAAAGCCTGTTATAAACCCTTAAATCTCTTCAACAAATATCACCTTTATCCAATAGAAAGCTCTCTTCATTCATTTCACTGACATGAACGACCATTTACACATTCTACACTTACTTGATTTTTTTAGAAATGGCTCTTCTATGCCCTGGGGTGCTAATTGCTTGTTTAATATTTGCTTAAAATCACAGAATATTTCCCATAAAATGGATGGTGAAGAAATAACAAATTACTTCAGTTGCTGATTTTGAATTATAATTAGGGATTTGATCAAAGGTGCCAATTTGATTTAAATTGTTTGTATTCTTTTACCAATTTAAATGTTCATTTATGACCATTATACACCAGTGGTTTGTGGTTTGTGGTTCGTCTAAAGATGAAAAAATGTGTCGTGCATGACTAAAACGAAAGAGAAAATTAAAAAGTTTTAGTTATGAATATGATATTAATGGAATATTATTTTTTTTATTAAACATAAGATGTCCTAAATTGTGGATTTAAGATTTCATAACACTTGCCACTGATATTGAATTAATCAATCACAATTTGAAATGAAATGAAATGGGATTTAATGTCCTACTGTTCTGCTCCAGCTGGGCTAATGAAGATGGGCATACTCCATACAGTGTGTTATGAGGGAAACTTTGCTTGGACAGCGGTACTACTGCCTACTCTTATATTGAATTCTAACTGTCAATGTGTACACAGGACCTTGGTTTTCCGTCCCATCCAAACACCTAGACAGTTGTCCTTGCCAGGCCCTCCGTCCTGCACCACTGACAAGTAACGAACCAGTGTCTTACTCAGTGAGCTACTACGACTCCCATCACAACTTGAAGATTTAAACTAACAACTTTAATTTCTTAATAACATCGTCCTACATTTGAATGAATCTTTCAATGTTTCAGTTCACATCTTTTAGATTAATAATAAAATAAGAGGTGGAATTTGGGCAATTTTTATTACCCGGTAGTTGAATTGAGTTTGATGTTAGATTAAAAATTCACATGAAAACTTTCCCATGTGAAGGCTATCTCTGATTCCACAATTGTCTCAACATAAAGATAAAGAATATTAAAAGTGAGGGTACATTCAGTGAGTTGAGTGAGGGATGTAAAGTAGCTTATATTAAAGTCGACAGGCTTAACTTTGTGATTAGTAAGATTAAAGTGATCAGATGACAGTTCTTGATACCTAGTTATTAAACTTCTTACAGAAGCTGACCTGCTTACTACAAGGTCAGTGTGTCTAGTGTCATCATGACATAGAATTTTAAAGGATTTAATTGGAGGGTTTGGGTCAATATTTGACCTTTACTGAATTTCCTGCCTGCTTTAAAAGTTAACTGTCTTAATTTCTAATTTTTGGTCTCCTCTCCTTGTCCAAATACTGGCAAATAGTAAATACAGCTTTCTGCTTGATTAGATGATTTATATTTGTGTAAGTGAGCTCACATCTGTTCAGCTTTAGGTCTCCATCAAATCCATACTAAATTACCATCTTTTAATTAAGGAATGTCATCCCTTGTTATTTTATTTTGGGTGATTTATAGTGAAGACATGAAACATGGGTTTAGATTTATGAGACAATTAGTTTCATTTATTTTAATTGGAAAGAATATTTGTATTATTAATATTGTATTTTTTTAAAATATTTTTGCGGTTACATTTATTGTTTTATAGGGAAAACAGTGAATAGATAATATACTGTTTTAGAAATGTTTTATCAGTTGATATTTACCTACTACATACAATATTAGAATTTAGGTATGAATGGCACTGTGCAAATGACAACATACAAAAAAATATCACAACTAAAAAAAAAAGGTTATTGAGAGAGAGAGAGAGAGAGAGAGAGAGAGAGAGTTTAACATCCGCTCAACGCAAACTAGGTCATTTCGGTACTAACACATGGCTCAATTTTATTTCGATAATTTGCTTGTGCGTAGGGGTCATTAGCAGTGGGAGGAAACCGGAGGACCGGGAGTAGACCAGAGGACCCGGAGAAAACCGACGAGGTTGGACAGGTGACCCTACTTCTTGCCACGTACAACCGGTGAATCGAAACCACGCCAGTTGACTCAATGACAGACCTTATGATACAGCACACACATGCTAACAATTCGGCCATCCCCATACCTTCCGTTTATTAATTTGAATAGGATTATTCCTTTTTCCAAGCCAAACTAATTGAGAATGAATTATGCAACTATTTAAATGTAGTATGTTCTGATATACAGTAAATCTTGTGTTATGTGGTACTTTGTATTTTTCTTGTTTTTTTCTTAAATCAATTTGTGATAGATTTTAATAGTGGTCTTCCCATGACGAACCTAAACAATCACTTTTAAGTTTTTTTTTCTCATAATCTGAAACATTGGTTTGTAGAGGGTTCTGGTTTTGGATTTATGCTACTTATAATTTCATGAAACTTCATTGAGGAAGCTCAACGGGCTCAAACCACGTAATACCGTGTAGAGAGAGGTGTTTTACATAGGCTAAGCCTGTTCCCTAATCACATTCAGATATCATGAATAAAAATATTGTTTAAAAAAAAAACGAGATGTAAAGTGCTAGTGTAAACATAAATTATATTCCTAATCCTATATTACAAAATCATTCATCATCTGCTTTAATTGATTCTTTGAAATAATTTAATTGTCAATCAGTACAGGTAATGAGTAATCAATCATTCAGTTATTAAATAAATTATTTTTAAAGATAAAAAAGTAAATAATGACATTAAAGGACAATAACATTTTCTACAGTTAATCAGTGCCAGTATTAACATGTTTTAATACGACTCCATTTGATAAAAATATGATAAATTCTATGATTTGATAATTGGAGTATTAGAGATTATAAAAGGACTTAAAGGATTAGATATTGATGATAGAATGAATTGTACTGTGCTCTATCATTATTTCTTAATATGGATTCAAATTTATTATTGGATGCCTATAAATTGTAATGCTATTAAATGATGACAGCTTAATAAAGGCAGATTAATATAATAATTTTGAATAGCATGCTAGGACATGTTACTATTATAATAAAGGGATTTGACAGAAGAACAGGTTTCAGCACCTGTCCCTCCCAGATATCACTTCTGTTCAAACTCAGAGCAGACGACAGCCTTTGTAAAATGTTCAACAAGGTTGTTTGTGGATGATTAACAAAACAATAGCTGACTGGAACGTATTACTCTGAAATCTAGAATACTGCTGCTTGTAAATAAAAATCGTATGAATAAACTAATTATTAACCTTTGTTAGAAATGATAGTCTTTCTATCTAGTAAATGTGTAAAACTCAGACTTGATAATTTGAAAGTTAGACTGAGTCGGTATGTGGTTGTGGTTGTCAATCATGTCATGTCAGAGAAGTTGACGATGTAGCAGATACAAGTATTTCTAGTCTACTTAAACTGTCTCTTTTATAATACTTTAGATATAAGATAATATTGAAAGGAGGTGTTTAGTGTGTTTCACTATAATTATATATTAGTTGAAGAGGGATGTCCAACTATTAGACGTACTATTATAGCCTTCTTTCTCATGTCATAATGTAGCCACACAAAATTATCAGTTGTATAATACATTACATGACAGGCAGATGCCAATATTTATTGTTGTTAGTCATTCTATTGAACAAGTCAAGGTCCGTCAAAATAAGACCCAACAATTATACAGTTCACTCTTCTGATGACTAGACTTTTCTTGAAACCAGAAGTCATAACTACCTCTCTCAGACAAAAGTTATTATCAAACATAGCTTTTACACCATGTTAACATTCTCAAACTTTCCATTACAAATCTCTTAGTCCTTATTCAAAAATTAAATGCAGATGATTTAAATTTCTAAACAGTCTTTCTTCTAAGGTCAGGACTTGAAATAAAGAGTTTTAGCTACCATTAGTTGTTAAAATAAAATTTCTTATTAGGCATGGTTTTAAAAAAGGATCTATTTGATAATTCAGATGAATTTTTATTTGAGTTGCACAGCTAATATTAGGTGTTTCATTCATTCAGTTCTAAATGTAATTTCAATCCTATAAGTTATGTAAGTAGGGTCAGTTGCCTGTATCACCTCCTGGAGATTGCCAAATTCTCCGCTGTTAATTATATGTGTAAGGCCCTTAGAAACCTTAACCATAGTCCTATGCATTTAATTAAAATATTAAGATATTCTTTCACAAAAATGAAAAACTTTCAGTTTCCACTGTTGTTGACCATAAGTGCCTGGATAACACTTCTTTGTACTTGCTGTAGTCAGTAACTCAAACTACTGAACAACAAAATTCCATAAACAAGTGATGTACATGTAACCATATCTAACGACGCCTCAATATTTTTTGCCATAACTTCAGGAAAAACTAAATAGATTATTGGTTTAGATTTTGGCGTTTGATTTGTTTACCTGTACTTAAACCCTCTTTATCAACGGAAACCATGTGACTACTCCTGTGACTATTCAACAAATTATTGACATATACTAGTTCCCAAAATGATTTGGAGCCACAGTGGCTAAGTGGGTAAGATGATGGCTCGCTAGCCTGGAGGTTTCCCATTGTCAGTGGGCCTGACAAGGACAGCTGTCTAGTTGTCTGAATAGGACAAAAAAAACAAGGTCCTGTGTATACATTGTTGTGAATGTAAAAGATCCCTTGGCAGTTGGGATTTGATATAAGAGTCGGCGATAGCACACTGTATGGCATATACCCGTCTTCATTAGCCCAGTATAGGAGCAGAACAGTAGGATGTTAAACCCCATTTCATTTCATTTCCCAAAATGACTTATTTGACTTTAAAACTCAATTCATTTCTTCTATTTAGTTTTAATATGATGTATTTTGTATATTACAGAAAAAGACATCAGAAATTGGAAGTGTTAGCAACGATTTCCTTGAACTATTATTGTTTGGAACACCTAAGTAAATATGTATTTTTCATTTAATTCTTCCTCACAAGTTTCATGTATTTGTATCATATTTATACAATGAAATTATCTTCTTTAAAAATAGTTCATTAAGAAATTAGAAAGTTGACAAAAAATTAATAAAAGTGAAATAAATCCCCTGCAGCACTAAGTCACTCTTTTAAGTTTTATAGTTGACAGAAAATTAATTCAAGCAAATAAGTCCCTAGTAGAAAGCAGTGATAATTCATTATTTTCATTTCAGATATAAATGAATGCCATCTATTTTCTTTTTACTGACAATTCTTAATTTATTTTTCTTTAGTTGGGGTTTACGAACCTTTCTTCAACATGAATTAACTGAAAAGGTAGTTATGTTTAATGGTTCAATGAATTTAAGGATATGCATTAATGACTACTTTGTGTTGTTGTTTTGCTCTGACAACAAAAAAGCCGATACATAAAGTCTTTACAGATTCCCTTGTATTTAAATCAATAAAAAGGTGTTTATCTTGTTTAATTTGTGTGAAAAGTACGATTTTCTATTGAAGAATCTTGCAAACCATTTAATCATGTGAAAAAAAAAAGAAACTAATAACTTTTATTATTGTTTTTTACACTCAGGGTCTTAAGAAACTTGGACAGTCAATAGAAAATTCTTATTCTAATATACAGAAACTGGTTGTGAAGCATTTACAGATGTGAGTATATATGGTAATAGTCATATAAGAAATGTTATATAAAATGTGTATGCATATTTGTTACATAATACACAGTAACATATGATTGCAAATGGAACAGTATTTACTAGGCCATGGAGAAAGTGTATCATTGATTTAACAGGATATTTTAGGGTAGAAAAAGATTGTCTTATAAGCAAGCAATGATTGTAATATGAATTGAAGATAACATCATAAAATATGTAATTTTAGTTACACAAAAGTTTTGATATAACAATTGATTAGTTGCCAAGCTATAAATTTGTTTTAACTACATATTTGTATGATTTAACTAAAATTTAACCATAACTTAAACATGCATTATACAAGAGCTAAATCTGCCTATCGCAGGTCTTTCTTTAGGCCTGAAATGTTATCTAAATTATAAATTAAACATTAATTAATTTACAAGACCATAATCAACTCTCGATGCCATTGGATGCTTGCGATATTCAGTGGATTCAAATACATTTTCTGGTGGAAGCGGTCACCGTAAAAATGGATAATCGATACATTGGTTATTATCGTAGCAATGGTATTAATGACAATCAAGGCTAGCCTATAATTATATCGCCGATTCCTTGGCTCAAAGGGAAGCAATTTGACTGAAAATTTCAAATATTCCCTTTTTTATTATCTATTGTTTAACTATTTTAGCGAGAACTGTCAGCTCTGTATCTAATCTTATCTAATGCTGCTTTAAGATTATCATTTGAAGTTAGTTATTAAGTTACAAATTTAATATAAAGAATGACATTAGATGTTTAACAAGTTTTTTTTATATCTAGCTGGTAAAAAGGAGCATTAATATAACAATAGTTACTATACAATAAAGAAACAAGATTTAATATAAAGTAAAGAAAAAAAATACTAAACTCCTTTAATGAATTATATATTTATTTAGCTTGATATTGTTGTATTCGCATTTTTATCATGTGTCAATAAAAAATGCCCCACTTGCAGACTACAATCAGTCAGACACTTGGACGTTGTTTGCTGTGTCCATGGCAATGATGTAATTAGAAGGATGAAGATCAGAAGGTCCTGTTGTAATATGATATACATGTACATGTATATAAACCTAAGATGTGTACAAGTCAAATTTGAAGTGAATAGTAAGAGTTTCTTTACTGTTGAATAATGGTCAAAACATCATTAAAAATGACCTATTGTCAGCGGATGTGGAAATTGGCTCATCTCTAAATTCTAGCATAAAAATGACTAACTGATTTCTTGCTTCAAAATTGTAATACATAATTTCATTTTTAGTTCGCTCATATTGATTGGTTGTGGTCAAAGGGGAGACAATATGATGATAAGGACTTTTTGCAACAGTTGCCTCCCTTTAATAAGAAACTTACCATTTCTGTTAAGTGTTTTTTTTATAAATATGAGGTCATTGCAAATGATTTTTCAGCATTAAATGCAAACTTCAGTCTATTAAAATAGTTGGTAGCCATGTATTATAATAGGTTCTTTAGAGTTTCACACTGCATTTTTGTTAAGTTCATTAATCTTCTTACTATTATTTATTTTGTCTCCACTTGAGCATATCTCAGAAACTAATTGTCGGATCGATTTGATGTCTTCGTTTTTACTGGGAAAGTGGGTGTGACTTCGAGTTTAAAGCCATTTCAAACTTTCTGCGACAATGCGAAATGTCCGAAATCACCAAGTTGTCGATTTTTTAAATATTGCTGTAATATTAACAATAGTCATCAGATTTTAACATTTGATACATTTTGACATAGTCTGAGACAAGGCAAATAGCTAAGGTTCTTAAATTTTTTATTTTGATGAAACTTTGCAGATATTAGGTGCCAGATTTTGAAAATTTAAATTTTAACAAAAACCTTTTTATTTATGAATATTTTTTTATGGCGTTTTACCAAGAATTAAAGGGTCATGTGATTTAAGCAAAAATATGAACAGTTTTCATCTCTATAATTCCTTGGCCGCTATTGGCTATTCAGTTTATGGGTTCTAGGTTAATTAATTATTGCTTGATTTGTATAAAACAAAAGTTCATATGCTCAATGGTGCAAAGTCTCAACTTTTTTGTTACCAATAAAGTTTTCTGTCGGCACTGGAAGTGACGTAATTTTGCCAAAAACTACAATTTTGGCAGTTAAGAATCTCTTTTCACAAGCAAATAACTTTTGGTTTAAATCAACATATCAATAAAATTGATATGGTCATATGGATATCCATACTCCTCGCAGTGTTTCATTTGATTAGAGCTAATCCCACTGAACACTGCTGTAAAGGAAGCAAATTTCTGTTCCAAATTATGACTGGTCAATAGTCCGATTAACAACCAATAGCTAACTGCATAACAACTTTCATAATCGTGTTGCATTAATCCATACGTAGACAAGGTATTTCAAAATTCATTTGTAATATTAGCAGTTATTTTGCATGAGTCACGTTTCACGTTATTTTGCCTGTAAATGAGTTAATCATAATCTGATTTTCAATTTTTTTCCACCATGTGATGCCTAATTCCACTTTTGGCTGCATGGGACAATTTCACATTTTCACTGTCAGTGGAAATGGTGTCATTTGGGCAAAATGTGTATTTTTAGCCTTCAAAACAAATTTTATTCAACTGAGTCGTATATGTAATTTATTTATAATTAAGATATTTGTTTCCAATGAACAAATGGAATGGTTTCTTACTTGTTCAGTTGCGGAGAAATTTATGATTGTTTACAGGTCACTTTTCAAGGTTTTTGGTCCATAAAAGTGTCAAGTATTATTTCATTTTCAAAAAATGTTCACCATGTGATGCCTAATGCCATTTACGATTTCTTAAAACTGATTTAACATTTTCATTACCACCGGAAGTGATGTCTTTTGGCAAAATCTGTATTTTTATCCTCCAATACAAATATTTGTTTGAAGTAAGTGATATTCATTATTCGAATAAAATTATGATATTTGATTTCAAGGGACAAATATTATGAATCAATACGATCATATAGATATCAAAAAAGTGTTTCTAACATCCTCTCGACTAATTGTGTCTGTATCACTTTTATAAGATTTTTCGCATTTTAATAAGGCTTTATAAAGGATTAATTCAGTTCAAATTTAATCAATTTTCTGTCATGCAAAGGACAATGGAAGTGGTTATGTCTGTAATTCAATTTAAATATTTTGTTGATAACGGAAGTGTCATCGTGTCGAGTTTCAGTTGTATAAATGGAACTAATATTGCTGGATTTATTGGCTAATTCTGCGTACATTTTATAACACGTGTTCAATACTTAATGTTTCCATTGGTACTGGAAGTGACGCCAGTTTAAGGATAAAGTGGCACCAGTAAAACCTGTCATTACTGCATCGCAGTTCTAGTTACGGTTCGTTTTTATATGGGATTTGGCAAGGGGAATGTCAACAGTCAACTTAGACAAAATATGCACCTCATTTTGCCCATTTCCCCTCCTGCTCTCTATTTCAATATTTAGAAAAATCTTAATGCTCTCCAGATTAACACAAATTGAATCATTGTTTTTCAAAAATATTCTTGCTTTGTTTAATATTGTTATAGTTTCTAAGATATTTAAACAATATGCAGCATCATTGAAAAAATACATCATTTCCCATCCAGGGGGTTGGATAGCCGAATGGTTAGCACGTGCAAGTTGTATCATAAGGCCTGTCACTGAGTCAACTGGTGTGGTTTCGAATCACTGGTTGTACGTGACAAGGAGTAGGTTCGCCTTTCCAACCTCGTCGGTTTTCTCCAGGTCCTCCGATTTCCTCCCACTGCTAAAGACCCCTACGCGTAAGCGAATTATTGAAATAAAATTAAACCATATTATGTTAGTCCCGAAATGACCTAGTTTGTGTGGGGTGGACATTAAACCCCATTTATCTGTCTCTCTCCCATTTCCCATCCCTCATTATGTGAGGGATGTTTAACTACCTGCCAGTATCAAGAAAGCTGAATCTCTAGAACGTAGTCCATAAATGATTCAGTATTTACCATGTTGCTCTACCAGGTTACTATTTCCCATAGAAGTTGTCCAGATATTCTTTTTTTGGTTGATTTTTTTTATGTATTAAATTAATATTTCTTAAATCGCATTATGTATTGCAGTGTTAGTCAAGCTATTGTGCATCATCTAGATGAGTTTCGTGGTATGTCACTTTGGTATGAGAAGTTTGGAGTTTTAGGCTTAGAAGTATCAAGTCTACAGGAAGCTGTAAAAACTGCTGGATCTTTTGTTTTAAAAACCAGTGAATTACAGCAGTAAGTAAAATATATTAATATTCTTCACTATAGAAAGTATTACGTACATCATTCTCTGAAATATTGCATTCTCAATATATACTATTCAAAAAAAGTAGGGGATATTTGATTTTGGGGGCATAATACTAAAATATGCAAATGACTACAAAAAAAGTCACTATAGAACCTAACAGAAGAAACATTTCCAGTTACATGTGACGCCCAAACGCACCAATAGCTTCCGCATGGAATGCAGGTGATGCTTGGGATCATCATGGGGGTCCAACCCAAGATTTGCACGACTCTGACTTTGAATGTTACAGTCATTGTGGCATTGAATTCCAGGGTGGAAACATCAGTTTAATTGTTTTAGTGACCAGAAAACAAATTTTGATATGCGTCGGCTTACCCAAAATGAAAGGTTACGTGCCCTTGGCATGCTACATATCGGCACAACACAGGCGGTTGTGGCGCGGACGATGAATGTTTCTCAGTCTGTCATAAGCAGGCTATGGTCCAGATACCGTGATACACAATCTGTACAGGACAGACCACGCTCAGGTCGACCAAGGGCGACAACTCAAGCCCAGGATCGATTTATCCGTACCTTGGCCTTGAGAAATCGTGTCATCACAGCAAATCAGATCAGCGCTCGTCTTCAAACAGACACTGGTGTGAGAGTGAGTGGCCAGACGATTCGGAATCGACTGCATAGGGGTCACCTTCGCGCCCGACGTCCTCGCGTGATCCCTTGTTTGAGAGATCATCACATTCAGGCAAGACGTCGTTGGTGTAGGGATCGTCAACACTGGGATAATCGACGCTGGAGCAATGTGATGTTTTCAGATGAGTCAAGGTTCACTGTTGATTTTTTGGACAGACGTAGGAGGGTGTGGCGTCGTCGAAACGAGCGCTTCCAAGACGTTAACGTCATCAGACATGATCGATTTGGGGGTGGTTCTGTTATGGTGTGGGGAGGCATCACTGTTGCTGGAAGAACGGCTTTACATGTTGTTGCAGGGCGTGTTACAGGCCAGTACTACCGGGACAACATTTTGGCAGTCCATGTTGTGCCGTTCGCACGACGTCATGGCCGCCGTTTCATCTTCCAGGATGACAACGCAAGATGTCACAGGGCCAGGATCTTTACAGGTTACCTCCAACAACAGAACATCACCACATTACCTTGGCCAGCACTGAGTCCCGACCTCTCCCCCATCGAGCATGTCTGGGACATGCTTGGACAGAGGTTACGTCAACGTCAACAACGTCCTGCCAATGTCCAAGAACTTGCTGCTGCGTTGCAACAGGAATGGGACAATCTGGACCAAACTGACCTTAGACGTCTCATTAGGAGTATGCCACGTCGGATCAATGCTTGTTTGGCAAACAGAGGAGGATTTACCCGTTACTGACTTGGTTGTGATGCTGTGGTAACTTTGCTGTTTGACCCCGGGTATCATTTTACCCTTATAATGGTCAGTCTGTGCCTTACTTAGTCTAACGATCATTTGGAATAAATCGATGAATGTGAACTTCATTTCATTTTGTCATTTGTTTCTTCGTCAGTTTCATTAGGTGACTTTAATAACACTTAAAAATCAAATATCCCCTACTTTTTTTGAATAGTATATGTCCTTAGATCTGCTAGAAAATGGATTTGATGCAGAATTATGTCTATGGTGTACTTTATCATCTATATCAACTCTCTCGCTTACTCCAGTAGCAACAGATATTTTTTTTTTATGAATGACTGGTTTAAGTAATGTTATTAACTGGTCTAATGTGTGTGCTTTAGATCATAGAACACCATTTTTCCCTCCCTCTCTGACTTAAAGTAGCTAAGTCTCTAACTCAATATCTAACTCAATATCATCCAAAGTCTTCGACATTGAAAACACGATTTATTTGTCAATTTAAAGTAGCTAAGTCTCTAACTCAATATCATCCAAAATCTTCAACATTGAAAACACGATTTATTTGTCAAATTAAATCAACATTTATGTTGTGATCTTACCGGAAAAAGATGGGTTTTTGATATCCAATATTTAAGACAAAATAAACATTTTACCATTGGTACACGAATCATGTACCATAATGCGCTTCAGCCCCAGTTGTATCAAGAGACTCGAGGGACGAGGCTAGACACATTGCACCAAATCAAACGGTCTATGTAGACTGGAATAACCAGACGCTAGAAATTTGCACTCGCTTGAGACTGCTGGCTTATTTTGCCGAACATAACTGATTTGAAATTGGAGTAAAAACGGAAACCATTGAATGTAAATCAGTTTATATACATTCATATTACAGTATTATATGCGTTGCGACCCACTTTTGTCAATTTCTAGGTCCCAAATGTTAGCGATTTAGCTCCTTTAAATCAAAATTAATGTTGTGAACTTACCGGGAAAAGATGGGTTTCTCATATCCAATATTTAAGACAAAATAAACATTTTACCATTGGTACACGAATCGTTTACCATAATGCGTTTTAGTGTCATTTTTAACAAGGTGCTCAAAGAATGAGGCTAGACATATTCAACAAGTCATGTCACACGCTGACGTAATATTCTTATCTGGAGAGCATGCGCAATAGACTGGAATAACCAGATGCTAGAGATTGCTGTTCGACGGAGACTTCTGGCGTATTTCGCCGAACATAACTGATTTGAAATTAGAGTAAAAACGGAAAGAATAGAATGTAAATCAGTTTATAAACATTCAGATAACATTATTGTATTTGTTGCGACTCATTTATGTCAATTTCTAGGTCCCAAATATTAGCGATTTAGCTCCTTTAAGTAATAAAGACCCGGATAATTTTCCAGTTTATAACCTCAGTTTTTGTGAATAGAGAATCTATATAACATATGTTAGTTGACTAATCTGTAGTTGATTATTATGTTTTAGAGTAATAGATGGAAGTATTAAGAATTTTAAAGCATTTTTGAAATGGCTGTATGTAGGTTAGTAATCTATTCATTAAATGAACGAAAATGGTATATTGGTTGCTCTAGCAGTAATATATATTGATGCATAAACATTTTAATACACTTTCAACCCTGAGAAGTGTTACCTTGAAAACAAAATGTAAATGATGAGTGCTTGAATAAGTAAAACCTTTTGTATGTTGTTTAATGCAAATAATAATTGTCAGAGGCTCTGGGAATACCCTTGAGAAGGGTGGAGATGTGCTGGTGCATTGACATTAAACATTAGTCACCCAGTAAGAACTGAATTCAGGCAATATATTTCAGATTATACCGAAGATAATGTAAATTGGTTTTGTGGTCTAAGGGGAGATAATATGCCAATAGATACACAGTTAAGGAGTTTTCTCCCTTAATACATTTTAATTTTTTTAACAGAAAAAATTCAGTTATAGTAATTTTTTCTTACATTTTGCTTACAGTAATTTTAAGATTATCTAATGAACAACCTCCAGCAGAACTTACTAAGGTACGTTATTTTTTAGCTAGTTTGTTTGTTGTGAATGTTCTACAGATCGTATTTCTTCATAGATGTTAAAGGATTTTTATACGCCCACATTGAAATGTGGTCGTATATTGTCGTCGCCCCTGTCCGTCCGGCCAAAGTTTGACTGATTGACTTTAAATTTATACACAGTGTTTAAGGTCATGAGATGAAGAATCCTATTGATTTTCAATGATTTCCAATAATTACTGCCAAAGTTATGGCCCTTGATCACTTTGTGACGCTCTAAAGGCTAAAGTTATCATCCGATTGACTTAGATTGATACACAGAGTTTAACTCTTGAGACGAACAAGTATATTGATTTTCAATGGATTTTTATGTCTTGAACAGCTAAATCCATGATATTAAAAGTTTTGTATACAAAACGTTAGCATAGAGCAGAACTTTATACAAACAAACAAATTCTAATGGTTTTCTGATAATTACTTCATGAGTTGTTGCTCTTAATCAGGTTTTAGTGTATTATAAATGTTTCTTTACCGAAAAAAGTAAAAATATGCAACAACTCTTGTTGACTGCCCACACAATTTAGCTGTTGTGGGCGTATGTTTCGTTGCCTGGCAACGTATCTTTCATTTTCCTCACTTATAGAGCACAATGTTGTGTTCCTATTTATGTTGTGAATGTGAAATGTGGTCGTTTATTAATGTCACCCCTGTCCATTGAAATGTGGTCGTATAATTAAATAATACATAGTTTGAAATGAAGAATCCCACTGATTTTCAACAATTTCCAATAATTGCTGTCAGAGTAAAAAAAAGGCCCTTGATTACTTTGAAAAAGCTTGTGGGCACTTTTAAAGTCCAAAGTTATTCTGATTGACTTGCAATTTGCATGTGGTGTTTAAGTTTAAGAGAAGATGTTGTCAAAGATTTCCAATAATTACTGTTTATACATAGTTTAAGATTAAGAATGCTATTGATATTCAGGGATTTCCAGTTAAGTTCATAAGATTAAGACACCTATTGATTTTCAATGATTTCAAAGAATTAATGTCATGATTATTGCCCTTGCCCTTAAGCATCTTGAAAATTACTTTGGACACTTTAGTAGAGGCCAAAGCAATCATTAATGTTAGGTTCAATAAACGAAGAAAGTTATTGATTTTCTAAAAATGTCCGATAATTACTTCTACAATTATTTCCATGGTTCCTCAAGATTCTTAAGTTTCATAGTTATTGCACTTGATCACTTTTAAAATTATCTGTTTATGTTCAAATTTATGTAATTTTGTGAACTCACTGAAGGACAGAGCCGTTGATGGACTATTTTGAATCTTGGGGAAATTGTTCATTAGGACACTGAGAAGAATGTTATTGAATTTGATGATTTGAGCATTATCAATTTTTGTGTCCATTCTGCTTGCAATGATCAGATTATGATTTTTTTGTTTCAATGTAATCTATTAATAGTGTAGATAAATGTGATCTTTTTTCAATCTGATATAATTGTTGCATAAAAACATTTTGTTCCCTTTTAAGGCATGTTAATCGAATGATATGTAAAGGTGTTATAATATAATTTAGCCAGAAGTGAGTCGACAAATAATGTTCAAAGCAATCTAGTGTGATGCCGGGCACCATAGTATCAGTAGAAATAAGGATTAGCATTCAAATCAAACTTGTGTGACAATGTTTAGCATAGAGTCTTGGTAGAAAAAGTAAAGTATATTCTGAAAGCTGAGAATCATAAGGTCTTTTATGTTTAAATCCATTTTGAAATGCATAATACCGTGTATTGTTGCACAGTGAACTGTTGTTTATATTTATAAAACTAAGTAATTTATATATTAATCTAAACATTGATAATATAGACATAACTTTATATTTATTAGATGACACAGCATGATGTAAGTTTTGTGGCTGATTTTCTTAAAGACAACTTTTCCCGATATCCACAGGTAGGACAACCATTTCATTGTATTCAATAATAAGAGCCACAAGGCCTCCCATTTATCGAGATGATGTAAGGGGAAATATGCATAGTGTGTGAAGTATCCTGAGGAAATATTGCTTGCATAGCAAGTCTCATTTTGAAGAATTTACATGACTAATAGAATTTTGACTTCTGAAAACCTTGCTGGAATGTCACTTTGTATATTTATCACAATAATGAGAATTTTGAATATATCATCCAACCCTACATTAAACCCTATTACATACATTATACAGATCTTTAATTTATTTTTAAAGATTAAATACAGTATTTATAGGTTATAGAATTTATTTTGTTTGTTTATAATAATCACAACACTTGTTTTCAGGATGGAGATAGACAGAATGAAGAGGACAAAAAACAAAGATTTAGATTAGAGAAAGTTGGTCAGGTGGGACATAGTATTAGTATAGTGGATTAGTTTATTAAGATACTGATATTGTAAATGGTTTTTGGTTAGATTTTTTTTTCTCTCACAAAACCAAAAAAACTAAAAACACTTTTAGTCAGAGTTATTTGGTTTTGCTTGATGAATGAGTTTTTAAAAATTGCAAAACTCAGATCAGATTCCCAGCTTCTGCTTGCTTTTAAAGTTTGTGGATTTTCAGGGTGATGTATGATAGAAGGACTGTAGTTAATAACCACTAGTAGAACTGGTTTATTTTTACTTCATTTTAAAAGATTGCTTTCTCCTTAAAATCCATATAAATTTTTCTTTCTAAAATGTGTCAAGGGAGGCAACTCTTCACAAATGTCCCTAATAGCATATTATCTCCCCCTAGACCACAATCATTCCATTTTCAGATCTTTTACCCATAAAGACTCTTTAATATGAATATAATTTAACATTTTGTTAATGTGATATGTTGGTCATTTTGAGACTAACATGATTATTTTTGTTCATTTATTTCTCAAACAAGGCATTAGCATTCCTATGTTTTCATGTGCATTTTCAGTATTTAAAGAAAGAAGATCTTCCTTTGCCTCCAGATACAAGCAGTAATTTATGGAAGCAGTTTCTGAATTCAAATAATTTTCAGAATGGTAAATGTTTTTATGATTATGTACATTTCTCCATCTAGCAGGGAGGGATTTAAATAAGTATATTTTATCTTCAAATTTAAAGTCCTACTGTTCTGCTGGGACTGGACTACTGAAGACGGGAGCAATCAGAGGGTTATGATGTCTAATGTGTAATATTTTATTGAACAATTAGAACCACTTCATATATTTCACTTACAGTAGGTATGATTCGCAAGTTGTGATAGAAGTCACAAATCTGAGCTGTAAAATTGGGTATTATTTTTTTCAGATAGTAGTCTGATTTATCAAGTAGAAAGAAAGAAATCATTGGTACAATTACAGGATCAATTAGAAGAAATAACTAATAAAGCTCTTACTAAACCAGCTGTAAGTATACTCAAAGGGTTAATTTGCTGATGTTTTGTGAATTACTTACCAGCAAAAATATACCTTGATGAATTATTCTTAAAGAAATAGCGCTCTTCAAACTTCTAACCTGATAATATATTCCCATTAAGTTTCCAAACTGTTATGGGTGCAAACACTTTAATCTGCTTTAAATTTGTATGCATAGTCCAGATTAGTGAATGAAGAATCTCTAATGATTATTTATAGAGTTGTTGCCCTTGATTATGTCATAGGATCTGGTGACAACCTTCATGAACTGTTCGGACAACAAAGCTGTTGTGAACATTATGTTTTCATATTTTATGGTTATAACTTGGTTATACATGCTGAATGTTTAATTGTGTAGAAGTCCTTTCCTAACTATATAGTGTATATTAACAAAAAAAAACATTCTCTTGAAATATCAATGTCCCGGCTTAATTCAAGATAATATGTAATGAAGAAAAACAAAATCATAATAGGGTCATTCCATGTCAAGTGGACCAAATTCTCAGAAAGTTGTAAAGTGATCCCCTCAGAAGATTATGAAAAAAATATATGTTATAGTACACACAGTCTTGTGTAAAACTGCAAAGTTATATGAATCTAGCATTAATATTGACTGACATGCGACCATTTGAATCGGGGTACCCTTTCGCAAGTTTTGAACTACTGTTATAATTAAGACTCGATTTTTGTGATCTGATTTTATTCCTTCTAGTCAGTTTATAGTCTTGATTTTATGGGGTTTGTAAGAGAATGTTAAGAATTTACCATCACATTTTACAGAAAGCATATCTTTGTCGTTATTTTATAGTTAAAATTCTTCTTCTTCAAATGCTAACCACGTATAGTTGTCTTCCACAAATAAATATGACACTTTGGGAAAAATGTTGCATGTACTCGTGTCTATCAGTGATGAAAGGCCCTTCTTTGATATTTTACTCCTTCATTTTTTATTTCATTAAATTTAAACAGTAAATTTCAGCACATTCTTGAGAACTGCCAACTCTTTATCTTAACTCCCATAATGCCCCTTTCTCTATTTTCCTGTGTGAGTCGATCTTCATAATTTACTTGAATAATTCACTCTGTTCATATTTTGTTTGCATAGTTTATATTTTTTGGCCAAAAAATTATAATTTTAAAAAAAAAATTTTGATTGATTGATTGACTAATAGTAGTTTTTGTCGTTTTGAAAGTTTTTGCTCCATTTTTTGTTTTCCAGACAATGATAGGTCAGTCATTACAGTGTTCTTGTACACATCATCTCTTTACATTAACAAGGTAAATTAATAATTAAAGTTGATTCTAGTCTTACTTAATGGATATTGCAATCAATTCTAGCATTAAGTAATGGATATTGCAATCAATTCTAGCCTTGCTTAATAATGGATATTGCAATCAATTCTAGAAATTATTAATGGATATTGCAGTCAATTCTGGCTTATTAAACATGCATTATGCAAGAGCTAAATCTGCCTATTGCAGGTCTTTCTTAAGGCCTGAAATGTTTTCTAAAGTATTAATTAGACATTAATTAACTGATCCAGGCCTTAATCAACTCTCGATGGCATCAGATTTCTCCGATATTAAATAGATTAGAATGGTTCAGCGATACTTTGATTTAATCAAATATGGAGAACCGAGACTTAGCTTCGATCAACCAGTACGGTGGTTGAAATTATTGCACACGTCTGTCAAACCTTCAAAGGCTAATATCTTTGCTTGCAATAGAGTAATTTGAACGAAATTTTCGAATTATTCATTTTACATCATCTACTTTCGAACTATTATAGCAAGAATGGCTAGTTCTTTATCTAAATCTTACATAATGTATCTTTAAAGTAATGTAAATTACACTCAATTCTAGTTTTAAGTAATGTATATTTTACATTCAATTCTCAGGTATAATACAATCGAATCTAGCTTTAAGTAATGTATATTGCAATATTTAAAATCAATTTCAATAAATTCTAGCTTTAAGTAATGTATATTACAATCAATTATAGCTTTCATGATTGAAGCTTGAGCAAATGAATGAAAATTATAGTTACATCCCATGATTAGTTCTCGATGACATATTTGAGTTTACCAGTTGTACAATGCTGCTTTGTAAATAATGATATTCATGATGTATTTTTTCCAGAGGAGATGAAAAGGCCAGACTACCAATATTCAAACAGTAAGATTTATGTTTTATTATCAATATTTATGACTATCAAGTAGCTTATAGGTAGTAATATAGCCAGTAAAAACCTGTAGTCTGTTTCAAACGACTATTGGGGCCACAGTGGTTCACTAAATGTTGCTGGTTCACTAACCTTGACTTTCCGGATTCAATCCTGGCGTTGGCTGAGAAAGTTCCTCACAGTTTTCTAGCATGGTTTCCCCCTCTTAAATAGTGTAGGTCAAAGGGCCTGGCAATGAACCGAGTACATTCATTTGGATGGGACAAAAAAAAAACGAGGTCTAGTGTACACATTGGTGTGCACATAAAGAACTACAGTTGGAATTAGAGATAGCCGTAGCCGTAACCCTGCTGTCCATGCAAGATATTTTGTTATACCACACTGCATGGTGTATACTCGTTTTCATTATTCAGGTTGGAGCAGAAGAGTAGGACATTTCATTTCATTTCATTTATAAATTTCTTAGAAAAACTGAGTAATATGGAGTGGTTTCCCTTCCACTTTGACTAGTATTTATGATAGTCTCTCTAACATCTTGTTTTTTATAGAATAGTTAGATTTGATTTCCTAATATATTAATATATCAGTTTGTTTAAATTATATTTGTTTCATAAATGCATATTGTTATTATATTTATCAGGTATACAGATAATGAAGGTGGTTATCTATATACTGTATTTACTATAGATATGTTACCTTGTGATTTATTCTATATATTACGTCACCCAACCAACTCTAAAAGGTAAACAATATTACTTTCCCAAAGCAGCAATATTTCTTTTCTGATCAGATGTATTAGATATCATATGAGGGTTTCCTTGCGATCATATTTACAGGTCTTGACTGACTGGTGGTAACATTTACCCATCTGTCAATTTACATTCTATGAAACTAGATATTTAAAAATAATTTAACCATAAAACATATCATTGCTTGATAACGGTGAGAGTACCCTCATTAAAATGTTGCAGTTAATAAACCTAGTGAATTTTATCCATAAAGCTGTCTTATTATTATATATATATATATATATCGCTTTCACTAAATGCCTTTTAAACATACATTATGCAAGAGCTAAATCTGTCTATTGCAGGTCTTTCTTTAGGCCTGAAATGTTATCTAAATTATTAATTAGACATTAATTAACCTATCCAGACCATAATCAACTCTAGATGGCATCGCTAGCCTGCGATCTTTGGTGGATTGTGAGCCGATTTACTGCATAACTTTCCTTCGCGATTTAACGATTAAATTGATAATCGAGACTATGCTCTTTATCGTACTGACTTTAGTAATGATGATCAAGGCTAGGCGGAAATTCGATCACTATGTTCTTGGTCCATAGTGGATCAATTTGAATTAAATTTTCAGCAAATTGCCTTTATATTATCTAGTTTTTAACTATTATAGTGAGAACTGCCATCTCTCTATCTAATCTCCCATAATGTATCTTTAAAGATAACATAATAATTACAATGAAAGTTAAAGATTTTATGCTTTAAAGATTGTTTCATAATTGAAACAATGACAAAAGTTATTGTATTCTTTTAAAAAATATGCCCTGCAATCTGAGATAAACAAAAAGCATGAAAATTGACCACCATACAAGTTGTATTGAAACCAATGTCTGTTATTTTTTAGGGTGAGTGAAGAAATAGAAATTGTTGGTATTAGTATAGGAGCTCTGTCAACAGAATGTCCTGATAGTAGTATAGACTCAAATATGGCTACAAGGTAATCATTTATTTAATAATAATTATGAAATCGCTTTCAAAAATACAAAGGCATTTATCAAATGACAAATGCTACTTATCTTCATGATATTATTTATGCTATTCACCCACAAGATAATATTTATACAGTTCAACATGACATCATTTATGCTATTCACCCACGTTACATCATTTATGTTTTTCACCCACATGACATCATTTATGCTATCCACCCATATAACATCATTTATGCAATCCACCCACATGACATCATTTATGTTTTTCACCCACATGACTTCATTTATGTTTTTCACTCACATGCCATGATTTATGTTCACATAAAGTTGCATGTTCTGCTGTCCGCCAAACAGATTTTTTTTTTTGCTACTCATCCACAAGACATTATTTACAATCCCATCACACATGATATTATTGATGTTCTTCACAATTATGACATCATTTCTAATATCCACTTACATGACATTATTAAGGTTCCTCAACCAGATTTCAAGCAGTTCACCCACATGACTTTGTTTAGCTGTGCAACCACATGACATTGCTAGAGTGTTCATCCACATGACATTTCTCATCTATTCAATCACATGGCATTATTGAATGCTGATAAATTTACCATTTAGCTATAGATAACAGCTGTAAAAGGAAAGGGCATTAAGTTCACCATTGCAAGTATGGGATTGAAGTCAAATAGAATCTTACAGCTTGTTAAAGGCATTTGTCACTTTCAATATCATTTTATTTTCACATGCATTCATTTGGATTGATATTTAAATTTATTATTCTGTAGGTAATAAGTAACAAGAACATCAATATTTTGTACTTTTATTTGGAATCATAGATATCAAACATGAATACTGCAGATATATAAAAAAATATACAAAGATGTTTTTAATTACACAGTTTTTATGACATCCAAATTGACAAATATTTTCAAAAGAATGGAATGCTCATATATTAATTCTGCATCTTAACATGTAAATAAGGCACTTAAAACTGAGCTTAAAAAGTAAAAATGTTGTATTTCTTCTTTTTGTGATTGAAGCAGGTGAATTATATACAACATAATGTAGATAATAAACTTCTACTAATATCAATGTGTTTATCATAAATTTACCAAATTACTATGATTTGTTAGATATCATGTAAAACTGATATTGAACTCAGAGGTAAACTATTGGAATACAAATCGTATGTATATCAGTTATTTAATGCCATTTATAAACGATTTGAATACAAACACACTGAACACTAATTGTTTTACATGTATTTGTGTACTAGACAGAAATGAGAGGATTATTAAAAACTGATCAATAATCTAATTTTACTTGGGTGATGAATTTGTTTGTGATAATTACAGAATTGTAAACTACTGACTAGCATTTTATGTACAGTGCTGCTCATACAGGACATGAACCTTGGAGCAGAACCGTAGGATGTTAAACCCCATTTCATTTACAGGACATGATTCAGTTTCTAACTGAACATTTAGCTATAATAAACATTCTAAAATAATGCTTTTAATCTAGAATCATACAGAAATAGGGATTAAAATATTACTAAGTTGGTATACATAGACTGAATTTTTTTGCCCCCAAAAGAGAAAGCCAATGTTACAATCTATATTATTGTTTTAAGTTAAGCAAGAAATTGATCTTTTATCTGTTCGTTAACCAGGAAACAAGGCAATAACTGGTTCACAGGAAGTATGAATTGAAATGCTCAAATAATACTCTATTTCAAATAAAGTTTGAGAGGTGGAATTGACTTAGGATTAGTTAAAACCCACATCAAATTGATGTCCAGGTTATCAATATTTATATACTTCTTAAATCCTCACAGATGAAGCTGTAGAAAGTTATTCCACTTCATTGATTACACTTTCAACTCAAATCTATATTCAGAGAGACATGTTTATTCACAAACCAAATAATGACAATTCGGGTACAATGACTTAGCTAGGAACTCGAGAATCCTACAAAAATAGTATACAGCCTCCAGACAATGTTAATCAGATTTGCATGGACTGAGCGGCCCCTTGCGTTTTACAAATCTTGGCTACACTACTGATGTGAGTGCTTTCAGCAGTGTTTTTCTATATTACTGTTTTGTGTTTGTTAATATCAGAAAATTGAACCATACACTTATTTAATTACCAATAAAGATGCAAAAATTATTATTAGAAGCAGAATTAGTGGAATATTATGCAAACAAAGTTATTGTTTAATTGCTAAATTACTGTACAATATATATACATGTACAAAAAAACCAACACATTGTTATTTAACATGTACTATTAAGAATGTAACATAACTGCAAAAAATTATAGAGATCATTGTCTGACATTATTTGGAAAATTATGATAGTTTTATGTGGGACATTGTAAACACAAGTATTGGTTAATATGAGTGCTACATGTACATATGATGGTGAGCAATATTAGTTATTTTGAAACAGTCCCAGTGGATGGTTCTAAAACTAAGCAGTCAGTTGTAGCGTTTAAAAACATCTAGATTTATTGATCTATATACAAAATATTTGAACAAAACAATTATCAAATAATTAAAACAAAAACTCATTAAATAATTACATGCAATTAAATTAAAATTTGTACAAATCAAAAACACAAACATACATACAAGTTAAACACAACATAAAAATTTCATTAATCGACAATCAGATGATTGATAGGCCATTTTAATATTTTGACAATCATAGAAATAAGCAAGCTTTCAAAGGTGCTCATTTTATAAAATAATTTCTTAGGCCCTTTTAAAATTTGTATTTTCATGACAATGATTCACAAAACAAAATTGCAAATTTTTGGCAGTTAAAATTCAAATCATATATTTACAGAAAATATTAAGTCACAGGTATTCTTTCATACATTCAAGGCTGTTTTTGTCAACAATATCTTCAAAAAATAAAAGAGATTGGAGAACTGAATGAGTGTCTATAAATGAAGATTAGAAGTCAGTATTTAGTGGTACAGATAAACTAAAATGATTTTAGCTGTAATTTATGGGTAATAGTTGAAGATGTTGTTGACATAATGGTAGCACCATTTTGATTATAATCATTTCTTAAATGGCAGCATATTAAAAACATAAAATATAAAAAGTATGGCTTGGCCATTATAATTACAACAGTATGTGGATGAAATGTCAACGATACTGTTTGCTCCATGGATATTTAATTGAGCAATCATCTATATTACAATGGTATTATTTAAGGCACAATTTGTGGATGTAAATATATATTCCTGTATAGTTTTATATCAGCAGTAAATGGCACACTGTGAGTTAGCAATGCTGAAAAAATTCTTAACTCACAATTTAAAAATGTTCATTTTATTTCCATCTTATGTGATGCACATAGAGGAAGTAAAGAAATAATGCTAATGATATAATTATTACATGTAAGAATAACATGTACTTATCACATCATTTATAGATGTAAGAATAACACATAATATCTAGTAAATCACATCTTCTTAAAACCATTTATCGCACACACCACCACACACATCTGGATGTTGTTAATGACTTCCAAAGATTGAATTATTATTACAAAATGTTTTAGCACTTTATTTTTGGCAAATGTTTTTGAACTTTGGTTTAAATTATACAAGTCACTAAACAGACTTAAACAAAGTTATCTGTTCTTGATTTGGAAGTTGATTTTCTTTAAGAAATGTTTACGCCAAGAATTGTGTCGAAATAACTTTTTGTATTGTGGAGGAAGTGTTGGTAAACTTTTCTCTATTTCATGATCTACTGGTTCTGTGTCTGCCATGTGTTCACAATTAGAATCTGAAGAATAAAATTTATAAAGTTCCAGTTATAAAAACATTTTGATTGAATTAAGATAACATTAAAACTTACTAATGCAGGGGGTTTAACGTTCCAACCGGGCTAATGAAGATGGTAAAACATAAATTGATATTCAGATGGGTTGTGATGAACCCTTGATTCATGGACAAGGCACTGTAGACATACATGTAATATTCTTTTGAACCTATTGATATAACATTTTACCTTCATAATTAAAGAGAAGCAAAATTGATTTCAAAGACACTCAGAGATTTAAAGCCATACATGAAAATAAAGGAGATAATTACCTGGTGCTTCCCAGAATTCTACAGTAATTAGACTACGTCCTGCAATCCAGTCTTTCGATTGATGAAACTGGTTACAATCCCACAATGCAACATGACCTTTTGGTCGATTCTGTTTCTTCGTGTATGTGATGACTCGTAGAATGCCCTGTTTACCCCAGAAATTTTTCTTAGTATCCACAGGGTCAGTCTGGTGTAACTTGGATACACTTGGATAGCCGTATTTATCCGCTAAGTAAGGTCCGTAAGCGATCGGATGATAAATGTACTGTAGTCCATCTTTACCGGGCACACTATCACGACCAAATTTAGAAAGTCTTATCAATTCTTTGCCAAGAGAATGGGGTTCTCCAACTTTATTAAGTGCACGGGACAAGCGAAGAGCACTTGTATCATGTAATAATAAGTTACTTTCACATCCTATCATACGAATTAAATGATGATTGTTTAATGGTCCTCCATGGTGTTTATATCCAGGATAGTTGGCCTTTAACTTGGCAAATGCTGGTAGAGTTATCTGTAAATAGAACAAGAGAAATAGTACAGTTAATAAACAAATAATCAAATTTTAACATTTACTGATTTAGTGATCAACGAACGATAAGAGGATACTTGTTGAAACTTCATGCATTTAGAATAGAACCAGTGATTGATTTCCCTGTGTTCTGTTTATATATATGTAGGTTTAGAATCAAAATGTTTCTTATTCAAGTTACTGCTTAGAAGAAATCATTTTCTTAGATTTAAGAGGTATTTGTTGGGTCACTTTATGTAACTGATATACTTGTTTGGTGTATATAGAGAGTTAGTAAAAGACAGCTAACTCTGGGATATCTATTGTTCAGTAATTGGTTGTAATTTATATGGAACAACCAGCGCTGTAAAATGGGTATACTGGATATCATACAGGTGGTCATATTGGATTTCACTCCAATTTTCTAACCCCTTATTTTCTCTGCTTGTTGCTTTTATGTTAGTTATGTTATCTATAATGACTTGTAAAACCCGAAAAATGGTTTCTGCCCACAAGTAGGTGTCGTTTATATGTGTTAAGATTATGTTTATCCTCTACTGAATGGCAAAATGGTGGAGCATAGTTTATAATTAATCGTTGTGACAAGTTACACGACAGTATCAAATCATCCGTCTTATAAATCCTTGGGTAATTGGTGAGAAAAGGGAGAAGTCGTCTTTTTTTTTCTTGACATGACAAATTAAAATGTCTTAGTTTGTAAACAGTGGGATGTATTAATGTTAAGAAACCTAACCCATCGTTTGACAATATAAACTCGTTCTGTAATCAGAAGGTATAATAAACAACTTGGAGATTTCATGGGATTTTTATATCTAATTTGAATAGTTTGTTGTAAATCAACCATCTATAGGAAATTGTAACTATTGTACCAGTAAATAATATAAAATGGTTGAAAGGAACTAGAAACCAGATTTGGGATTTGAGTATTTTTATTGGTGTAACAAGTATGAGCTTAGCCTACCATGGATCATCTTTGAATGGAATATCATATCATAAATGGAAGTCTGTCAACCTATGCACAATGTGTCTATTTTCATGTTGATGGTACCTGAATTGGTGGAGCCTTGTGCTTTTTTCGATGCACATTGTGCCCATGAAGAAAAACAAAATAATACATCCTGGTCCAAAAAATTGTCATGAACATTATGAAAATAAAAATGATCAAAAAATAATTCAATTATAAGAATCAAGTATTACAAGAAAATTCTGTTTATTATATTAGCTCTAAAGAATATAATAAAAAGCCTGAGGGCTAAAAAAACCTATTTGAACAGATAAGAGGCTATACATTTCACACCAACAAAGTCAAAATTTGTTTTAGTAAATTTAACAAGGATCTGGGATGTCAGGCTGAAGTGTTGAGAAGTATCTATGTATTGAAACCTCTACCCCTCTGGCCATTTTCTTTCCATGTGGTCAAAAGTTTACAACAATTCCATCCCTCAAATAGCCACGCTTCACTAAACTTGAATAAATGAGGTGATGTTTGATTTTTTTTGCTGGTAATTGTAATGGTGGTTTTTTTTTGTGAAAGATATTAAGATATTCAAGTCATGTTAAAGTCTAGAGATTTAAAATCATATTCTAGATTGCTTTTTATAATCTAAAATAAACATTTACCTTTACCCTGTCAAACTACCATACTGGTAGTAGCCGAGGCATGCTGTTTGACGTATTTGGGTAAATTAATCAAGAATTAGTCTCTTGATGAATATCTGGTTTAGTGACATTGAATATTAGTAAGGGGATCTGTCTGCTAAGTCACAAAGAGAGAAGCAACCCAATCTCTACATCAGTTAACAGGGAGTTTGCTGTAAGGATTAGCTTGAGTTGATCCAATGTATTAACAATAATGACAGCGAACTGACCTTTAAAATTTGTAACAGGGGGATGTTTATTATAAGAGTATATTAAGAAATACATCCTCATATCAAATAATATCACTTTGAGGCAAGTTTTACCACAGTCTTACTTAAAATAACACAACAAAATAAGGGTTTAGGTATCTATAATAACAAAGTAAGGTAAGTGATCGTTTTAGCCCTTGGTTGTACATCTTCATAACTGTTTTAAGAAACAATAAACCGGGTTTTCTTTAACAAGATTTTGTTGACATAGAGGGTTACATGACTCTAAGAAAAGGATCGACCCATCTGTTGAGAATATTTAATGCGATAATATTGCCTGAAGTAATATTTTTGGAATCTGCAATAAGACACTTGGCACACAAAAGATTTGAAAATTTACATTAGATGGTAAAAAATAATAGGCAAATTTGAATTCAGAACAGGCAAGAGACCTTTTATATTCTAAGATGTTTTTTTGTTGTCTGTATTGTTAGAAAGAGTAACCAGAAACCAACTGTTATATGGTTTCTTTTTTCATTTTCTTTTTCAATTTTTAGAGAAAAATCTGTTTTACCACCACAATGATTTAAAGTATAATAAATTGAGGACTTCAACACAGACATAAATTAACCAATACCCAAAAATTATTTCAATTAAAGAACTTCTGTCATGACCGTAAATAAAACTGTATTTTGATATATACTCATGATCAGGCAATGGATTTCCTTTGAAAAAATTGATTAACTTGTCACTTGCTATGATTTCTTCATCCATCATCTTCTGATTTTTCTAAATCAGTCATATTTATTTGTCATTTTTATTTTTTCACCTCCAGCTATCAAGTGACAAACACTTGTTGAATTTAGTCGCCAGATGCCTTCAATTCTGTTCTTTCTTATTGTAAACCCAATACTCAGACTGTCCACTCTTGCCTTAGGCTTAAACAAAATACAGCCCCCCAAAAAATTAACCTTTAGTTGAAATTCATTTCTCAAAGACTTGTGAATTCAAAAAGCAAGAAATAAATTGAAACTTGAATGGAAGTAGGGTGGTGTGTAATTATTCAAACAATGACCATTGGCTCTTTGCATTAATATATTCCATTCCCATTATAGAATGTGTTTTGTTAATGTATAGGTGAGTCTCAAGTAAGGATCAATATCATCTATTGTCCAAGCCCCAAGATCTTTTCATCTCAAAGTTTACTTTTCATTTTGAGCAAGGCCTTAGACCAGCTCAAGAAGTTATGGTCAAAATCAAGATGCACACTTCATCTTTAAGTAGTGTGAAGACTTGACTACAAATAATGACTATGTTTGATTTTATGTACTTTACCTCTTCAATGAATATCTGCATGAAAATCAAACACTTGATCGCCTAAAATGAAGGTATCATCAAGAGTTCACTTGCACTGAGGTATGATTATTAGCCCTTTGGTAGATTTTAACACAATGTTCTTTCCCTATGGTAATTTTTTCTAATACCTTACTCTGTATTTATCAATAATAAATATTCCCAAAGAATTGAAAATTTGCATCATTATACAGTTGGTGTTAAAATAATTACAGACATGGAAAGGATAAAAAGCTACTAGACCTGTGTGACAATTAGTATTTAGTATTAGTATATAGTTTATACCATATTTATAAGTTCCCACCACTAGTGATGGATAATTATGTTTTTAATATGTGTGACACATATATGTGACATTTACAATAATTGGTATAAAAAGTAATTAATAGCAAGTCACATGTGGTAAGACTAAGGTCAATCTCATACTGATAAATGGTTTATAATAGAACTGTTATATTGTAAAACTAAATTATAACCAGGACATATAGTTAGACCAGATGGCATATCCAAATGAAAATATTTGTAATACTACAGAATATATGGTAATGTTTACATGGACAAGACTATACAGGCTGATTGTGTTAGATATATTATCGCAAAATTTGCTTATTTACTTATTCAGGTCACATAAAAAGTGATGTATTTTCTGGTTTAGTGAGTTAAATGTAAATATATACTCTATATTAAAAGGTGAAATGACAAGGGTATTTTTGTACATGATTAATGAGAAATATGATAAATTGATTTCTTGATGGTGAATACAGAATAGATTTACCTGGTTCATTCAGCGGATCAAATGATAATAGATAAGATATTTTTTATCTAAGTCATGCTTTATTAAAGATTGTGTGTATACACATGAGGTGCTTTATGATTAAGAACATGTCAGTTTCCTTCCTTTAAATTATAAAATAATTGGGCATTTGAAAGGAAATTATTACGGTTTATGGAAAAGAGAGGCTGGGCTTTTCATTGTATTACTTTTGTACTTTGTAGGTTTTATGACAAAACCTTAATAAAGTATTATGCTCCGGCCCTTTACCCCATGATTACCTCTTAATAAAGAAGTTAGTTACGCTAATATTTGAAAACCATTTCATTCATTCATCAATCAATCATTTAAAATATCAACACTTGCAAGTATTGATAACTTTTGACATATTCAATGAAATATCAACATGTGCAAGTATTGATAACTTTTGACATATACAATAAATTATGTTTTCTTTATTTTATATCAATCAAGTTAAGGTCAATTTAGTACATTAAAGGAGCTAACCATCTGTGATTTTGGTCAAAATAAAATATTGATCTGATGTGTTCATTTCAGTTATTGAAGGGGCAAACTCAACTGTATGGTTACATTTTTGTTTCGTTTAACTGGATGTCAACTGGTTTACAAAATTTAGTTTAAATTCGAGGTTACCGTTTCGACAGTGGAGATCAATTATATTTCAATAGATTGTCTATAGACCAAATCAACATATTCTAATAAAATGACATATTTTTGATGGAAATCAACAAGGTCTAGTTGTTTTAAACATACTACATCACAACAATCGATATTGGTTTAGTAATATGAGTGTATTATATAGGTTATTTATGATTATTTATATTATTGACAATATTATTCTTGCAATAGAATAATAAACCAATCTGTTACTGCCTTTTTTTTTCTTACAGAATACACTCTTACACATTATTATAGCTACTTATACAATTATGTAAACTTAACAATTTGAAATACATTCCTTAAATGAAAATATAAATTTTTGTAGTCAA